CGAACCATGCAGGTGTGCTCTTCCAGTCTCAGTCAGTGAAACATCAATAAAATATCATAACCACAAGTGTTTAGCGATTGATACATCAAGTCACAACAGTCCGTAAAATCGACCACGTATATATATATAAGCATGTATACTTAAGCATAAAAGATTATGTATCAAGCGAACGATTTTGCACTTTTCATCTTTTATGCATCAAATAATAGACGCCGATATAAATGTGACATGTGTATTATTAAAATAAATCTACTTAAAAAAATTATTAAATTCATATCACATACACATTAATCATGGGAACAACGATTTCCAACCACCGTTTCAACTTTTCTAAAGAGTTTGCTCGATGTAGAATGCTGATAATAGCTATTAACGATAAGCCGGGCAGCCTGGAAGAGATGAATCATGCAATGCATTTTGGCGTAGGATATGGCTTTTGTGAATCATGCTGTCATAAATTTCGCATTTATATTACATATGAAAATAAGGATCTGTGTTAATTAAAACCGTTCATCTCAATCAAAACAACAGACAGTTTTTCACCGATCGCTTAATATAACTCAGAGTATCGTCTTTTTGTGTGGCCATTTGGAAAATGCATCTATATTGAAAGCTGTATCTAGATTTTGTTCTAAATACCTCGCATGCACTAAAACGCTCGCATGCTATATTATACAAATATTTGGCATACAATACACTATCGCATTAAAACACCAAGTGAAGGCGGGCAAAGCGTGTTTACATCCAAAATTAAACAGGAAATAATTTAGCATGAGACATTTTAAATCCATCAATAATATATTACAATAAACCGCTATATTTCGTGTGCTTTACATAACAGATGTGCTCCTATAGACACTGATGAATATATATACATGATATACAGAGGTTAAGTCTACAGGGGTCGTGATTGTATGAAAGCCGGATAGCGCTATCAGTGGTTTATAAATCGCTTGATTAATCGCCCGTTGTTTGGTATAACTTTGATCAAATCTTAGTATTCCTAAATCAAGGCTCCTCTTTAATAACTGTTGGTTTCAAAGCTGAAATTTTATCGCTTTTCAAGCATTTTTAGAACGGTTGATAAAATCACAATCCAGAGACCAGTTGATAGTGCTATCCGGCTTTCATACATCCGAACCCAGATGTCTTGGAGGCTCTCGGTTGGTAAACACTTGATGCGACACGCTTAGTGAATAAATTGTTTGTTATAACGATGTATAAAATACTTCACAACCACACGGCTCCTTATCTAAATGAGGTTTTCTGCAATAAAATGCAGTTCGGACTAACTATGAGTGGTGTGGTGGCGATACAGATCTATGCCTGCCTGTAAACCTGATAGTGAATTTCTAAGGAAAAGTTTTCGATATAGCGCGATGCTATGCAATGGAATTGTCTTTCTGAGAATTCTAAAAATTCCGGAAATGTTTCTTTTAAAAACCGGCTTAAAAGTGCTCATTAGCATACTTTCATTCGTTCAGACGACATAATGCAATATTTGAGGCTAACCCTCGTACCCACCATGAGTGAAAAAAACAAAAACTCATTTATAGAGGATTATAGACAGATTATTTTTAGCATATTTTTTTCGCTGATGCATGTAAACAGCTAATTAATTTTCCATTGCTTTGTGAGTTTCGGGCATGATGGCGGCGTTATCGCTTCAACGGCCCCAAGTAAGAAAACGCAAGGGTTAAGACTAGCGCACAATAGTAGACGTTTTGCGCATGCATACATGATATTCTTGACCATGGAGACCTGTAAATGATCCTTTTCCCCTGAGCGCAATGCATGTTTTGATAAAAAACCAATGGTCGAACATGTTTTACATTTAAGCCAGAGCGAGCTGGACAAATGCGGGTTAATAGCATGCATGTGCATGCATGCTTGCTAATTTCAATTACAGAAACTATGGACTGATGAGATTTGTAAATTTCATTTGTTCCGAAAGTGTGGCGCGTACGTGGCAGAAAAATGAGACAGCTTTGATGATTAGATTTTGCGATATAGGGATGACAAAATGACTTAAATTTCGTACGTCGGTTAAATATAGGAGGACTATGTGGAAAACACAATTCTTTATTTCATTTTTCATACCAACTTAGTACGTAATCGTTGTCCAAATGGGAATGGACTCTGACGAATAGAATAATTAAGGTAAGTATATACTGCAACTGCCGACTAAACTATCAAATATAGTCGGGCCATGAACATGCAGACGGCTTATTCCGAGAGTCAAAACATACGTGAAAACATTCAGCTGTTTATAATGGTATAGTTTCTCATATACACTCAATACAAACAGCAGTGTAGCCAGCTGACGGTTTTATCCCGCTAAAGCAATATTTTGGTGTTCATTTCTTATTACGATTTTTTGGCATGTCGCTCAATGTAGATTTCTTGCCGGGGGGAAGGAGGCAAGGCGTAGTGTGCACATCCGTATCAAATCTTGCTGGCCTGAATTTGAGTCGTGTATGCATTTCACTAGAAATAAACACACATTAAACCTTAGCAATTATATTTTTTAAGGAATACCTTTTCATGAAACCAAACAATTTTAAAGAAATTAACTCGGGTAATAGGCTACGCTGAGCGCTGCATATAGCAAAGTAATTCTACACAAGCTATATTTGCTGCTTGACGGTAAGATGCGTTCATAAGAGTGTAGTTCTTGCAGATTACAGTATACATCAATCGTATTTACATATTATACAAACGGCCTTTTCTTAGTTCTTTTTAGCTTATTTTGGCTAAGGCCCGTTTCAGAAGTCGAACGTTTCAAGTGCGAACGTTTCAGTATTTCAATTTTGTCTTTTCTGTTTTCTTGTGACGAAGAGTCTCCAAAAGGAGAGTAATTTTTTGTCCAACAATCCATATATAAGAGGATTAACCGAACAAGATGCGGCAACACGTAGAATGTATCCAAAATGCGAAAGCCAGAGGTACTTGACTATGAGATGATTCTTACCAGTAATGTACCACACATAGCATACGGAAATAGGCAAATTCCCAATACCATAGCAAAGCACTGTGCTGACACAAACAAGAAAATTACGTCTGTGTCGAAGATGGTTGTGCATTTTAAAAGAGGAACGATCCGTAATTGGCCTCCTCGGGTTGGAATACAAACGTTTCAGAAACTTGTTTTGTCTGACAAGTACCCGACATATTTTATAATAAGTTATGGCCATGAATAACGTCGGGAAGAAATAGAAACACGATATAATATACACATAAAGATAACTCCAAGCAGAGGCAGCCGTACTTGCCTCCATGAAACATAAAGGTAGAAATGCTCCGTAACCAGCGATGAAGCCGGTGAGACAAATCAAACGAAAGATGCTCTTCAATCTTCGCCGACTTACAGCGGGCTTTGAAGGGCGTACAGCACGATAGCGAAGCACTGAAATCATCAACATCACTCCTATTCCTCCGATTTGAAAGACGTAAAGTACATGATTGAGAAGGCAATTCAATGTACTCTCCATGAATTGTGAACTCTTGATAAAATGAAGGAGAACGAGGTCGAATAGTATTGTAATCAGAAATCCTAGATCACATATTGCCAGTTGTAAAACGAGAAAATAGTAGTTGTTGCTCAGCAGACATCTTTGTCGCAATATGGGAATGATAACCAACGTGTTACCGAGAATTCCAAGAATAACAACCGCAGCGTCTGAAAATCTATATATATCGTACAACGTTCCATTCTGAGCTGTTTTTTCCAGGAAGAGTACGTGCACCGTTTTGTTCTCCATGCTGTATGCCGTATGGAAAAAGACGAGTATATCTTGCGTTAATTAGTGTAATATCAAGCAGCTGTGCCCGTTAAGCCAATAACAAACTTTGCACACCGACACAAGAAAACATACATTACTAAAAATTGAATTATTTACCGATTTATATCGGCTTTGAAGGCATTTCTCGATAACGAAGGCAGACAAAAACTCTTAAAACAAAGACATATGCAAAAACACGAAGACAATAATTTGTTGAAAGCGCCTCAGTGTTTAACAGTCAACAACAAACAACCAATCCTTTTTTGACACCACGTAGCTATATAGTTATATCGCTGCAAAGCTTTATTCGAACATTAACCCGAAAAAATTGTTTTGAAAATGGAAAAATTTCTATTCCACTTTGCTATTTATACTTCAATATATATTAAATGAAATATTTATATCATAATTATAATATATTGTATAAATTTTAAACATTATGCCATGACTATTATATATTATCATATAATGTTCTTTAATTCATATATATTTCGTTTAATGTTTTTTAATTCATATACTAGGCGGAGAACTCAACTGATATACCAATTCTTATCAATATATGTTTGACGCAGCAAAAGTTTGCATATATAAGTCAGTATAGATTAGATGATTGAAAAACTTTTCAGAGATCTACAGATAGCATTATATGTAAAATAGCACTGCGAAATTTTGCTTTTTACATATCACCCGAACGAATATTTGAAATATGTTTCTCTCTTAAGGACTTAAAGGGAGGATATTTGTTTGAGAGACTTGCGAATAAGATAGTATAAGTCTCTCGTGTATAATCAGTCAGAAACTGTTTTATTTTATCATTTAAACATCGCGTTTGATGAAAGTGCATGACTGTTTGCATTGCGTGCAAAAAGATATCGTATATACACAATAACAGGTTCATTAATCTTTTCCGCCATTTAAAAATTGAAGCTGCATTAGATTGCAGTGATATAGAAAACTGCTGGAATACATCTTGCTTCAAGATTATTATGCAGCAGATGCGCCATCTACGTACTGTAATCATCTATAGCGTGTATGAGCTTGCTCGCGTATTTATCTCTTTCATTTTATGTAATTTTGGAACAAAAAGCCAGTACATTCGTTTTTTGTTGCAGCTATACACAAAATGAAAAGAACACGCTAAAATCCGAGATGCTTCACGTATTTAAGGAGCACGATTCCTCAAAATACAAACGTAAATTATTTTAAACATGCACCTACCTTCTCAACACGTAGAAGACTTAGTTCAGCCTCGAGCTTCACTTCCGGTTTGGACATCTGTTGTTCTTTATAGGACAATAATTCATTTTCTTTGTTTTGATAACGCTTCTCAGCATCGCGGAGCTAAAAAAAGTAGTAGTATATCATAGGCAAATAATTCTGGTCAAAATATATCTTCATCAGGGGCTGGTTGTATCAAGCCCGTTTAGCTGAAACGGTGGATGCACATGCAGTAGAGTGGTTTCGATCCTATACAAAACACGTGCATTAAAATCGTTAGCACTCGCCGACCAAGAAGTAATCCACCTGTAATCTATACCTGTTGTATCGCTGTCTGTCTTTGCTCTTCAGCCTCGCGAACTTTCGCTCTGCAAGAAACGATAAAACGATATTTAAATCCACAGTCTATTGAGTCTTTTCCCGAATAGTCTATAATAGAATATTAATATTTCTTTGGTAATTCAATGTAGTTACAACGCAATGTTAAACTGTGAAAATGTCACATCCATAAGTCCTAAAGATTGCGACCTTTTGGGCTACTTTTGTACCTACAATTAAGGTTATGTTTTTGGCAGAACGAAACTTGTTAGACGGAAGCTATAGACGAAAGCAAATTGACATTTTAAAATTGTTTTTTAAAATTAGTAGAAAAATGTTTCTCAGGTCAACATACCGCCATCATTTTTATTGCACCGAATTACATCTATATGTACCTCCATGAAGAGAAAGTTTCATTCTTAAATCTTAATGTTTTCCACCATACGAACCTTTCAATTTCGATCTGGTGATCGCAATCTTCCTTCATTCGACGAGAAGCTTCGCGTAGTTCGACCATCTTTCTTTCATGATCTCGTCTATGTTCTTCCTTGATTCTCAACAACTGTTCAAACAAAAACACGAATGAAAAGATATGCATGCGTGGTAAGCATTTCCAGTTCATGGAATAAAAACCCCATTTCACCAAAAGAAGATTATACTGAATAACTGAAATCGACTCGAGCCTGATAAATTATATAGTTGTTGGATATAATTTATAACTGAGCTAAGGAGGTTAGCTGAAAGGGTGTTTAAAAATCAGCTCTAGAATTAATCTGTTCAAATAGTATATATTATGTTATTTGTGCATGGAGTCTTTACACGCTATAATTATACAAGGAAAATTACAAGCCCGCTTATAAAATAAATAACAAATCTCTCTTCGCGAAAAGTAAACAAATCGGAAATAGTTGGGTGAATAACCGAATTGAATTACGACGCATCAAAAGCAATCCCTGCATGTTAAAATGAATACGACACAGAAATCAAAAGTATAAATTTTTAAAGACTAGCTCTTTGAGATTCTGCAAATTTCAGATTCTATATTATTCTATTCCACATGATTCCATTGTCTTTGAAAAATTTTTCCGTGTCCTTAAATGCGTCCTCGTATTGTGCATTTTCAAGTCCAGAGGTGTAAAGATAAAATGTCGCTTCGTTACAAACGCTCTTGAGGTCTCCTCTTGCAGTAACCTCGGAACAATGTGTACCGGGTGATCCCAGTTGATAAGCTGGACGGATGCAGGACAGAAGAGTTGAGTACAGAATAACATATCGTGGGCAGCTGTGATTCCTTTTGAACGAGGTCACCATTTTTACAAAATTCTTGTTTGCAAGTAAAGGATACTCAGCATCTGCATAGCTCCTTGCAAATTCGTCAGATGACGTAGAAAATGCTATTCTGAAATTTGTGTTTTCCGGTGATAAGGGCCAGACGTTTTGTTCCTGGGGTAACTCGATGCTACTGTCTGTACTCAGAGCCTCTTTAACGATGATGTCATCGAATATCAGGTCCTCGGATTCCCAGGGTTGTATATAAATATAGGAAAATTGTTGTTGGCTCGATAAAGCTGTCCAGTGGAAATAAAGTTAAATTCGGGTTAATTTTCTTTCAATGGCTAAAACTTGGGGGCATTGATTTACAGCTAGATGTTTAACGAAACATAATTATTTGTATAGAATATAATATTATCTGAAATGGTGCAAGAACATTTCTGATTATAGCCCCGTTAACACTACACTTAAGCCCCGTTTAGAAGATGTGAAGGAAGAGGTAAATATACGAATTTACGTTGTTAGATGGTGATAAGTTTGTAATGAAATCGAAAACATACAGTAGCATATACATTCGTCTTATTTTTAGTCATATCGGATTTTAAGATGACCTTGTTCTTTTCAACTTCTTTCATTTTTATTTCCACAACAAGGCTATGAGAGATGCGTACAATGAAACTTCAAGCTTTCATCGCCAATTATGCCGACACGTTTCACTGTTCAGCAGAAGGTGTACATGACACCCACAACCCGAGGTATCATCCCAGAGCAAGGTGATACTTGTTATTCCACAAACTAAGGTAGTCCTTTGTGAAAGGAAACATCCAAAATTTTCTCAAGAACCCACCTTCACCGACAGCAAAGCGAACCAACTGCTCGAGTTCTTCAGCAATTATTCCTGGTGATTTAAACTCCGTTCTTTTTCTCAAGTTAGACTCGGGTTCTACCAAATTTAAACAGACGATGAAGCGAGCAGTAAAAAATAGTAATGCCCATACTGCCTTTGTGAAGCTCATTTTCTGAGCTAATAAATCCTTGCTTACGACATCAATAAAGTGAAAAAAATCGGCTTTGGTCCAATGTAAAAACACATTTTATTCCTTTACATGACTAAGCGCACTAATCTTTCACATTGTTTGATTTTTGCGGGTATTGTCGGATCAAGTGATGGTACCTGAATAACTTTATGACAAGCGTAAAAAATCTGTTTATGTTAAAATTATAAAAATTGAGTAGTATCCAGAAATTATTTTGCACAAACAGTCATTATTCATAAGTGTTAGAGCCATTTATATTAATGATGTTACAATAATGTTGCGTTATCTGATTTAGCTATACTAAGTCCCAATTAGCCAGTAATTCTAGCCATTAGAAGGAAAGGAGAGACGTTATATCTTTTACGGTATAGTCGTGATATGTATATGCACGTATAGATATTGTTTCCTATAGTTTATTTACAGTTGTCGCGAACTGCACAGGTATACCCGAAGTTAATCCGATAAAACCATCAGAGGTTGAAAAAAAGGGAGAAGAAGGATCATTAAACCACACAAAAAGTGGCCTGTCCGTCGGGACAAATAAACAAGAAAATGAGTATCACAGAAGCGATATGTGTCGCTTGGCTTCTGTTCTCGGCGAGCTTCGGCGAGAGTCGGATTCTAGGAAATGTTCGAAGGTTAAGCAAGCGAATGACAGACTCAAAATCACCGAGAAGAGTCGCAGAAGAACTTGAGCAAAAAGCTCGTAAAGCAGCTGGTAGGTGGCATAGATAAGGAAACTAACCGTTGACACAATAAAGATCCCTGCAAAACAATATTTCGCAAGTATATGGCAACCTGTTGTGGGGGTAAATGGTGACGGAATTGCACGCCTGCCAAGTGAAGATTCTTGCAAGATGCCCGACACTATTTAATCGTTTGAAATACTATATGATCATTCACAGAGGAAAACCTGATGGAGTAAAAAACTTTAGCAGATCTATAGTACGGAAATAGTATATAGCAATTATAGACAAAGTACAGACAGTTCCCCGAATATGGAAGCTATCTGATTCTTATGTCTGCCACTTCCATTACTATGAATTTGCATTATACCATTTATTATACCAACCTAGCCTATAGCACCCATAGGTGTACAGCAAGATTAGAATAATCATGATGTATACGATCTGTGCCGAAAACCTATTGATCTAAGTGAATGACCTTGTATGGTTTTGTGAACTTGCTTTTGTGTTTGCCATTACGAGTTCTTCATTTATTCCCTAAAGCCACCCTTTTTAGAACCAGCCTTTGCTAGTTGAGTTTTCTTTACGTAGGCGAAGCTTTATCGAAGGGACAGCATTTTGTATATATCTATATCCAACCATTCGAAGTTAACGACTCGGTATTCGATGACAAGGAAGTTGAGGAAGCTCTAACCATGGAGAAAGGTTTTCAAACAAACGAACACGTTTGGCCGCTATCACCGGAGACCACCAATTTCAGAGTAGCTTTTCTTCAAGAAGGCAGACAAGACAAAACGAATAACAGCCGCGCGTTGTCAGAGTATCAACATTTCATAAACGATGGGCTTGGAAAGATGATACCCAATTTCGATAAAAGACACAAGGGTTGTCCAAAATACGTAATTCTTTATTCCACTTTCATCCCCTGCATAGCCCCATCCAATGCGGACGAGAGCGTCCGACGCTGCGCTAAAATGACAGTAAGGGCAAGGATCCAGCTACGAAACATCTGCCCAGGGGCAGCCTTTTACCTCTACACGCGTCAAGCCAACGACGACAGGTATGAGGATCTGTTCAAGGAGACTATCGAGTTCATGACAGACGCAGGAATCTCTTTGATAAGCCAATAATAAGACATAGAAGTAGAATCAGCCGGTATCCATTTGCATGGCTTTATAATTCGGAGCGTTCTCGATAGACAGACAGCTAAGTGAATACAGTGCCGGATCCAAACTCTTGCGACCGATGCGAATTATCAGTAAAAATTTCGCAAAAAATTAAATACGAAATTGGCAATAAATAAGACAAGCTTTCCTCCCAAAGATCTAAACTCCTTGGTATTCGATCGGGTTAACTAGTTTATGGAAAGGTATAATAGGAAAGGTATAATAGCACAGACTGACAAAATAAAAAAGTGGTAAAGATCGAATACCGAAAGCGGTATATATTCAGCCTAGGTAAGGTCGAATATACCTGAATACGGCACTTTTGATCCTGCATGATACGGTAAAATATACAGGATCGACATTGGTAAGGCTGAATATATCGTTTGTGACCTCGGTAAGATTGAACATACCGAATATAACGTTATACATGTATGGACCCCTCTAGAGGTCTGCAGTATAGTTTAAAATATCGCCAGGCCGGTCCTGTTGTACTTCATTCCGAACAAATTACTGGTATTTTAGAGTGTTTTAGAGTGTAAAGAAATTTGCACATAAACATATCATTATTCACGTCTGCCAAGCACGAAAAATACAGCTTCATGCACTGTTATAGCTGTTTCATTTCAAAACATGACCAGTTTACCATATTGGCCGCTAAAAGGCAATTAAGCGCCACAAAAAGAATAATAAAAGGAATAATCAGACGTAACGTAATTACCAACCTCAGTCTCACTGGCTGACAGCTGTCTTTCTCGCTTCTCTATATCAGCGATAGTTTTCTTAAGTTTGTCTTCCATTTGTGAATATTCTTCGAGCTTTGTAGGAAAAATATGAAGTTTGTATATAATTAGGTGAGCATGAAGATTTTGTGGCACAATCGCTCGTTGCATGTAGGATAATTTCTAAAGACATGCATTAAGGTCCAATCTCTGGAAATCAAACACATCTCAAATTCAAGCAAGAAATAGTTGCGAAAATTTGTCAACCAAATCTAGGTGAGTTTGAATTAAACACATTTCAAAAAAGTGCGATTGAAAAAAATCGATCGCGCGACATTTTGCACTGGACAGAAATCTTCCATTATGCCACTGGGTTGCGCAAATCCTTTTTCGGAGGGACAAGAGGTATATGACAATGCAAGCAGATCAAACTAAATGTTGGATATGATTTTTAAATGTTTCATTTCTGATCGCGTGGAAATTTAATACTTGAAATATTTCATGTGTTTGACGCCTGTCCTCACTTAGCTGTCCCTCCATGCTCTGCGAATTAAATCTTCTGAGAAAGGGATGGCTCTTATGTACTTTTCCAAACACTCGTGCACTCTAAAGTATATACATTCCAGTACCCACCTTTTTCTTTGCTAATATCTCCCTTTCCTTATCCCGTTTTCTCCATTCTTCTGTCAATGTTTTAATTGTTTCCGTCTCCTTTGCCTTCAACTAATGAATATGCAACAAAGTTATACCAGCCGAACGAACGGAAAGAAAATATATTGTCAAAATTGACTTCTTTGAGAGTTCAAAGTGATATAATTCTTAATGATTTTTATATAAACGTACTTGGGATGCAAACAGTTCTTCCTGATTTTGTTTCCACATTTCAAGCTCGAGGGCTGTTTGATATTCCGCCATCATCCTAGGATCATTATTCCTAGGATCATTGTCAGCAGGGTCCTTTTGCCGGGAACTTTCTTTCCGAGATTTGTCGCCTAATTTATGTCTTGGGCTTGACGATGCCTGCCGGAAAAAATGTACAATCAAGTAAGATCTTTACCAAGAAAGCTTCAAATCATAGGTATTCACAATCTTTACTGTGCCCAACAGTCTACCTCAGACATATCCAAATGAGCTTGCAAATCTTCGCGGGATACCGGACCAAGATCCTCTAATCCCAAAACAACATTCAGCTCTCCGATTGGTTCCCTTAAGGATTTAAAAAGATTATATACAGTTCAAAACACCGCTCTAACTTTTTGAGCATAGTTAAGAAAAGCCTATTTTCCATTTTGTCATCAACAAGTCATTTCCAACGATGAGAAAAAGTCCGGATGTAAATTTGTCTTCATTTCTGTATTCAAACCAGTCATTGTTGTTTGCACACAGGCAGAAATATTCTATTACATCAGCCACCTTGACATGTTCACGACAATTACGACACAGGCTAAAGGTCAGTCGTACACTCAATTTGTTTATCAATTATGCTTACCTATCGACGGAGATTATATGAACCCTTTCACTTAGGATTTGTCCGTACGTACTTGGTTTTCCTCTCTACAACAACGAAAAATACAAAGCCATAAAAAATATGGATAACACAAGGGAGCTAAACATTGAAACTCAACAAGTATTTAACTTACTGCGGCCTTGAGTTTCTTAGCGGCAAACACGTGACCAAGCGTTACCCGGGAAACGCCAAGTAAGACATCTTTGGTCACGGGATCGCGATGCCAAATTTCGATCACTAGAGGAACGCTGCAAAGCAAATCGCATGAAAATTACTGCTCTGTTCTCAGCGGCCGAGACACGCGAGTTCAGTTGTTAACGCTTTATTATAAAGTTGACCTTATTGTATAAAATAGACATAAAGCAATACGGGGAGATATATTCTTTGACTCTCACTTTACCTAGAAAGCGTTTCTTTCAAGACATCTGAATTGGTAGCAAAGTCAAACGCGCAAAAAGACTTCGGCAGAAGGACTTCCATATGTCGACGCACTTCCACAGGGGGACTGGTGATGACCGGGGTAGCGCTGCCGAAGAATGGGTACGAATACCTAGGAATAAATGTTGAATGTGTTGCAAATGATTTCATATTTAAAAAACGTCGCGAGGGAACTTACTTCAAGTAACAATTGACTGGGAAAGTCACTTGCAGATCACAAATACTGCGCAAGTCAACAGAGTAACAGAAATGATGAAATGAAAGTCTGCTTTCGTCCGGTTGTCCTTCGGGTAGGCCTGCACTAGGGGAGATCTACAATGCAAAAATACACGATGGAACTTAAAGAGGTCGAATATTTCCTTTACGAAGACGCTTTTCCACTTGGAGGCCACGTATTAACACTTGACACTCGCGAAGTGTAAAAGTTTTTTTTTGCATCCCATCTAGGGTTTTACCAGCGCACTCTAATAAATAACTGGAACGATACCTCCTCATTGTTTTTGTGAAGCCAAAATTCGAGGGACTTACCCCTAGACACGCGTGTTTGGAGGTAAATTCCCGCAAATTTTCTCACGAATGAAGCCAAAATTTTGTTCTTACTTATTCTTCTCAAAACACTGGCATATTTATATAGCTACTATACATGCAGACATTCACCTTCGACTCGTCTTTCCTATCCGCCATGGGCTGTTCATCAGTTCTATTACGGGTATGACTGACGGTCACCTCAGAGAACGGCTGATTTTCACCAGGATATCCGTCTTGTGCTTGTGTTTTCTGGAGAAATACAGGCTAGTTTTGTCAGTCTTAAGGCGTGAATAGACATACGCGATCTACCAATTATCATAGTATTCATCAACTATTACAAAGGCGTTCCTTTAATGAGGAAAATGACAAAATTGACACTCGCTGTTTTTTAAAATGCAAGTATAAATGTGGCACGCGGGATACCTGAGGACTGTCTGTTGTTCTTTGGACATTCGGTGGCAAGTGTGTTTCTTGTTCAGACGGCACATTAGCTTCCTCTTTCTTCAACAATATTGAAACGCCAACACCAGGGCTTTCTTTGGACCCTGAGCGAGGATCCTCGGTGGATGTGAGAGGAAATAATGCTTCAAGGATTGCAGGCGATTTGAGCGGCTCGTCCGTAGGAAGTAAATATCGTAAAGAGATGTTGGTTTCACCGAGTGGACGGCCTGCGCAATAGAGTGTGATCTGTAATAAAATATACAATAGCATCAGCTGATCTGAAATGACGCAATGGCAGGTCAGGAAAGGGACTGTGTGTTGGGCAGAACTAAGAAGACATATTTCGTTTTGCATGATTGAGCGATTTAGAATATAGCAAAAAGCCCAAAAAAACTCACTGTAATTCCAGGAAAATTTTGCAGGAAGGCTCGAAGAAGCTTCAGCTGGGAATTTATCCGGACAGAAGCTCGTTCTGGAGAGAAGTTTGGTTGCAGAAGGTCTGAAAAAATCTCGCTGGAAACCTTGTTGCCAAACAAACTGTATTGAAAGTAGAATCCCTGACCATCAGGTACGACAAATGACGATGGTATTAACTATTAAAAAACAGTTAGAATGAAAGTAAGTATAAAATAATACTGCTGTAGTAAAACTGACACCCTGATACCGGTAAGTAATTGAACAAAACCATTTTGACAGTTTGCGGTCAAAACATGCTTCCGATTGGTCATTGAGGCCAGCTAGTTGACCAATCAGGCAATCAGGAGCATGGTCCTCACGCTTCGTAATTTTTTAAAATCCTTCCCATTTAGCAAAAGCACAGAAAAATTACAGTGAATAACACGTTTTACCATTAGCTTTAGGCGATATACAGTACAACCTTCACTGTAAAGTAGTTTTGCTGAGACCCGCCAACTATCGAAAGTAAAAAAATTCAAGACCTTATCTCACTCCACCCCCTCCCCCTAAGAACGTTATTGTACCCGTTTCTAAATTTTTCCCGCTCATTTTTCAGTTATGCGCACGCCACAAAACAAGCAAGATCGAAAGAGCGAGTCATACGAGTTTTTGTATAAAAAAATCGCATTTCCGTTGTTGAAACGGGGTGGACGATTGTTGGGAAAAGACAATTTTGGAGAGTTAGTTAAACCGAATATTTAGAGCTTCAAATGATAGTTATTCGGTCGCGAAATAACCAGGAAAAGTGCCGAAGAGCGGTCATGAAATTGCGAGTTATAATATTTCGACACTTGCGGTCTGATTTTCGACAAAGTTTTAAAATGTTTCGCAGTTCTGAACTTTGCCGTGAACAAGTATCCATGCCTATGGAAATCGTACCTTGCAGGTATATATAAAATATTTGTTTTTATAATAAATAAAAGCATTTCAATTTTTATAATAAATAAAAGCAAAATGAATGAGAATTGGGGCAATATAAATGTTTAAACAACAAGAAAAATATAATTTGTGTTGATACAAGATTTGAAACATAAAACCAGCTAGTTTAATGATAAATTAGAATAATAAATTGCAACCTTCTAGAATTTGTTTATTATATTATAAATATCAAACTTACTTTTGCTAAATTCACAGCATAACTGATTGTCACAGAAAACACAAATATCTCTGCAGATTCAGTCATGGGTCCAAGCTGATAAAAACCTTTTTCATCATTCAAAATAGGTTTCAAAGCAAGTGGATCAATGCCATCTATTGAGATACGAACAATAAATCCATTCTTTAAAAAAGGTAAGTGGCCGGGGAATTATATTCAGAAGTCAGAAGCTTATAGACACCAAATTGAGGCAACTATTCATGCATATACTAAAGCTATTGTGCTGTAATGATTTGTTTTGAAGCGGATTGTTTTGATAAATAAAATTAATTACCCCCAATTGATTTTATGTGGACCATTCTATGTGGATTTTATGTAAAGAATAATTGCATTTACTTTTGTAAACTATTATTTCTGTGAAGCATTCTTTCACTATTGAGTAAATCCATTTGGCATGACAGTAAAATATGCAACATATTTAGTTTGGGAGTGCGAACATCAAATATGACATGAAAATGGAGAATAAATGGGATAGCACATCCACATTTGGCCATATCACAGCCTTTCCCCACCATTTTCACATTTTCTTCGAGGTTAATGTCCTTGTGCTAAATTCACATATTATGTATAATGTATATAGTACATTACATACATTTAATGTGTATTCCACAACTCAATACAGTTTAATGGTTGAGTTTGATATGGCACTCTTCCACTGACAAGTGAAATTGTGCTGTATTTGACATTGGGTATTGCAGAGGTCAACTGAGAGGGGTGAAAACATACCTTTTCTGGTTGGTGTAGAATGCTGGGGCAGAGAATTCTGGTCAGGCTTTTTCCCTGAGTCATCTTCTAAATTTAACCTGACTTGTAGCTCTGGCTTTAGACGCTGATATTTACTATTCAGCAGTGGAAACCACTGTGGACGCTGCCAAATAAGAATGCATCTTATTGGTAAATTTTACTGCCTGTCCATTATTAATTAGAGGGAAACAAATGTGACTGGAAAAGACTGTTCCTAATTTTTAATGCATTAAATTTCTTCTTTTCCTGAACTGATTAACTACAGGAACTGTGGTTAATTAAAGGTGGATGTACATCAATTTTATATGAAAATGGGTGTAAAATGTAGGAGATGAGGCTCCAACCCTGTAGAAGAAAATGATCTTCCACCAAAACTCAGAGTATAGCTCTAAAGTATGCATGTTGAAAGAGGCCATAGAAATACTGAAAAAAGTACATAATACGACTTTTAAGAAGTCTCAAGCAGCAATTATCAACAATTACTCTCTAAGGGCAAATATGATGACAGCCTATATTCACTGAGCAGAAGGCAAAAGCCTTTATATATTTTACACCATTATATTCTGTTGATTTATAAAACATATCACATACCTGTATTTTTGCCTGGGCAGACCGCAAATCTAAGATAATATAACCAACCATTTCTTTTTGGGATAGCACTGTGTCAATTGCATAACACTGTACAAATTCAAAGGTAAATATTCGATATTCAGAACAATTTGCCATTACAAATGAGCTAATCTGAAGCTCAATCATTCCTAAATCTGATCACTGTGATCATGGTGCTGATACGACACATGAGACTGTTCAATGTGCATGTTGTAGGCTATCTAACCTGTAATTTAATGGGCGTCCTTTGTAGTTTGTGTTGATGTAATGCTTTCTTATCTAACTCCCATGCCAATTCTGTTGTGAAGTTTGGACTTTCCGTATGATCGATGGGATCTGTGCACAATGTTTCGCCATCAAATTTTGCTTCTACAATAACTTGATGCTTTGACCTGCGAGGGAACCTTCGACCTGTTACGAGATTAATAATTTGGTGTAAAACCATAAGTTAATCTCATTGTAAATCAAGTCCTGAACAGGAATCAATCTCAAATATATCTCAAATACAAGGCAGAAAATATACGCTATAAAAGTAAAATACTTTGAGCAGGATGCTGTTTAAAATTCACCTTCAAGAATAGACACGATCAGGAGTACTTGATTAGATACGGCCATAATTTAACCACTTTATGATGTTTTCGTTTTGTTTTGAAAACTTGCAACACTTGTAAAGCCCGCCATTTTGTTGAGAATTGTGTGATCACAAGTACTTCATCTTACAAGCAATTTATGGGTTCAAAACGCGGAGCAAGCGGACAGACTCAGCGGCGACAGATGGTAATACAACTTTGACGTAAAAAAACAAAAGTCGCTGAGGAGAATCAGAAGATGCTGACATGACAGAAGAATGAGAAGATCGCACTTCAAGAAGATCAAACTTCTTCATTCCATTCTTGTGTGTCTTATGAGTGCAGCGTAACTGTTCATATAATTTAAGAGTCAAAGCGTAATCTTTATCTTTCTTTTTCAACCGTATTAACATGTCCGCTATCAACAGGCTCTAAATTCATTGAAACCAAGCAACAGCGTAATCGTATCAAATCTGGTATAACACGCGCCTAAAATAGCAAAAAAAACTTCTCGACCTTTCGACCTGAGGATTTCGTGAGGAGAATTTTATTAGTGTGGACTGTGGATGTACGTAAAAATAGATCACTAGTAATATATATAGATGCAAACTAACTCTTCTGACGGAGACGCTTTGATTAAGACGGCGGGAAGTGCTTTACTCTATTTTGGAAGTATTTTATACCGCAGAACGGCAGAAGCATTATCCTAATTCCTTGGCCCTTGGGCAAGGCTCAATCTCGTACGTAGAGTGGCTTCTTGGAAACTTTTTCCGCATCCCATATATCATTTCTAAAAGCCTTAAGATATCTCACTCTATCAATAAAAAATTCAAAAGTGATTTATAGTGATTTCGAAATAAAACTATATTCTGGGATATGGACCGATTAATGGATCATATGAACATCAAACATCAAAGGCTGTGTTATTGCCATGGTAACAAAACGATAAACTGTAATCTGAACCAATTGATTCAGTTGACATTCTATTCTTTGGCTAAAGTTATTTGCCATAAACATAATTAAATGTCGCTTCTCACAGTTCTAGTATGTCAGGCGGAATTTCTTAGGTCAACACTCGCTAAGCGACGAAGGATAAGAGGGAATAATGACAAACCGTGTAGGCCGTAAACAATACAGAAAATACAACTTGGTGCGGTAAATCTGTGTTGTGTTTGTTGGGTGTTTATAGATCGAGTGCTGTCTGTGTTGATGTTTTTTGAACGTCAAATTCGTATATTATTTATGGCTGCGTTTTCAAAGCAGACAGACTAAAATAAAGCTTGTGTTTGATGAGTTTATCACCTAGTAATCTGTCAATTCGTTGGATCTTAGTTACGGAAGTCTTTATAAAGTTGCGGTTTATATCATAGAAATGTCTAAAGTCTAAACCTTACAAATAGTTCCGAGCTGTACAAGTACTTTCCACAACCAAGGTATTGTTTGGAGGGTATACATCACTTACTAAAGGCAAAGACCGTGATTGTTAGATTGCCATGTCTCATAAAGCCGAGACTGACGTCTTGAAAGCAAAGCTTTCGAAAAAAATTGCCGAATTAACCATGGTCGTGCAGATGCTGTTCACGCGAAATCATGAAAAGGAACTCGAGCTTTCGGCGACCAAGAAGGCGTGCGAAGAAGAAATTCGCCGTGTCACCGAAGAAGGGAAAGGCAAACTGAACTGGCTTGAGAAGCAACTGGACGACTTGGAGCGATTTCGCACGCTACTCGAGATGAAAACGGACGAATGCGAACGAACTAAAGCCACCGTGGAAACGCTACACGAGAAACAATTACAAGCGGAACAAAGAGTGATCGAACGGGGCGCGATGCTTAGCGAAGCGTTGGCCGAAATCGAGAATTTGAAGAAGGAGATTGCCAGTCGTTCTCCAGAGGAAGTCGAAGCGCTCAGACGCCAGAAATCAGTGCTGTCAAACGAACTGTCGAGCGAGCGGGAAAATTTGGCCCAACAGAAGGATTTGGTGGGCGATCTACACAACAAAGTTGAACTTATACAAGCGAATTTGAATAACATGCTAAACGAAAACCAAACCTTAAAACTGGAATGTACGAAATTGAAAGACGATTTATCGTTCGCGCACGATGAAGTTCGCACGTTAACGCAATCACTGCACGAAGCGAGAAAGCATGGAGAACGGGCCCTTCAAAGAACCCGAAAGCTAGAGGAGAAGAATAAACAAATCGCTGCTGAAAAACTAGCGTTGGAGAGGAATCATGAACAGCTAAATGAACAAATGAACAAGTTGCTTTTAGGAAAACAATATTCGGACAAGCCGATAGAGAGGACAAGACCTTCATCCCCTAAGAAAGTGGATATCAACGCATTAGCTTTGGCTAAATTAAAACCAAAGCCGACACAGGTAATTATTGGGAGATTATCCAGAAACCAAAGTCATAATAGTTGTCTTAAGTCTTTGTGTTTGATTAATTAGGAATGGCATCTGATAAAGATCGCTCAATGAAATTTCTCTACTACGAGACCTAGATATTTTGGAATTTTTGGCATGTCCAAACCCAGATTAAGGCATGTTCGCCAAATGTATAAATTTTCTAAAAAAACACTATAAATCTGTGTATCTTCCCCCACAAGACTAGAATGTTACACAGCTTTCTAAATTTACGGATAACAGTCTCCTTTGCGCACACGTATGGGATTGAAAGTTGTCTTATGTTAAAAGGATAAATTCAACAGTTATACATAATGATCAAATTACACCGTGTCATGGAGTTTTAACCATAATTTTGCTCTATTATTCAATGCCTGGACTATTCAGAAAGATGACGAAGTACAATTCTTAAAGAGGGAAATTGAGAAGTATCGTCTTGAACTGAAAAATAGAGAAGTAAATTTCAATCGGGTGTTTGCAGAGAAAACGCCGCTCGTTATCAAGAAACCCGCAGAAATAACGGCAGAAGAAATGGTGAGTTAAACTTAATCTATTTTCAGAGAATTTCGTCTTACATCTCCTTCATCATCAGACTATACACTTTCCTGTGTATTAATTTGGTTGGTGTGTCAATTTGTTTAAGTTACCGTAACGTAAACAAATTGACACACCACCCAAATTGATACAAATGTTTTTTTTAAATGACTGTTGCCTAAAATGTTCTGAGCAGAACCGATCAGCAGAATCCGCTAATCCTCTTTAACAAATCTGGTTAGCTAAGAAAAATGTTGATTTTGAATTTTTCTCACATAGATCTCATGACTCATAACAGTAGACACCTGACAGTAAATTGTTTCAGGCATGCTTATAAAGGAAGAATTTCCAATTGCAAATTTGTTTACATTTAACCCAATAAGAATGCATAACGGTACATTTTTCTATTTTACATGAAGTATTAAAAATTAAGGCATTCTGATTCGCTTTCCCCAAAAATGTAAACAAATTTGCGGATTAGTTTCTCTCCTTGTTGGCATTCCTCAACTAAAATGAAAATCAACTGCAGTAAGTCAGTGACAAATAGCAGTCGATTGCCTGTCACCCCTAGTAATATACTGTATTCCTTTTTCCCTATAGCGTTTGAGGAATTTAACAGGCTTGACCAGTTACAGGAAAGCGTACGCCACATTACCTGCTGTTGTCAGGTCTGAGGCGAAACAACTGAATGACATACATTCAACAACAAAGAAAATGAAGCATTTATAAAAATACTATTAAAATCCATCACTTGTATGATAATTATTCTTATTTCAATAAATATATGTATGTATGCATCATAGTAAAATTACACTCTATATAATTTAATGTTATATATTCAATGAATTTATACATTGACTGCTATCCATTTACTGTCATTGAGAGTTCAAATTCAATAGCACTTATTCAATATTAGCCCTAATGCTATTGCCTTTGCCACTTATAGAGCATCACTTTGATATAAGGGGAAATATATTGCATTGGAGTGAGGCTTGGTATATATATAGCATAAAGGAACCCTTGCATAAATGCTATTGGCACAGCCAATCTGGTTATAAGTATTCTGCTATTTACTGTTAATTCAGCCCATGTTTTGTTCAGTGAAAGATTAATATTTATCATCCAATACATGGTAAATTTTATCTTGGGGACCAGTTTTTCAAATAGAAGTCACATTTTCTAACCGTATATATTAACCTTTAGTAATACGTTGTTTCAGAAGTCATTTTATAAACTGACTATACTATTTAACCTGGGGTTAGCAAAGATTTAGGCTTGAACAACTTGCCCAAACTGTTAAATTGCAACTTCTAATTAATTAGTATTAATTATGGTCACTATGTATATACGTAATCATAATATGGAAGTGGGAAATTCAGTAAGTTGTATGTACATTATTCTTTATACAACTGATGTTAAATGTTTAGATCAAATGATTCTGCACCTTTTCTCATTTCTTTCTCTATCAAAGCTCTCACTCTATCAACAGTCATGCCATTTTTATTTACCAACACTGACTTAATCTGAGATCTCAAACCTTTTTCAACGATAATGTTCGTTTTTCTCACTTGCAATACCCTCGCAAGATAATTGACCAGTTCAGCATTTGCCTCTATCTCCCTGGCAGGAGCACCAATTTGAAGTCCAATACTATATTCTGTAATGTCTGAAATCAGAGAAATAAAAGGGCTGACGATTTGCTCAATGAAAGTTTAAGGCAACATCTCAGTATCAGTCTAGTTTTAAAATAAACACAACTTATTGGCATTCAGGTATTTTAAGAATCATATGATATATAAATATAATGTTTAGTACCCTTGTATTAATTTATGCAGCCTGTGATTATTTGACAACAGTGTATTATCTTCTCCATGAATTATAAAGATTAGTTTACTTGAAACCCCCAAAACTATAGACACAATCAAGCTATGGTAATGCAAGGACCGAATATTGCCTTCCTTCATCCCCAGTAAATAGGCCTTCATGAGACACTGGCAAAGAATATACTTTTGAACTTTAAGCATCTCTTGTTAATCATCCGACATTCAGTAGAACAAATGGTGGGCTAAAGAACATTTAGGTACATTACCAGTTGACAAGAAACACTAGCTTGTCTAGCTAGTGTTTTATACTTATAGTGTATTATATAATTACACATGAAATTACATAATCATTGGGACCCAACTTTAAAGAACTACATCACAAGAACGGGTCAGGCAAAACACATTCACAGCATGCTCAAGATTGTCAGCTTAAATTCACTTTGACTGGTCATGCTAAATATTTGTAATTTTGTTTTCATTGCCCACAATAATAAATATAATTGTCACAACTTTCCACTTCCGAGTAAAATTCTTGGCATATTAAACGGTCCCAAATGCGATCCCTTTTAATTGGGTAAACGTCTAGAGAATATTACATAACTAACATAAGGGATCATTATACGCCAGATATTTTTCACACTCAGCACTCAGCAGGCCATAATTATGTTTTGAGAAATAGAAAATTAGTTTATGTGACATTTACTGTGCGATATTGACCAATAACAATAACATACTTCTCTATGTCACAATTACAATAAAATACTAAAATGTACTGTAATACGATACTTGAAAGACATATAGGCTGACCTGTTATTCTGCTTTCCTTTTCGCCCGGTTTCGCCAATATTCTCAGGACAATTCCGTTATTTGGACTTTGTGAGATTGCCGGCGCTGAGCGGTCAATATTTGAAAAACATTTGTCGCCATTGGACGGTACATCGACAGTTTTCTTAGCAGTCGTGACAGTTTTTTGAGCTATTCGTGGGCTTCTCCGCTTAGTCTCTGGTGAATCCAAATTGACACGCTTCCTACAAAGCGAAATCATGTCCATATCGTCGAGATTTTGAAAGTAAACACTCCGAAATGTTTCAATGTGTGTTTTGTGTATAAAGTCTCTTCAAATTCTGAATTGTCAGGGGGGAGCGATCACAAAGGAATAGCCATATGGATAGACCAGCGCGTCATAAGTCGTTCGTTCAAGGTCATGCATGCGACTTTACGTGCTGGGGGCTGTTTACATGAGCCCGGTTACCCGAGATTCAACGAAGCGTGAGAGGACTTTGAGGTATTGAAATAAGTCTTTATGTCACCAAACAAGCACATGCTATTGTTGTGGTGATTATACGACTGCCATGCAGGATCATGTTATCTGCTTATTTCAATACCTCAAAATCATCTCACTCTTCGTTGAATCTCGGGTAACCGGGCTCATGTAAACAGCTCCTTAATAAAGGCACTAAAAACCTTCTCTTTGTCAGGCCGGAGTTTTATCAAGAGGGTTAGACAGGTTAGTATTGCCGGAAAAGAGTATTATCATACTAATACGACAAAAAATTATTGAATATTTCAATGTGGTTAGTTTGATAAACCTTCATAACATGTGAAAACCGAATTTTAATTTAAAATTTAAAATGCTTTTTTCGCTCGCAATTGGCGTGAGGTCATAACGTGGAAGACGATCATGACGTCATGACATAGCCACATAGGATGAAAAAAGTATATCCCATGTTATGACGTCACTCGTTGGACGTGACGATTTCACACATGGCTGTAACCAATCAGAGGCACCGAATCTTTCAAATAAATACTAATTACTAACTCTGCTGGCGAGCTCTTAGATCGAAACTTAGAGAATTCCTTTTTAGGTAGTTTATTAGAGCGTATTTTAGCCGGAATATTGATCAAATATTAGATACAAGACTTGCAGTGGTCTGAGGTTATTATGTGTGTTTTATTGATCTTCAAAAATTAATTTTAACTTTAATAATCATCCCAGGTGCATTTATTTTTACTAGATATAACTTGTTGTGCATACAATTTAATGGTATTAATACGCCTATGATATATTCTTTAAAAGATTGCTTGTTTATAATACAATCCAAAAAATTTTAACATTTAATACATATGTTATCTATTTTATTTCCCAATTCTATTACCTATCACAATTATGTTTCTTAGCTAGTAAGTGTCGTTTTACGGATTATCAAGGCCTTCCTCTTCAACTAGGCTTTGTGAATGACGTTTCAACGGTCTCCTCGTGCCTTTCAGGAATGCAAAAAAGAAGAAAATCATTGGATAATACTGATTATATATAACAGATACTACTTTGCAGATACGGTTTCAAAATCTAACACTTACCCCGTTCCATAAATAGGGTTTTCTCTCCCTCTGGTTCTCTCTCCTGCAGGCTTGCGGCTGTTGGTAAAAAAGATGCAAAATGTTTACAAACAGAGTCTTTTATATCAACACCATCTTAATGATCACTAATATAGCATCATCAGCTGCAGCAATGGTACATGATTACCGTCACCATTGCTTCTACATTATCTTCATCTTCTCAACTAACACATTCCTATCATCACATCATTAACACCTTACCTGCGTCGTTTTCGGACAAAATAAACCGCTGCTATTATGATAATAATTGCAAAAACACCACCAACAACGCACGGTACAACAATCTCCAGTACAAAATTACTATCTTCCGGCCCCTCTCTGTCCAGCTTTGCGGGAAAGACGATTTGCACCCTGCGCGAATTCCCCAGCATCGCACCACCAGACACGTTCAAAAGTTCCACAGACAATACGACTTCGCTCATCTTTGTTGGAAAACCGCCGAATTTTAAATGGATGGATGAATTCCATTGGCTCTCCAAAAAAGTCAATTGGCCTCCGATCGGGGAAACGCTAAATGGAATGTCACCACCTGAAGGGCTGGTGACGATCCATGTGACATTAATGCTTCCGGTGGAACCTTTGCGCCTAACTATGTTAAGAGTAATGGCTTGTTTTGGCTGACCCGTCGAGGAATCTAAAATAATAGTTGATACATGTTAAATGTTACTTTGTTCGTTTTCGTAGAATAAATCATCACTACTTATTTGCATATGGCTGTCTACATAGGGGGGTGGCAATGACAAAAAAGAGAAACAAAGAACTTTTGAAAAGAAGGGATAATATATCCTATTAACACAGATCCCTATTAACACAGACGTGGTTGTCAATTGCAAGGAAATCTCCTTGCATTTTGGAAACCCTGATCACTATTAGAGTAGGTATGTGATCAGGTTTGACCCACTCTTCGCTTGGTTTTACCTGGTACTCCTGCTTCAAAGAGTAGCACGAGACAAGTGATGGGTTACTTACTGGACCTTCAGAAAGATTATAAAGAACTAATACAGCTATCCATGTATGGGTCCCTCACGCCGTAAAACAGAATCGATAAAAGGAAATCCGGTTACTGAACATTTTAAAAGCACTTAAATTGAGTGAAACACACCATTAAGGAATTCAATTATTCCATTCTCTGCTGTAAACGTCCAGAATAGGGCAAATTGAGTCAAATGACAGACGTGGACTTTGAGAAGTTTTGCAGCGTGATCAACAAACGTCCATGGCTCAGGACAGGTTTTGGCTGCATCGAACCTGGAAAAGATAAAAAAAAACAATTTGAAGGCCAGTATATTGTCACAAGATCATCCCGAAATCGTATTCACTCACTACTACTCACCATGTTTGATTTTTGGTGTGCCATAATAGAAGTACAGGATCGATATCGTTATTATTTACTTCACTACTAACAGTTTTCTTGTTTTGTTTCAACATTTGATCGACGTCGTAGAACAACGAGATGGTTATTGGCTTTTTGAAACGATATTCTTCTTCCAAAGTATTGTTTTCTGGTTCGTAGGCTTTGATCTGGAAACTGTAGTTGCCCAATTTGAAATGCTTAAAGTCAAAAAATAAAAAAATAAATATACCCACCGAGGCGAATTTCTTTAATTAAGAAGCTGTTCTGATTGTGCTCTAGCAACCTCAAAAGTAAGTCCTAAAAATTTGGATGTATATAGCCCAGGTAATATTTTACAATGAGCTGTCCTGATCAAGTAAGGAAGGTATTCTATCATAAGCCTTCAGTCTGTCATGGTCTCTATTGTAACTATCGGGGGCAATTTGTAGTTAACTTTTAACTGTAGTTAGGGACAGGATCAACAACAGGTCCCAGGAGAAAAATGTCTCAAACGTAATAAATCAGTGTAGGCATCAATACAATACGATGTTGTGGCATGGAATAGTAACTACATGCACAAACAACTTACTTTTGGCGGCTTCATGACAGCAGGATCAACAACAGTCGTATTATCATCTGTGCCATTCTTCAACTCTTCCTTGCCAAGGCTATAAACCTGAAATTTCACTTCATCTTCGACAGCTCCGGAGGGAACGTCTAAAGTTCCAAATGTATTTCCAACTTCCGAATCCTTTTCTTGTGTCTCGTTGGCGTTCACGTTCATAGTATCGAAGAAAAATGACCCAGAGTCATTTTTCGAAAAGACAAACTCGGTTTTTCCAACCACGATCCCATTCGAAGACACCGCCTCAGATTCCAGGCCTGCACCGTTGATGGCTTTCACGGTTACGAAATATTTGCGCCCCTTCACGAGATCTCCGTGTTTGAACTTTGCATAGTAGGCTGTCGCATTACCAATCTCTTGGAACTCATGGAGGTTGTCCAGTCCTGGAGACGAGCCCCAGCCAACCTCGTACGAGACTATGCCGCTCTCGGGATCTTCCGCTGCCCAATTGCCGAATATGATGTTGGTAAACACCTAAATGATTGAAAATTCTTTCAATGTTCAACCTATGTACATGAAAATGAGGTTAAAGAAAGGAACGGCAATGCTGTTTAACACAGCTACCAATTCTATTGCTGAGTTCTAAATGCCGAGCAATAGTATTGTTACAATAGTAGGAAAATTGCAAGGTTAAATACAATCAATATTGAAGTGGCACATGAACAAACTCTAAAGACTGTACCTAAAACACTCTATGTCAACTGACCTGGAAATCGATATCTGGACCCATCAATCCATCCCGAACGTACTGCAGAATAGGTGGTGTGGTGTCGATCAAAACGCCATCGCTTGACTTGGCTGTACATAATCCTGCATGATTACAAACCAAGACTGTCACATAGTATGAATCGTTGTGCTGCAAAGAAAGCCCGGTCAAAGTCTTATTAGGGTGATCAGTTGCATTTTCACACTCCATGATATCGTCTCGAAGTGGCCTGGAACCAATGCACCAGAACATATGCTCAATGTCGCTTTCATTGTCCCGAAAATCGATCCAGCGAGCGCTAATGGAGGCGGTGTTGTTCGTGAAATCCAAGTCGGTATCGGAGAAACTGCGACTCGAGCATTGATTCTCGGAACTGAGTGTCGTATTTGCTGAACAGTTTCGGGTTTCGTCGCTACCCAAGCCATCGTAGACTGACCCTGGTTCGGGCGAGGTGTTGTCGAGAGAGAACGAAATGCTGTCGGACGTAGTCGTGAGTCCCGATGCCGATCTCTGGCTGATCCTAACGAAATAACTCTGTTCGGATCCGGGAAGGTAAAATTCGTCATCACCAAAGCTGGGCGCAGACTCAGTAACTGTAAGATTAGCTCGATAAATATTTTGGCTTATGCTACGATTATTGACCTTACCACAAGGATATTTATCACAATGTGAAACTCTAAACATTAGATCTTCTGATTTTTTTAAACAAATACTACGACTACAGTTCACGCATTTCTCCTCAAATCCGGGGTATGCCTCTTCCCCATCGCCACAAGCGACACACTCCACTGTCTCCTTATGTCCAAGATGAGACACCTTCTTACGTACGAAATCCCGTGAACAGACGGATGTCACATAAACGCGTCCAGTTCCTGCATCTACATAATCGCTTGGCCATGTGTCTAAACCTGGACTGCCAATCACAACGTGTCCATCTGTGATTGCTACGGATGCCTTTGCCCTACCATCATCAGAACGAAGACCATTTTTAGTCAATACTCTCCCAATCTTTGCGCACCTATTTCCAGGTTCGTAAACACCCAAATCACTTCCATCGTGACCGTCAACCATGATACCAATAGCAAAAACACTCGACTCGCCTTCAAACACATCAAAACTCCCACTCAGCTGAACAAGTGTTGAATAAACCATTCGACATCTCCTGATCGCATTACCTGGTGGCTGCAATTCAAAAACTGTCAATGTTTTGTCTGAAATTGATAGAAGAAATAGTTCATTTCGTTTTGTCAGATAGATATTGTCTGGAAATTGATTGTTAAACTTTTTGGAAAGTGCGGTGTTGTTTTGCCAGGAATTATTAGACATTCTTGAATAGACATAGACGCCAGCACCAACTATAACCAAAAAATCTTTATTCAGTGCGATTGCCTTTCCAAAGGATTGGTCTTTCTCTCGCGATCCCAATACATGTTGCAATTCTAACTGATTCGAGTCATCTGCAATAAATATAGCAACAACACCGTACCCTTGTTGTGGATGCTTTCCGCTGACCGCAATCATTTTTGCGCCGTCAAAAGCGAACTCTCTTCCGACGTCTTCCGAAGAAGACCATCCGTCGTCCATCGTACAAGGTTCGATCGTGTCTGTACTTGTTTTATTACAATTGGTTATTCCTAAAATCGGCACGCTTCGAGCTAGATTTTCGGTATCAATTCTGTACAACAGCAATTTTTCGTTGCCGGATATAAAAAGGATCTCGTTGTATCCTTTAACTCTAACAAAGCTATTATTCATAGTAGAATTGAACGTCACTAAAGTAAGTGGAGTACTTTCATAGGACCCTCTTGAGAAAACGTATGCAGAATTTTGGGACGACACTACAATCAAATCAGAGTTGTTTTTCAAATAACTCACAGATGCGCCGAACGCAGTCGTTTCTCGAACTGGTTTAATCTGTTGATCAGGGTGAACAGTGCGGGGCTCTCTGTTCCTTCTTTTACAGCAAACATTAGCGTCATCGTGAATATGTAAATGGTCAAAAATATGTCGAATATCAATTGTTTCATTTTGTGTTTCGTTGGCGCCTGATGTGATCCTGTAAACGCTAGCTTGGACGGTCTCTCGGATTTGTTGTTTTCCCAAGTCGAAGGCATTTGGGTCTTCTAGGTTTGCTCTGATAACCACGCTGAATGGATCAGGAAGAAAATACGAATCTTCGACAAAACTTCTGGATAAACGAGGAATAGTAATGAATTTCCGCCAACGTTCCTGCTCTGTGTCCACCAAAGTGTCCGTAGCGTTAACCTGCAGAAGAAAATAAAAGTTGCTTGAACTTGACGTGGCTATAGTGTTCTGCCTGCTACCTCTGTCTAAGGTCTGATGTATATGCAAAGGTGTAATTAATTTGGATAAAGTGAATTTTACTCGGGACATACACTTATTTCTTGCTTTGCTTTTTGCCTCTACGCGGAGAACAAATTTTCAGGGAATGTGCTCTACGGACCAACCTGCTATCGGTCAATCTCTGGGGATCTAACATCAACAATAAACTGACGTTATATTACATAACAATGTTTCAATTGCGAGCACAAGACGCGTAAAATCCAAAACGCAGACACAGAATAGTAACGTTATTCGTCCACTAGAGTACATCGTTGAGACAAAGTAAAACTGGATTCTCGTGCACCTTACGTTCCTTACTCTCATACAGTAGGGACGGAGGAAAAGTGCTAAGGGTCAGTGATAGCAATCTTCTAATTACCTGTATATTCGGGGGTGCGTCAGGCAATATTTCAACTCCATCCCCAAAAGAATCTGTGCATAGGCCGTCTTCATTACATCGTTTAATCACCGGGCGATATTTCTTGTATGGTTTAATCATATCACCGCTGAACCTGATATACGCTCTTTCACGCGGAATGTCCACGAAATCGTAAGCTAACGGCTCGCCGCTCCATTTCCGTCGCAATGAACCATTTATGTTTAATTCGTCGTTCGGCTCAGTTAAAGCAGCCTGGACACTGGAATATGACGTCAGGTTGTTTGGTGACCAGGTAACTACAATCGCTTCGCTGTCGTTTTGGTAATCTATATTTTCCAGGGAGTCATTCTGGGCATTTATCTCGACAACATTTAGTTCAGGTGGGAAATTCTTCACTGGGTAACATGCAGCTGACTCAAGCACCGCTTTGTTGCCAACACCATTGGAGATGCGAAGGACAACTCGGACACTAGTTAGTGTAGAAAGTGAATGAACAACAGCAGATTTCGATAGTAGGTCGGTCGATAATGCTTGCCAAAGTTGTACGTTGCATGTATTATTCATGCTTTCGACACACCACTCGACCATGGCTATACCAGATTCTCGGTCTTCGTGCTCTACCCAGGATGCATTGATCAAATCATTTGCGCAAGAAAGCTTTATAAGAACACGTTCATTCGTTTCTAAAAATTTCAAGAGCTATTTATTGACAAATCAGCGGGAAGAAAGCGTTGCATGGTTATGCAGCGTCCGTACAGGTTAGGTATTAAATAAAACATAATCCTGACAGGACTTCTTGGAACAGAAAGAGCTATCCAGTGTAAGCTAATTTAACTTTCAAAGATTTTTAGAATTCTACCTGCAGTAACAATCGATCAATATTTAGCAAAATTTCAGTTAGCTTAGTTTTGGTTCCCTGTAGCAGTGACAATATAGATGTAAAACTCTACAAGATCTCTACAAGAGAATATTTGTACAGATTTCGTTCAGATCAAAAGGAACTCAACGTTGCTTGATAAGGACATCCTAAAATCTTATCTCCTGATGATGATGATTCAGATTTGAATCGAAATATAGTTTAACTTTGGTTGTGTATTTGTCAAAATATTTTATTTACGCAATGAATCTATTCGGAATAACCTTTTTTTTAAGCTATGTTTATGATTCCACCTGGAGTGAATGGCTTTATTGAGCTATCCAGCACCCGTAAATTTAAGTTAGGGCACAGTTAAGTAAGAACGGTATGTAGACAAATACCTGGTCTAGTTTCATTACAAGATCTTTCTGTGATGGCATTTGTGCAAATTTCCTCCAAATCAAACGAAGCTCCATTTAATTCCTCTACTGGACTTGGTGGAGTCAAATCAACTTTTATTTGATTAGATGAAACAAGAGTGGACAACCCTGCATTGTTCGTTGCCTTTACCGTGACGTAATATGTTTCCTGATGTCGCAATTCGTGTCCAGTGAAGGTGTGATTTATGTTCGAACCAACAAACTGGAAATCGATCTCGTCACATTCTTCTTCAGTTGTGCCAAGGCAAACTTCATATTGAGAGATATCTGACTCAGCATCCATGAAGTTTTCCCATCTGAAAAAAAAACAATTCATGAATCAAATTAATGGTCATAAACGGCTAAAATTACATTATTTCTTTTTCACTGGACTGGGATTTTTAGTTCTACTATAGTTTTTTAACTGAATTTTTTTATTGCTATGATTGGACCAATCACCATTGAAAGATGACGCTACGTCCACCTGTTCCTTACTGGATCTCCAGAAAAAGCAATTTTAAAACTGATAAAAGTTACCTCGCTGTGATCTGATGGATTTCAAAGTTACTCGGTGATGGGACAACAATTGCGACTTGCCCGGAAACAGGCGCCGTTGAATCAACAGTGAATCCATCTGATGTGGCATCCGTCCTCAAATCTACCATATTGATAGCACGAACTATAATCACGTATTTAATACCACTCTGTAACTCCGTCCCTAGGAAAACAGTCATGAACAAAATCAGTTCATGTATGTCGCCCGCCTTGCTGACAACGTCACAATTATACTGGTTAAATATAGTTATTTCAGGGCGTGACGACGGTGGAATACATGAATTTGTTTCTAGTGTAGTAAAAAGCACCCGACTAAAATAATGAATACTCGGGACTTCATGATACAAGTTTTTAAAAAGGAATATAATTTATTTGTGTCAACACGAAAAAGCAAAATATAATTACCGGATAAGCTAATATTAGTTTGAGGTCCCGTGTCTGAAAACGCCATTGGACAAACGGTTACGTTTTCTTTTTCACAAAGAGCAAACTGGTACGATTTAATTCCACTTTCTGGATCTTCAAATTCAGACCATCGAGCGTACACGGTGTTACCACTCTTGAGATAGTCGACATCATCATCTATGCCATCAGTTACGGTACCAACACGTGGTGGCGTGTAATCAACTGTAACACCATTAGATGCCAAAACACCGCTCAAACCAGCGCCATTGATTGCTTTGACAGTGACGTAATAACTTTCTCCGTTTTTAATTGGTTGATTCAAGAATGTTGATATTTTGGTCGCGTTAACGTTCAACGAGGAACTGGGATTCAGGTCGCATAATCGGGGCCCAGACCCGATACACCACGTGAGGGTGATGATTCCACTATCAGGATCTTCAGCGATAAACCACGAAGCAGACACACGTGTGCGACTTCGTTGGTAGTCAATATCCTTTGTCTCTTCGAAACCATCGACAACATTACTTAACGGTGGAGCTGTAAAAAAAAATGACAGTATAAATAGGTTTTTTATATTACGCGTTTTTTTGTAAAAGTCGTACTAAGAAGCCTTCATGGGTAGGTTATACTTTTTTGCGCTCACCTGTTGTGTCTACAGTAATGGGTTGTGAGGTAGTAAAGTTCGTAGAAATCCCAGCGTTGTTGATGCTTTTTATAGACACAAAATATTCTTCATTGTGAATCAAACTTAAATTATACCAAGTGTAGCTTGACGTGTTCCCGACGGTAACCAGGTTGGTTACATCACACAAGGAAGGTTCAGTACCCACACACACTGAATAGCTACGGATGCCAGTCTCGATGTCAATGAAACCATGCCAGCGCGCAAGAATGGCTGACGAGACGAAATCATATTGTTCTCCCAAGGGGTTTAATACCACGACATCTCCAATGTCAGGTTCGCTTGTGTCAATGATAAATGTAGGTGAAGCTGACGATGAGCTTAAACCAACTTTGTTTGTTGCTGTGATCATTATTACATAACTCTGGCCTTCTGTGATTTCTGGCTCTTCAATGCACACTGACGTTCTGTTGTTGAGGTCTCGTGTTGGGATGGGGCAACTTTGATTATTATGTTCCAAACATAATGAAAATTGATACTCAACCATGCTTGTTTCCGCATCAGTAAAAGTGTCCCATGAGGCACAAATGGCGCTTTTCGATGTCAGATATATTGTATCACCTACCACTGAGCTTGGTGATGTGATCTTGACCTATAAAATACATATATTTACCTTTAGCATGAATGACAGTAACGCTGAAATAAGCTAACATAGGTTCCTATGATAAGTTCTTACTGCACTAACATCGGACCAAGGGGGGACTGTAAAATCACACGTATATAAAAAGACACTTACATATCCTGGATAAGGCGGTGTACTGTCCACTAACAATCCATCTGAATAGACCTCCGTCAGCCCACCAGCCTTGTTATAAACTCTAAGCGTAGAATATACAATTACCCCAGAACTTAAAGCTGGCTTAAACTGTAAATATAACGCGAGTCCATTGTTCACTGTGGTCAAAGGTAGTATATCACATGACCCTTTAACTGTGCCTGCGCAAATGACGTATTTCAAAACTCGAGTTTCTACATCGTGGAATTCGTCCCAGTTGCAACTAACGTGGGAATCATACAATGTGACATCGATATCTGAACTATCTCCATCACGAAGACTCCCACCCACAGGAGGCGTCCGGTCTATAAATATCCCATTAGAAGTTGCAAAACTGGTTTGCCCAGCTCCGTTCACGGCTCTGACAGTTGTATAGTATGTCTCATTATGTGTGAGATTAAGATTATTTATCAAGGCTGTGGTAGTCAAGCCGACATCTTGAAACCTATAAACATCGCAGAGACCAGAGTTGGACCCAATGCAGACCTCATAGCGGATAATCCCACTTTCTTTGTCTTGAAAACCTTTCCAACTTACAGAAAGTTGTTCAAATGAACTCTGATACACTTCATCCTTCAAATACGTATCCCCATCAAACACCATGCCGGATTCGGGCGGCGTTTTATCGAGAATGAACGGATTCGAAACTGCTGTTGTTTCTAGTTCGGCGTGGTTTGATGCCCTGATGACAAGATTATACTCCGTGCCCGGATCAATTCCAACGCCTCTTAGGATAAGACTTGTCTTCAACCTTGCATTCAAAAACTCGGATACACATTTTGATCTCTGACTTGCTGAGCAAACCTTCCACTCATACATATTAATCTTGCTCTCGGGATCTGCAAATCCTTGCCACGAAGCACGAAGAAACTGTCCTTCTTGTAAGAAGACCAAAGCATTCTCGTTGCCAATTGTGACCGTTCCTTTCAAAGGCGGAGTGCTGTCTACCAATATGCTACTTGAATAAGCAATGTTCACTAATCCTGCTTTATTTTCTACAATAAGCTTAAGCATAAACACCGTCCCAGTTTGAAGAGGTTTGGGGAAATTAAGACTAGGACTCTTAGAGGCAGGTTCCACAGATTTCTCTGACACCAAATCACAATCATCCTTAATCGTAGTTGCACAAAGGGTGGCACTTTTGACTTCACTTTCCAGGTCGTACACCTCGTCCCAGGTGGCTGAAATCTTGGAAGGAGTTGTTAGAATACTTGTGACGACAAAATCAGTACTATTTGTCACATTCAGTTCAACGGTATGAACGGAAGTTGCTGAGAAGCCCTCAATTACGGGGGGAGTGGTGTCAACGGCGAAACCGTTTGAAGACGAGGTTGTTGATAATCCGGCTCCATTAATGGCAGTTACTGTGACAAAGTAAGTATCGCCTTCCTTAAGGCTTACTTGCGCCGTTGCGTGAAGGTTCAAATTGACTGAGGTTTGGTTGGTAACGTCGCAAGAATCTGCAAAACAATAAAATGGACAAGAATTTTGAATTTGAGTCTTGTTTTCAAAGTGAAGTCTAGATTCTGGAGGATTAACAAAAAAAATTATTCTCATTCATGTAAAGCCACACGTCTCAGCCATGCAAAGCAAAATTATGTTTATTTACCTGGCGCAGTGCCAACACAGTACATGTATTCCACCACATCGCTTTCCGGGTCAAGGAACTCACTCCATGTCGCCGAGACGTGATTAGTATTCGCTTGAAAATCTACATCACTCGTGCCATTTCCATCGCGAACTACGCCAGGCGTTGGCGGCAACCAATCGACGATAATTTGCGGTGACGTCATACTCGTTTCCAGCCCTAGCACATTCACTCCGATAACTGTGATGTAGAACGAAACCCCATGATTGAAATTAAAGTTAATTTCTGCGAGGTTCATCGAATGTTGACTTCCATCCAGTTTAGTGAAGGAGTATAAGTCATCGGATTTGGGTGAACCGCCGATGCCAAAGTGATATTCTTTTATTCCGCTTTCCCGTTCATTCATTGTCCATGAGATTATCGGTGGAGTAACATCAAATATATAAATTACTTTTGTACCACGCGACCCGCCGACTTGAATACCTTCAGCCAAAGGTCCTGTTCGATCGACAGTGAAGCCATCAGATACAGCCGATACAGTTTTGCCCCTTTCGTTTGACGCTTGCACTTCAAAGCCGTACCGCTGACCAGGAAGTAAGGAGATATTATGGAACTGATGTGTGGATGTTTTGAGAGGAGGGTCTACCCGAGCTAATGATGTCGAGCAATTTAACTGCTCAGCGGTTGTGAACGGCCCGTAACACCATGCATAATGCCCTAAGCTGTACACAGGGTCCTTAAATCCTGCCCAATGAAGCCACACAGCTTTATCGTCGAGTTGGAAGTCGATGTCCTGCGCCAACGGTCCGTCGAATATCACACCAGCAGTCAGCTTGCCCAATTTCACCAATATTTTATTTGAGCAACTTGTAGCGGATAGCCCAGCGCCATTAGTCACCCGTATGCATACGCAGTAAGTTGTGTTAGTGTAAACAGTTTGGCCACTTATAATATACCCATTTATACTACCTGTTAGAAAATTATAAAATTAAAGACAAAACAATCATTTAGTGTTTCTTAGGGGAAAAATTTCCGAGAATTCGACAAACTGTTAGCAGAGCCAATAGAGACATATTTAGCAGAAACAATCAGGGAAATTCAAATCGTGTAAAATGAGCTAGAATTTGATGTTGACACCGCTACACCGACGACAAATCATCTGAAATTTGCCTTACTAATATTTCAATCTTCGACGTTAGATGATTAGTTCACTATGCGAAAATATCGACTTTCTTCATTAAGTACAATTTTGCATTAACAAACACTATGACTGAGTTTCCATACAATATCCCTATTGACTACTTAGACTATGTCTTCTTTGGATCATGTATTTTCTTATGATGGAAAATCTCACAACCCCTATTAGTATTGCTAATAGATCCAAAACAAGAACTGAATCAATTCAAAAAACGACATAAGAATATTAACCTGTAAACTTGATTTTCGTGTAAAACACATTCCCCAGCAGTTTGGTCTTTTCACCAGATGAACCTATTGCCCAGGCGTACGTCTTCACGCCACTCTCTTGATCGACAAAACCACTCCACTTCACTGTGAACGAAGCGCCGTCGGTTGTGTTCGGATTACCATCGTAATTCGAAGGCACTGCGAAATTGGCCGACACTCGACCGGTGGAAGGAGGGGTACGATCAACCACGACACCGTCAGACACAAACAATGTAAATCGACCAGCTTTGTTTGACGCTTTGAAGTAAACATAGTAGGTCTGGCCGAGTTTGAATGGAATCCCAGAAATGACAAGTTTTGAAGAATTATGCGAAATTTTAGTGAAGTTTCTAGGGTTTTCGACATCGGGTGATGTATTTAGACACCATGACAGGGTTTTTACGCCACTTTCATCATCATCCAATTTCCAAGTAATTTCAATACTTTTGTTCTCCACTCGATACGCGGCTGCAACTTTACTAAATACGGGGGGAGTAGTATCGACTATTACTCCTGGTGCCCAGTACTCCCTCGCTAGCTTTACCATGTTTGTGGCGCGAAGGCCAATTTGATAGTGTCCGCCATTCTTAAGTTTGAAGATTTGTTTACCAGCCCCGTCTACGACCGCAAGGGACGAGAGCGCCGAGATACCTCGTATTTTATGAAATGGAAGAATATATTGAGAAGTATTGAGGTCTTTAACAGCAAAATGATACTCGTTAATTCCTGTCTCATTGTCACCGCATTCGAAATGGACTGCAAGCTTCCTTGTCTGGCCAATAAAAACAGTCTTAGTTCCAGCGATAGACACGCCATATACATCTTTACATATTGGTGCCGAACCATCCACCACGAAACCATCGCTCACTCCGGTCGTATTGAGCCCAGCGCCGTTTTGAGCCGTCACTGAAAAAACATACCTCTGACCATGTTTCAACTCGTTCCCCCCCAAAGCAATCTGCACGCTCCGCTTATTTCCGGGTACTTCCGACGGACCAACGACTCGTTTGCCATTTTTACTCTGAAGGATGGATATTGCGTACCTGGTGACATGACTTTCTGCGTCGATAAATTTCCAGCTTGCAGTCACGTGAGGGCCAATACCAATATAGTCAACATCTTTGTAAGCACTGGTTCCGTCATTTAGATAACCTAGCAACGGTGGCGTAGAATCTACTGTAACGCCATCGCTAGACAGCGAGTTTTGTAGACCAACTCGGTTAATGCATTTCACGGTGGCGAAATATCTATAGCCATGGGAGAGAGAAATATTTTTCAGAGTATACGAAGATTGGTATGGAAGCACACGCTGATAGCTTGCGACATCCACATCTCCAGGCTGAGTTCCAAACCCGACAAATGTGTACATCAACCCACTGTCTGTATCATCACATGTCCAACTAACAGCCAACCAGGACTCTTGCGTTATATAGTTAAGTTCAGGGTATGGGTAGACCCCGTCGGAAACTGGTAACAAAAAAGTAGGCGGTGTGGAGTCGATTAGTACCCCACTCGAAGTTGCGATCTTGCTGGGAATTCCTAACGTGTTAAATCCAACAACTCTAGCATAATATTTGACCCCATTTCTTAATTCTGAGACAAGAAGGTTTGAACTCGCCGACGAGGTGACCAAGCCAACATCAGTGAAGGGTTGAATGTCTGAAATATTTTCTGAAGTGCCGAAGCCCAACTCATAATGGTGAATCGAAGTTTCGTTGTCATAAAAGCCGCTCCAACTTGCATGCAGTATGTTGGTTTCACGTTGGTAAGTTACGTCTTCCCGGTTTTGCCCGTCCGTGACTCGCCCGCTTACAGGTGGACTTGTATCAACAAGGACGCCATCCGTCCAGTAGTTACCAAGGTTGCCTGCATTATCTTTAAGCTGCAGCAGTGCGTAGCAGTTTGTTCCTGATTGAAGGTTGATATTTGTGAATGAGTAGGAGAGTAAAGAGTTTGGAATTTTCACCAGAGGATGGATATCACAATTATAGGTTTCTTTGGTGGAACTTAGGCATACTTTTGTTTCATCAATGCCAGAAGAGTCTTCGATACCTTGCCAATGCATTCGGAAAATAGTCGCAAATGAATGATACCGAGCATCTTGCGTGCCCCAACCGTCGAGAACGCGCGCAACTAAAGGAGCTTTATTATCGAAAATCAATGGCGGCGACGAAGCAACTATTAATAGTCCGGCAGAATTGATTGCCTTCACGGAAATGTAATACTTTCGTCCGTTCTTTAAAGTGGTTGTGATTGTAGCTGTCCAATTAACACGAATCACATTCGATGTAACATTAGGTTCGTGGGTTACAAACGGTATCACATCGTCACCTCCGGGATACGATGACACTCCAAGGCTGTACCGAGCTACAGCAGATATATCTTCGATCATCTCGAAGTAAGCCGAGAACACATGATTTTGGGCGCGCTTGTATCTGACTGGTTGGTTCTCGTTACCATGGTGAAGCTTCACTAATTGGGGAGGGGTTGTATCAACAATAAATGATTCTGATATCGCATTTGAGCGCACTCCAGCACGATCTTCGGCTTCAACAACCACTGAGAATACACCATTTGGCATTACCACGTGTAGACCACTAATTACAACACGGCCCACGGTCTTGACGGGAACCAATAATTCAGCAGTATCGTACGAAAATACAGACAACCCAAATTGTTTGATTCCAGAGTGTTTATCGTAGAAGCTCAACGAATCGCAAGTGTCGGCTCCAAATTCTTGTTTGGCTTTGTCCGCTGGACACCACTGCCAGCGGGCCCATGCTCCTTTGTTGATCCATGTGATTTCGAGAGGCGGTCCATTATGACCAGCGATTGCAGTGCCAGGGTTGGGTGGTATGAAATCAACCATAGCCCCATTGCTGGTACCATTCACACACATTCCCACTTTGTTACATGCTATTACCGTCACATAGTATGTTACGCCACTTTTTAAAGCGCCACTACTTATCACGACTTGCGTTTTCACACCATTGCCTCTGAAAGCTGTCTGGTCATCTGTTCCCGGACTCGTTCCCAGACCTACAAAGTATTCTCCGATTCCGCTTTCGGCATCAGCGAATGCGTTTTCCCAGTGAGCTGGAAAAATATCAAATCCTGAGGTATATCTTTTGTCTATCCCTTGATATCCATCTCTAATGTAGCTAGATAACACCGTCGGTTCTGTCGTATCAACAAGTATTCCATCCGAAGACATTGTCTTTACGAAACCTACGTTATTTCGAACTTTGATCGTAACGTAATACCGAACCAATGACGTAACATTTATGTCGTTGAAAGCCACCCACGTGGTGATCAAGTCATCAGACATCCTATTCGTGAGCTCTCCGATGTCGACAAACGCGTAGACGTCATCTCCACCTGGGTAAGTTCCCACGGCGGCGCGAATAGACTGGATACCACTTTCATCGTCATAACACGAAAACATGACAGTTAGGTTGGTAAGCTGTCGGACAAAATCTTTGTCTATAAAGTCATTGAGACTTATGACGTCATCCGGTGGACCATTGCATTCTGGAACTGTATCATCAGGAATAACACCTGACATGTTTACCGTCGAATATAAGCCAGCGGCATTGGTACCTTTAAGGACAGAAGTGTACTTTTTCCCGGCAATCAAGCTTAAGCTGTCAAGCAACGGTGACTTTTGATACAGCGGTATGGTTTTAAAAGCTACGACTTCATTTCCAGTTTCTTCATCAATAAGCTTCCACTCGTAGCGCATCATAGGACTTTCAGAGTCCAAGAAATGTTGGAATTTGCCAAAGATTCTCCCCACTGAAGGTATGTATCCTGTACCATCTTTTCCCACAGTGAAGTTACGTGGTACTGGTGGAGTGGTATCTACGGTTATGCCATCACTGCAAGCTACACTTGCTAATCCCAAGAGGCTCACAACATATATACGAGTGTAATACATTTTTCCACTGGTAAGCTCAAGTCCGGTCTTTTTGATGGTGTAACTCTCTCCAATCTCTCGCATACTAAGTACATCAGCCTCGTCTTCGGACAAAGTACATTTTGAAGACGAAGATATTCCCCATTTGACGCTCGCCAAATCTGCAAATGCCCCTGCAAGACCGTACTTAACAGCGAGGCTTGTCGCATCCGTTTGGTAGTCAATATCTTCCGATGCTTCACCATCGTGAACAAACGTTATGATCGGCGGTCTCCGCTTGGCAGTGAAAACAGGGCAATGCGCGAATGGACTTTTCAAACCTACACTATTACGGGCGTATACTGAGATGTAGACAGAGCGACCATGCATAATACGGAGATCTTGAACTAGCAGACTCTGTCGTTTCTCGTGGATTAAATAATAGTCATCACCTGATCCCCTTATAGAGCCGATAAGGACGACGTAATTTTGAATATTCGTGTCTTCAGTGAAGCCATGCCATTGAACAAAATATTTCTTACTTCCGACCTGCTTTGCGCTGCATGATCCTACACCGGGGGGTGTCTTGTCCACATCACGTTGGCAGTTACTGAATAGGGTCTTGTGTATAGAAGGAGACGACCAGCTCCACTCTGCAAACGTTTTCTTTCGACCCCAACGGAGTTCAACGCGAATTCTGAACCATTTTTTCAATCGAACTTCTACACGCAGTCTGAGCTGGTACCAAAGGTAGATGCGAATAGTCAACGGTGTCATTTGCATTTTGAGTTCCAGACATGCACGTAACGGCCATTTATCGATGCGCACAGCAATTTCGGGGATAAGGTAAGTTTCCAGTAGTTTTGCCTCCACCGTCACACCCGCTGCTACGAGAAATAAATCCACCTTTGCCCCTGCGTATACGGACAGCGACACACCTGGGATGATTCCAAAGCGAATTTCTTTCTCGCGTAGGCAAAGCGAGATTCTGTAGTTCACATTGTAAGAGGCCTCTGCGCCGAAATAAAGTGTGATTGGTATCCCGTAAACTATTATAAAGTAATTGACTTCAGCGAGCGGTAATGTACCTAAAAAACAAAGCCATGTTTGAACTGACTGCTCTTTTCGTTCTTGTTTTTACTTGTGCATCAACTCTAAAATAACATGCCTATTAGTCTAAAGAGTCAAACGTAATGCGCCTTACTATTATATTTAAACTACGTGACAATGAAAATTACCAAATTCGTAGCAACAGACACAAGCCTATTTTTGATAAACCTAACAAACACTCGACGGAACAAACTTCCTATTCTGTGGAACTTATGCATGGAATAATCTACCAATTAACTTTAGCAGCAAACAGCAAACAGCAAACACATACAAATGTTAACTACACACTTTAAAACTTCGCTTAACAACTACCTTATGAAAGTTTGAGTAATTGCCTTATTTCACTTAAAAAACATTTCATCAGGTAGTTTTATGAAAAATATATAATTTCTAGGGAAAGAAACATAGGCGCACAACCGCATTTATGAGGCATTAAACTACAAGACACAAACCACGAACCTTTTTTCAGCACACCTTCAACGTTCTTAATACAAGAAACGCTTTCGGTCGTTTGTCGCCGTACCCTCTTATGTCCCTCAAGTTCCTTGGTGTATACATCAGCATCCAAGACTTTTTCCAAAGCGCTACGCTTTCGGCGCTTCCCACAATGCCGTTCACCAATGGGAAAAAGGCGCTTAGCAGGTATAATATAATCCCCGCCCACTTTAAGGAAGACGCAGTTCTCTGTGATACCAAAGCCCGTTGAAAGAATCGGTAATTTAAACTTAAAAAACCTATCTTCAAAATCGCCGCCGATTCGCTCGATCTTTTCTTGTTCAGAAAACGTTCCACTTGAAAATGCGGTGACCAGGTGCTCTGAGTCTACGGTTTGGACGGCTTCCAGGCCAGTGGGTGTTCGTACAACTCTATGGATGGTTGATTCGCCTAAAACGCCCCTGTCGACACTATGGAATTCCAACTTACACTGGAGACCAGCAACCAGCGCGCACTTAGCCACGGCAGCGTACTTTACACCAAATTGTCTTACAATCGCAAACCCGCGTGTATGTTTTCCTGTTTTGATTGTTTTTTTAAGTAATAACACATCACCAAATGGACTTACATCATAGGAGTGGACATTATTTCGAAAAGCGTCGACAACCCAGATTTGACTGTCTCGACTGTCGTAAGACAGGGTTGTTGCTTGATGCAGAAGTAACTTTGTTTTCGAAATATTAATGATAGAAGGGCCACTGGTTGACATGCTATTATGAACCTCTGATACCCTTACAGCATACAAACTACTTTCACTTGTGATCCAAATTAAGGTATCTTTGACCACAGCAACGCCTCCCATGTCGCCTATGAAAGGCTGGCCGTCTTGTTGAAGTTGAATGATTTTTGATATTTTAGTACTTGACGACCCTATGTCAACCACAACCAACAGAGAAGCTTTCTTAGTGTTTGCCGCGACGCCGCGCATGCCCAGTAACATTTCATTATTGGACAGTGGTGCAATACCCCGCACTTTGTAGTCATCAAAAAGCCCAGGAACAAGCCACTTTCCTGTTTTGGAAAACGACGACAGGTCATTTAAATGCGGATATTTCCATAAGAAAACGGTATTGAGATAAAGATTTGTTGACCTTCGGATTAATCTGAGGCACACTTCCTTTGAGCAGTACGCGTATTTGTTCCAGGGTTTATAATCCCGGGTATTTAATCCTTTCTGGCGTATTTGAATCGTATTCAAAAATGAGATAATTTTATCGAGAAAGGCGTTCACAGCTTTAGAGGTCTTTTCCACTTTTTCGCCGTAGTTTTTGAGTTTGCCAGAAAAAATGTCCATAAAATCATCAGACTTCGAAAGAAAATCTAATACCGTCCCCTCTAACGGACTCACGATATTTTGAGCATCTTCAGTGAAGGACGTCATAACCCCAACCACTCTGTCAACGGCTTGGAAACTCGAGTTGAACAAGTTTAATTTTTTACTGAAGACATACGACAAGCTTAACATTTCTTGAACAACTTTTATGTTGTCTTGAAAGAGTTTAATATTGTCGGAATAGATGCTTTTTAGTTTACCAAATACTTCTTCGACAAGTTTTTCTATTTTTTCTTTAGTATCATCCGCTTTTTTCACGTGGTGAGCCAGGCTTCTGACTTTCTCAAGAAAGTCTTCAACAGTTTTTTTCTTATCCTTGACAAGCTATGGATGAAAAGATGTGAGGAAACAGCAGAAATATTTTGGTAATTAAGTATTAGGATGTTTGTCTGACCTAAAGTATGCATTTTATGGCGGAGTTACACACTTCACTTATTCAATAGAAAGTATAGAAGTGTTTTAACAGTTAGGATTTGTTTCTCATGGGGCCCTAAGTGTTCCTAAGTTATCTATTTCATGCCCACTTAGTTGCGCCAACAAGATTTAATTTGGCCATTTCCCCCCCTTACAATTACACATCGTAATTCGACAAATTTGAAACCTTACCCTTGTAGGAATTGTAGGCATACAAATATTGCCATAATTACAAACGTTTTGGTTGCAAAGTATGACATAGGACGGTATGCAATGCTATATCACTGTACGGACAAGACAAAAGAAAGGAGCAAAAATTTTCAAACCTGACGTTCTTTCTCGCCGAAATATTTCCCAGTTATCCTGCGGGCCAAATCCATAATTTTCATCACTTCGTCATTGAAAGAATACTCCTTCACCATTAATGAAATATTTTTCACTTTTTCTACGATGCGCGAGACCTCCTCCACGGAAACTCTGTACGGTTCCAAACTTTCAAACAATTCTTTTCTATCAAGTTTCCTCTGCAAAGTTTTAATCTTCTTCGAGATACCTTGAGCTTGTTTCGTGAACGCCTCGGTCAAACACGTTCCTCCGTTCACACAATTCCGTAGACTCAGACTCTCCCACTCGTCGGGTAAGAGTTCTAGGAATGCTTTGACCTCCGACCGCAAATCCTTATACTCGTCATAAGCTTGTTTACCGAAGGCCTTGGCACCTTGACTGTATTTTGCAACAGCATCATCAAAAATAAACGCGATTTCAGAACAGTTTGGTAGTTCAGATACTTCTTTCAGAATCGGGGAAAAGTGTTTAGAAAATGGTTTCATAGCTATCAAGACAGCCTCGACTTCACTTACAGACTCTGAAATCTTCTCCATAACGCCCTGAACACGCGTTAACGGTTCTTTTAACAAGTTTAATTTGCCAACTGCCCTAGAAATTAAAGCGTCTGTTTCTTTCGTTACAAAGTTTCGAAACTTCCTGAAGAAGGTATCTCCTTGGATTTTTCTTACAGAATCTTGAGCAAGTGTGTGGAACTCGTTGCAGAGATTTCGCAACTTTTCGTCAAAGTCTAATTTGAATTTTTTTCCTATGTTAAGTTTCTTCATTTCGGCTTCCCAAAGTGCAGCGTTCGAGGCGAAGTCGTTCACCTTATCGGCGGCCTGACGGGCTTTATCGGCGTGTTCCGGAAATTTTATTAGGTACTTTAAAACATCTTTAATATTCTTGGAAACCTTGTAAACTTCCGCGTAGAAATTGTTTTCGTTTTTGAGCAAGGATAAGAATTCGTCGAGCGTCTCTGCCACTAGAGCAAACTTTCCCAATCGCTTCTGCAAGTTTTTTCTTTGCCAATTTTCTACGTTAGTGACGACAGTTTTGAACTGACTTATAAAATCAGTGATACCATGGGAATTGCTGGTAATAAAATCAGCTAGTTCTTTAACGGCATTTTCGGCTTCTGATTGGATATTGTCCAGAATTTCGCCGGAGAAATCTGCGCTTTTGTGGCAAAATCCTGCCGCTTTTTCGGTTGTGAACTCAGCAACGTTTTCGGCCAGTTCCTTCACATTTTCAAGCGAAGATTCCAACTTTGTTAAAAATTGATTTACAAATTTCTTTGCCATGTCCGAGAGATCTATCTGAAGATTATTTATGGTTCGATCCACAAATGAAGTAACGTTAAAAATTTCTGATATAACCAATTGGGTTTCGTCTTTGACTCGTCCGATCGCAGCTACTGTCTCATGTTCCAAATCTAGTCCAAATTCTTCTAATTTTACAGCTGACTGCGACATAAATCCTTGAAATTTGCAAACCTTGTTAAGCGTTTTTTTCGAAAACTTCGCAACTTCCTTTCCTAATTCCTCTAGGAATGTGACTGTGTTACTAAAGTTTAAGAGTTTTCTATCTTGCTGCCCCAAAATGGTGTCAAACTTTTTCATAATTTCTTGAAACCACAGCGCAACATTCAAGACTTTTGTATCCCGTACAAGATCCGCGTCTATTGATTTCAATTCGTTTCTCACACTAGGTAGGAAATCGCGGAAAATCTTTTGCAAGTCAATATTCTGGCCGTCCATATGTCGAAAAATTCTTCCCAAATAACGGAAAAAATTTCGAAGTTTTTGGAAATCTTCTCCGGAGAAATTGATCTTAAAACTAAATTTCACCCTCCAATCGTATGATAAACCGAAGTCGAAACGGTGATTTTGACTAATTGGACCAAATTCTGGAAGGCTAGGCCTGGGTAATTCAATTTTTATTATGCCTCGGAACACAGACAGCATTTCAAGAAGAGTATTTCCAAAATTTATTAGGCGCATCGTGACGGTTTTAAACTTATCCAAAGATACTAGAAAACGGAGGGTGGTTTTAAAATGCAACATTCCCAAAAAGTTATCCGGAATTTTACGGCTTATTTTCCTGAAATAATCCTTCGCAGCATCTCCAATCGAATCAAAACGGCCGGAGATGTGTTTCAGAAAGTCCTTGATGTTGAAATTCTTCGTGACATCCTGAGGAAGCTCAGAGGCGATCTTAGAAAGGGAAACCATGATTCTGTTCAAAAATTTAGATCCTTCTTCAAATGGACCATTTGATAAAAGATTTAGGTGCTTCAGATTTTGTGAAAGCTTTTTGACCAACGAAGCAATGTTTTGCCAAAGCCCGTTAGTACGTGATGCATCTTTAACAAATCTTGCAATTTGACTGAAATATCGCCCGAAGCGTGTAGCCTGAACAGAACGCTTCAGAAACTCAGCAGCTTTTGTGATGAATCCTAAAAAAGCATCTGAGTCCAAAGGCACATAGTTTTTCAATTTGTCAATAAAGTTTTGAATGTGTTTGGTAAATATGCTGGTTATGGAATCGGCAGCAGCAAGAATATCGTCGGCCGTGTCGGAAATCGTGTGGATTAGGTCTTTAGGGATGTCGTTCTTAAACCGCGCCGACATTTTGAAAGCCGCTTTACCGCGTAGGACTTCATAACTCCATACGAACACGTGAGCGCGAAGAAGTGCTAAATTATCCACGTCTACCTCAAACTTTCCCCCAAATAGCCCGATCTGTAATCTCACTTGATTTACTAAACTATAAAAGATATTATCAACATAATTAAGGCTATGGTCAAACGAGAGTGAGTGTTGGCAAAAGTGCCGTACGCACTTTGTAATAAAGGACGCGAGAAAAAGAGTTTAGTGCGCAGCAATTTCATTTTACACTAGAGTCGCTACGTGATTCCCGGATTAGCTGATCAAATACAAATCAATAGTATACATATGATTGTAATATTTGCTAAATTGAACAGGCAAACGGTGTTTTTTCAAAAGTTTCTTTTGAAGAAATTAGCTCTAGAAACTAATATCAAATCTTAACTCTATAAAGAAGTTATGTAACCTCTGGACATTCTAATTTTATCTTGAAACTAATTTCAAAAACTTCAGCATTGCCTGAATACAAAACAAACCTCATCATAGCTTCGGCCCCAGCTTTGCTTCCTCCAAAGCCTTTCTTCCACTCGCGCCTAGGTCCCAAAGAAAACTCTTTCGGTTTCAATGCTGGTATGAGCGCTCTTTTCTTCCTCTTTATGGCTGCTCTTCGCTTACGTAGTTTTTTTATTGTGTGGTGTGACTGATCACCATGCTTGTCCAGAAACTCTGTAATCTTCGAGTCAAGTTCGTCACCTTCCTTAGCGGACCAAAGAGCATCTTCGATACCTTCACGCATGTCGTCTGAAATGTTCTGTCTTCGTTCTAGAAACACTTCAATCACGCCAGCTTTCACAGTCACGTGTTCGTCATGTTTCAAAGCTCTCAGTAAATGATGTTCAGTGTCTTTAAATGGTAGGTTGCGCAACGCAGAGACAGCGGAGTAACGGATTCCAGAGCTGTCGTGGTCCAAATAACGAACAATTGTATTCAAGGATGAAGAATGGCCGAGGTTGCCAAAGGCCCATATATGGTTACGAAGATATGTCTCGCGTGACTCGCTTTCATCGTCATGCACTCGCGCGGGATGAGTCTTAAAACTCTGGTGTAGATATTGCGCAATGTCATCAGATAGCGACCTGTTGTAGCCAGCCTCGTGTACTCGGCGAACCAGCCCAGACATGACCAGCATCGCACGAACTGTCACCTCCTCACTTTTGCTATTATTTTTATGCAGAGAAAGCAGAGCTTGTAAAAGTTCCGGGTACAGAGGTCCGAGCGGGATGAAGAATACTGCCTCGAGAAGTATTGAATGTTCTCTATCACTCAAAGGCCGGGGATATTCAGACAAAAGTGCCTGGGATAAAGCTTTCTGGGTTTCATAGTCTCCTTTCACAACCAAAGCTCCAACTAACCCGGACCACGTTGAGAAATTCTGATGAGATCTAGACAACGTAAGTTCGGCTATGGTTCGATAAGTTTCGTTGTCTGTTCGGGCAAGATAATGAAGTTCTTTAATACATTGCAATAGTTCGTGTTTTTTGACGGAGATATCAGAATTACAACGCAGCAGCTCGTAAAATGTCCGGGTGGGCTTTTCAGGATTGCCAATCTTCGACCAATGCAGGCGATGGAAGTCTGCGTGAGTTAGACTGTCTTGTTTGAGATCAGCCAACATGGTGACCAGACTTTCGTCCCCTACGGACCTTTCCCTACGTGGAGGTTTTTGTGAACAACTTAACATGTCCAGCTTGCTCTCTCCAGAGGCTTTGATACTTAAATTCGGTTGTTTTTGAAAATCAGGGTTAGTCAGTGGTCGTTTGAAGTGCTTCTCATTATGCAACTGGGAGAAATGAGTTCTTTTCACAGATTTGATGACATTGTCCTCAATTTTTACAGCGGCGTCGTAGCGGCTTTTCACATGTTTTTTGCCTTCCACGGGTCGTCCATCTGCGTGTTTAAGATAATCATTACCGCTCCATTGTTTTGTGAAGTTACTGTGAGTGGTGTTGCGATAGTTGACGTCATAGTAAGTCACGTGGATACCAGAATCGTCTTCCTCCTTGTTGTTGAATGACATAATCTTCAAATCAGGATGGAGTTTCAAATGAAAAGCACTAACGACACCTGAAGAGAGTTAAAAAGAATTTCTACAATAAGTAATAGACGTAATAGTATTTTCAGGTGAAAGAAATCTCTGCACATAGCACAGGAAGGTTGGGATGTTAAAAAAAGCTGAAATAAAAGGAATCCTGAACGGGAAAATAAACGTATCACAATAGACTTCTATGCCTCCAATCATGCCTACCGACGAAAGGTAAATAACATTGATCTGTTATTCCTCAGCTAATATATATAGGACACACGGACGCACGCGACTTTACTGCGTTGTTGCGATATTCTACGGGTAAGACTAGTTTAATCTTTTCTCTCCTTTTATATCTATGTAACTCCATATCGCACGCTAACCTTAATTCCTAAATACCTAACTATGAAGCACTAGCAATGAAGAAATAAAATTATTCGCTAAAGAAAATAATTCTTTTTTCAAAATTTGTTTACTATGTGCTGCCCAGCCAAATAGCTGGTAGCGCTACTATTGTGAAGCGGGCGATTTTTTCACCTTTCTTCATTCCGATGAGATCTTCGGAATCATCATGTGGATAAAACACATGAGTTACTTCTCCTTTACGACTTTGAACGAAGAAAAATGGCCGGGATAGTTTTTTCTCCAGATTGTGGTCAACCACGTGCTTTATTGTTCGTCCACCTTTTGAACGAATGACGCGCGGATGACGTAATTCAAGTTTGGTGACGTAACCATCGTTTTCTGTCATGTAACGGTCAAGCACTTCCAAGTTTACCTAAAAATTTGCAATAAGGTTACTTTATGCAGTATAATTTGGAGGGTACTTTTAGTTTTCAATACGGCTTAAGAGTTGCAAAGGCTACTTCAAAAAGCCACCTACCAAATAATTAGCTGGATGAGCTGAAGCAAAAGGTGGGAATATATATAATACATGCGTTAACTTTGTACCTGATTTTGCGCGCGAATTTCGCGTTCAATTATTGTGCGGAGCTTACCAAGAGAACGGCACAGAACGCTGCATGGATATATCAACATTTCAGTGGTAATTATCTCTACTCTGGTTTTAATAAATGAAAGTAATCACCACACAAAGATTAACTTTCACGACCCAACGTTTCGACACTCTGGTCTAGTGTCTTCATGAAGATGATGATCATGAAGTTGATGGATTATATACCTGGTTGCCGTGAACTCATTAACTTAAATATCAACATTTTTTGTTATATCGGAAGGGCTGGTCTATCTGTATGTTTTTGTTCCAGGTGAAAACGCCGTGTAGTGCTATATACACATTAATCTTATAAGGTATATAAGATTATAACTTTTACATGTGGTTAAATTGCGTTTCAGGCTATCACAACTAAAATATGCGGCCGATGGTGATGAAAGGTCATCCAGTTTATATTAGGTCTGAAATATCAAAGGTTACTTCGTATTCATCTTTGCTGCACGTGCACAGCAGATGACACAAAATTCCTACAACCAATCAGAATATTACCTGCGTAATTTGACATGAATTTAACCAATCAAAAACCAGGAATATGAACACAAAAGATAATGCATGCTTGCCGAAAGTCACTGTGTTCACTGTGTTCTAAAGTTCCAACGAGGCACACTACGGGTTTACAAAGCTGCGAAACTTTTACCCACCCACCGACACCATTTAGTCGGGATATGCACTGGTAAGAAGGAGAACACTGGAAGCACCTACGTCACGGATATCTTATATAGAAACAATGCGAACATTGGAGGACACTGCTACCATACCTCAGGACGTATTAAAATCTCATATGTAAAACATGCACCGGTATTTTGTTGTATTTATTTTCAGCTTGGTAGTAATAAATAAAATGGTCATGTGGGGTTGAAGTGCTCCCAATGATCACCTTCAGGCCCATAGACTCAAATGACCTTAATGTATATATATTCAGTCGAATCGTAGGGACTGGCCAAGGGGATTATGACTTCGTGGTTCAGGTTGATGTTAGATGGGGTCGCGACCCTTCTAGCAGGGCTCTATTGGGAATTATCACCCCTATAGGGCATTCAGTCTCTCCTAGTGGGGCTTATACAGGATGTCCCAAAAAAAAGAAAACTATTGAAATCACCCATAACAATGTAATTGTTAGAGTTTGAATGCCTAAGCACTCTGTTGGGACCCACAAGTGTGTAAATGTTTGCCATTTTGCATTTTTATGCATGCATATGACGCAGTAAAATTTGCTCGTACGCGAAAATGATATTTATTAACAATATTTAAATGTGCATCTCAATCACCATGACCTTCGACATGTCCCCTTTCTCTAGCAACACAAAGCATTTAGCATTTCACTGAGTTGCATTAAATCCCCACGGGCTAAAATTCGTGCACACGGCATTCAAATTTTAAAAATGAGTGATTTCAATAGTTCGTTTTTTTGGGGACACCCTGTAGATCCCGCACAGGAGGAAAGCATAAGGCCTTAATGAGTCTTTTGGGATGTACAACAGTACAGTATGCTAATCTAGAGTACTTCACCCCTATATGACCAATTCTCCTACACAAAGAATGTGCATCAGTTGTGTCTGATTTTGGCTCATAGTATGTCTCTCAAGAGCAATTGAATCATTACTAAGGTATATAAGATTATAACTTTTACACGTGGTTAAATTGCGGCACGTTTCCAGCCGATACTATATGAAATAAAGTATAATAGATAATCCCGAATAGAACTTTCATCTTAAACACACTACATGAGAATTTATAAGAGACAATACTAAAATGTTTAGGCAACTATACAATATTCGCCACTAAACTACTCATGCAGTACATATTTCTCGTATTACCTATAATTTCATGAATTTTTGTTGCTATGGAATTTCGTTTCAATTAGGTTTGTTTTATGCGTCTATACCACAGAGGAGATATGCATGACAGAGACTCGACTTCCGATTTTATGTTGAAACCAGTGCCCCGAGTTTTGCCAAGTCCGCGTCATGCGCCATGCAACCACCTGATTCTCTTCTGGTAAGCTTCTTCAATACAAAAATATAGAGAAAACGCTGTTCGAAAGGTGAAAAATTGATTTTTTATGAAACTGGATCGGATGATCTTCATTTTAGACTAAAATTTTGGAGATTAACGGTAAGTTGTTTGTTTTGTTGGGTTTAACTGTTCGTGCTTTTTTTAAAACCAATATTAAAATCCTCGTTTTGTCAGTACGATCTGATTAGCCTTGTCGACTGCCATATTTGTACACGAATTGTCAAATTGTGTTTGCGAACGTAAAACGTTGTCAGAGCTGCTTTTTTATTGTTTGTGAACTAGTGGGCAGAGCGTTTGGACTCACTGAAAACATTCATAATTTTGTATCTTTACTTCTCAAGCAGAGTTGTTGTTCGATTACATACTTTTTCAGTCCTTTTTCAAATTTTTTTGATCAAATTTTCACCAAGCATATATATTATATTTTCTAAAGAAAATATATTTTAGCACTTACCTTACACTACAAAAAAGACGTTTGGAACATTTTAGCCAAAGTGGTTAAATTTATTTAAATTGCATTTTTACTGGCAAAAATTTCATTTTACCTTATCAAAAATGTGCTCGGAGCTTACCAGAAAAGAATCAGGTGTAAACTCTTACTAGCGCGTGCGTTGGTAAATGAGTGGGGACGCGTGGAGCCGCGAATCGAGCTTCTGTCAATCTCTCCTCTGTGTCTATACCTGTGGTTGTTTGTTTACGTGAGTATTTTACTAAATTTAATGGAAAAACTAACGCTCGGAACCGACGTTTCGATGACATCTTGCCATCACTGTCAAGGACAGGATAACTTATGGAAATTTACATTAAGTTATAAACATAAACATATAAGCAAACGTTCACTTAACGTTCAATCAGACTTAATACGTGCTGAAGTATTTACTTATTATATAATATAAGACATTATTATATTCACTTGAAAGATCTAGAACAATAGACTATTGTTTTGCTTTTATGTTTATAACTTCCATATTTCCATAAAATCTAAATTTCCATAAGTTGTCCTGTCCTTTTAAATAGCGAGGCTCAGATTTGACTTCCACTACCACTACCGAGACCTTATGGGAAATAAACCAATCAAATGCGACCAGTCTACCTGATTAACCAATCACATGCTAAATAGGTCAGCTAAAGGTAGCGGTAGTGGTAGTGGAGGTCAAATCTGAACCTCGCTACTAACGTAGTGAGGACTACGAAGTTTTCTTAAAATGCCGTAGTCAGATGAGCGACGGCTACGTCAGTACGAAGTATCACGAATATCACGTCAATGTGATGAATCTCGTAGCGGTAGCGGGAGCCGTAGTCAAATCTAAAGCTCTCTAATGATGGCGAGATGTCATCGAAACGTCGGTTCCGAGCGTTAGTACCTTATATGTATTTTATTAAAGACTTTTTCAATGTTCTCACCACTGTTAAGTGTGTCAAAATTTAATTTCGTTGGTTGACTTCTATTCCGGATTAAATACATTCGTGATTGCATTTTCCTAATATGTATGTATATATATATATATATATATATATATATATATATATATATATATATATATATATATATATAGATAGATATATATATATATGCTGTTTAGGCAACCAGTTGAAAACATGTTTACTTGGAGTTGTATCTGGTTTAAAACAATTTATTAAAAAGATTCTAGATTAAAAAGTACTAAATTTTCGGTAGCTAACTGCTACCTTCATCAGAGTTCTAATGTTCAAGCAGTATAGACAGACTATTATATAGTGTCACTATCCTTGCATGATTGAATAATTAATATGTAAATTTGAGGAAAATGTTTATGCTCATTCACTGATCTTTTGTCCAAAACCGAGTGCAATGACTCAAGGAAGAGTCTTTTGTTTGTGTTATGCACTTTCTTTTCCAAAATCCTAGCATTCTCCATTGACACTTCATGACCGGTACTTTCTGCATGGTCTTTAATCGCTGACTTAGTCTCTCGTCGTACGCCAGGTTTATGCTCAGCCCATCTCGATTTCCATGATCTTTTACTCTCGCCGATATAAGTGAATTGACAATCTGGGCATTCAAACTTATATACAATGCCTTTATAAATACAAATAAATACTTGTCATTCAATTCACACAATCCTATTCAAAACAAACGAGCCGTTGTCAAAAGTCTATTTGACCGGGCTGATAATATTCCCTCAACCACCTTGAATAGAAAAAATGAGCGAGAACGAGTTAAAAAAGAACTTATACTTAATGGTTACCCTAACAAATTCATTGACCATTCCAGTCAACCAACTCAAGCTCCATCTACATCTAGTAATGCCACTTGTTTCACAAGCATCCCATATGTAAGAGGGGTATCCGAACAAATCAAACGAGTCCTACACACCGCTGGCGTACGTACGGCATATAAACCTATGCAAAATTTGGGTGATATACTTGGGAAACCTAAAGATAAACAATTAGATTCTGAAATAAAAGGCATTGTATATAAGTTTGAATGCCCAGATTGTCAATTCACTTATATCGGCGAGAGTAAAAGATCATGGAAATCGAGATGGGCTGAGCATAAACCTGGCGTACGACGAGAGATTAAGTCAGCGATTAAAGACCATGCAGAAAGTACCGGTCATGAAGTGTCAATGGAGAATGCTAGGATTTTGGAAAAGAAAGTGCATAACACAAACAAAAGACTCTTCCTTGAGTCATTGCACTCGGTTTTGGACAAAAGATCAGTGGATGAGCATAAACATTTTCCTCAAATTTACATACCAATTATTCAATCATGCAAGGATAGTGACACTATATAATAGTCTGTCTATACTGCTTGAACATTAGAACTCTGATGAAGGTAGCAGTTAGCTACCGAAAATTTAATACTTTTTAATCTAGAATCTTTTTAATAAATTGTTTTAAACCAGATACAACTCCAAGTAAACATATATATATATATATTATATATATTATAATATATATTATATATATATATATATTATATTATATATATATATATATATGACAATACTATTACAAAAGAGACTTCAACTTCTGCGGACATAAAATTTTTTATATTAAAATAATTAAAAACGTTTCGCTATTTACAGCTTCATCATCAAACTGATGAAGCTGTAAATAGCGAAACGTTTTTAATTATTTTAATATAAAAAATTTTATGTCCGCAGAAGTTGAAGTCTCTTTTGTAATAGTATTGTCATATAATACCGGACATGTCTACATCATATATTTCATATATATATATATATATATATATATATATATATATATATATATATATATATATATATATATATATATATATATATATACACCCGATTGCAAAAACGTTGGCCGCGGATAGATATATAGATAGATACTCGAAATCTAATTAGAATTGCATATGTTGTGTAATGTGATTGAAATCCCATGCAAATGTAATCATATGCAATTCTAATTAGACTTTGAGTATCTATCTATCTATCTATCTGCGGCCAACGTTTTTGCAAATGGGTGTATATATATATATATATATATATATTAATATATATAGCAAAAAAGATAGAGCTGAAGGAAGTGAATGTTCTTTAGTCCTTAAATGTTTCCCCCTAAAGAAGTAAACAAAAGACAGGACGTTCTAGAAAAATACCGACACAAACTGTAAATCTCTGTCTTGAATTAGAGAGACGCATGAAATGGCCCGGACTTTTTTACGGTTTTTCCCAAATTTCAGTAGCAAAATTTCTAAAAAAGGTATAGCTACTAACTCGGCAGATTCAGGATTTCGGTTGTCCTAATGATAACAAGCGTTGCAGTCGTGGATGATAATCAATGCTATTAAAAAATAGACTATATAAACCACAGGTATGGCACAATGACTTTTTAAAGCTATTAAAATAATATGACCGCATTATAAAAATAATGATTATATAGTCTCGCATAATTCCAAATATGGAACAGCATGGAATTTATGACAGCCAAGGTTGATGTTTTAAGTGCTCTATTTGTTAACTGAACAAAAGGCAGGAAACTTGAACTCTCTTTGAATTTTGGACTCTTTGTCTTGAAGGGAAAGCGTGACAGGAACACGGAAACATTATTACACGGAAAGCGTGACAGGAACACGGAAACATTATTACACAGAAATATTATACAAGGCAAAAAATTGATCAGGTTGTCGCAACAGGGGTGAACAATGTTATGCTGCACCCCATGAACAGTATTGTTAACAATGTTGTTGAACCTTGTTAAATAATCAATGTTGATGTAATGTTGCAACAAGCTGCAACCGTATTTATGGCCTAACAACATTGTTAACAATACTGTTCACAGGCAGCACAACATTGTTCACTCCTGTTTTTATAACAACGTTAACCTGCGTATTTTTACGCGTGTATATAAAAAATTATTTATATCGTTATCGCGATAGTCGAGATTTTTAATATAATAATTAATGTATAATTTACTTGAGACTCTTTATGTATTCACTTGACCCAGATTCACTTATGACAAAGTCTTGTTAAAAAGAATTCATAATAAACACCCGCACACAATGTTTGGTATCACATAAATTACACTTTATCAATTGCTCTTCTATCATAACGCCTTTTTTATCGATTCTGCTTATTTAATAGTTAAAATTGTACGTTATATCGGGATAGTGCGATCATTTTTTTTAATTAGCAATAGACGTAATACAAGTTCAGAACTTTTATACTAAAATAGATATAATTCAGCAATACTTTGACTGGTCATTAAAACCAGAAAGTATTAACAATGAAAGTACCATGCAAAGAAGGTAGGTTGATTATACTATAATATTTTATCGAATGCTTTAATATGACAATGAAAGGCAACATGTCCATGACAACAACTAAACCATACGTTGTTTACTCAAAAGCTTCCATTCTTAAATTTTATTCAAAGGAAGCTGTTATCGGACATTGAATATTATTATTTGTAGTAAATAACACCCCAGGGACAAGAAAGAAAGGCAAATAGTAGCACAGCATAAAACGCTACTGTATATTTAACACACTGCATATACAATAAACTAAAGGTTCTTAAAATTCCATACCTTAGCGTTGATTTTAATGTTCAATTCTTTGGTTGACCTTTCTCCGCGATGGGTATGGACTTCCAGGTCATAGTTATAGCTACATTGCTGTCCTGGATATATTTCTAAATACGTCACAGCATCTGTCAAGTAAAACAGAAGGAAAAAGAAAGGGAAAAAATATGTCCACAAATACATTTTGTGCTTGCAGGATGAATCTGTTCGTTATAGTCGCTACTCCATCTCTAAGGAGTCAATGAGCGAAAATCATTTCTCTAGCCGCTAATAAATCTGAAGAGGGAGTTGTAGGCTTCCTGCTTATCATCGTCACAGGCATTAAGTCCGTTTTTCAATCAATCAAATAACAAATTTGGCCATGTGATTGGCTAGTGGAAATATTTTCGGAACGATATTTCTCGCTAACCAATTGCAGTGTCGAAATTTGTGTTTCGCAACGCCCTATGGGAGGAAATTCGCCTAGTTGGAAACGGCCTTTATCAATGAGGAAAAGGCTTCAAATTTGTGATAAGCACTCTCGTATTTTGTGCGTTCATTGAGGGAGCATGTTTCGCTTGTGCTTGCAATAGTTTTTCAACACAATCCAAAATTCAGGTGAAAGGAATTATCTAGAGGACATATTTAAGTGACCTTATACAGGTAAGAATATAGAGTTTTATTTTGTTTTTGTCACATAAAAAATTGACGATGCTATCATGAACATTAAAGCTATACCCTGGCGAAAGTTGTGAAATGTGAAACTTTTCTCAAAGCCCATCAACGTTGTTGACATGTGCTCATAGAGGAGTACTCCTTTGGTTATTACCAACACATTGCCAGATCAAGAGAGTATAATAAATTCGAGCTAAAATATTTTATACGTAATATACCTTACAGCTAGTGAAGACGGAAATAAACACGATTTTATAATTGTACAACTTGTTTTCTTCCTGGATTCCTAAGAAGGAATCGATTAAGGAATTTCATTGTTTGTGCCACATAAGGAGTTTTTATAGTTTAATGCTTTGCAGCAAAAATTCGCTACCATGCACTGATTTGTTATGAAATAAATTATCTACCTGGTGATTAGCAAACAATCGGTAAATGTTATGGTCTTAACGTTTGCTTTAAAAATAATTATATAATCTCATGAACTTTCAAGCATTAAATTTATACGACGAAAGCAAAGTTAACAAATTACGGCTTTCTCCAATCCGTGTATCCAATGTGTAACGTCTCATGCACCTACTATAATTATGGATAACAAAATTGAAAAATGAACATATGCAATTCAGAAAACATGAAGGCCAACTTTGTGATCGAATCGCAGTTTGCAGTTGACGTCTTCCGGTTGTGGTTTGCCTTAGAGGTCATGCAAGGTAAATTGACTTTTACGGCAATTATATATGTATATATACATACATAAGACGAGAATAAAATTCAATCAACATCTGCCGTGTTTTTGTTGATCATAAGCTAAAGATAACGATGGAAGCCAACAAAAAATGTGCCAATTACCTAGATGTCACGTTTCACCTGAGAACCTCTTCATTTAAACCATACATGAAACCAGGCAACTCGCTCCAATATGTCCATCGTTAAAGTAATTCAACTCCGCTTGTCCCCCATACCAAGATGCCTTACATAAGAGTGGCTACAACTATAATTTGAACTACAATCATCCCCATCTCCACGACATTTAGATTCACGTGATAAGTGTGGCAAGCACTGCTTGTTATACGAAACAAATTTGTAGTCAGAATAAAATCATATATGTTTTTTATAACGTCTTATTAGCTGTATACTTTGGTTAATCGAGCACCGTACTCATATATGATTCTAAATACATATTTATAGTATGATGATCGTTTCAGAAGAAACGTGAAACACAGAGTGTATTTAATATATATATATATATATATATATATATATATATATATATATATATATATATATATATATATATATTAGAAGTGGAACGGCGGGGTTTTACACAGCCCTACTAAAGACTGACACACCGGACGCGATTTGCCAACGCGACGCGATTCTTACGAATTTTTCAGTTTTCAAAAGCTGCTATAACTTTGACAATGCTGTGATAATATATATATATATATATATATATATATATATATATATATATATATATATATATATATATATATATATATATATATATATATATATATATATATATATATATATATATATATATATGGTATATTTCCCAACAAGTGGAAGAAAGCCAAACTGATTCCAATCTATAAGGCTGACATCCGTACCGAGAGAAGCAACTACAGACCTATCTCTATACTGCCCATCCTATCCAAACTCCTGGAACGTCATGTTGCCGATTCATATATGAAATTTCTTAGTGAAAACAATATTTTGTCGAATTGTCAGCATGGTTTCCGAGCTCATCATTCTTGGAATCTACTTTAATCTTAATTTATGAACACCTTCTTAATAACATTGAACAAGGCTTGATCAATGGAATGTCTCTTATTGATTTCTCCAAAGCATTCGACTTAGTCGACCATGACATATTATTACAGAAACTAAAACAATATGGAATTACACCCTTGGCGTTAAGATGGTTCAAATCGTTCCTGAATGACCGCTATCAACAAGTACAAATCTCTTCATCCCTATCAAATCCTGCGATGATAAAATCTGGCGTGCCCCAAGGCTCTATTCTAGGCCCAATTCTTTTTCTGGTTTTTATTAATGATTTACCCATCTACATCAACAAGTCCAAGCCCTTTTTGTTTGCGGATGACTCTACTATTATTTCTTCCGGAACTAATGTCCGCGAACTTAGTGACTCCCTAAAGTCGGACGTTACTTCAGTGTCATATTGGACTACTCACAACAAAATGTCCCTCAATTCGAAAAAGACTAAAATTATGAAAATATTCTCCCAACACAAATTTTCAGATCTTGACCCAATAATTATTGAGATCAACAACCATACTATTAAGGAGATCGCTTCTGCTGTTCTACTTGGTGTCACATTTGATCAATATTTGAAATGGGATAGGCAAATTCACACTATCTACAACATAATAAACTCTAGACTATACCTATTAAAACGCATACGCAGTCACCTTATTCTAAAATGTCGTATTCAGTTTTACTCTGCACTAATCTACCCACATCTATTATACTGTTGTTCACTCTGGGGAAACGCAAATAAAGAACTAATAACGTGCCTACTAAAACTACAGAAACGAGCTGCAAGACTAATTCTTGAATTACCAACCGAAGTACCCTCAATATTACTTTTCCGCCAACTTAATTGGATACCTATTTTCAACTTGATAAAAATGAGAAAAATTCTTATGGTTTTCAATACTTTAAAAACTTCTTGGCCACCAAATGATCTTCGAAGGTTGTTTGTTTACGTTCGCGACTCTCACCCAATTCAAACTAGATCGACAACGACAGATTTAAAGATCCCTTTAGTCAAGACCGAGCAGGCTAAATCTAAGATATCTTACAGTGGTGCAAGTCTATTCAATTCTTTACCTTCTGAGTTAAAAATCGTTGAAAATTATTCACCTAACTCTTTTAAAAAAAAGCTTAAAACCTTTTTTCTTCAATTAAACAATGAAGTAGACCATGTAAATGAATTTAGCTGCACTGTATGCGAGCATATCATTCGTTGCCAATGTTTCTCGCGATGAAATCTTTCATATTACCTTTCGAGGGCCATTGGGAAGAATACCTTAAGGTAACAATGTGAACCCCTCATGAAATAAAGTTTTAATAATAATCTTGGTTATTTATTGAATGATAGCACATTTTGACTGGTCTGGTACCCATATCTTTCAAATTGTTCGTCCAGAATTGGTCGTTCTGAAAATGAAAAATTCGCGTCGCGTTAAACAGGGACCAAAAACAATAACCAATCATCGCGCTTGTTGACATTTTCGGTGCTAGACCAATCAGAATGCGGCAATAGCGACAATGTATACAGAAGGAGTGGTGAAAATAGCGCCTTCTTTTGGAGCCATTTGCTATCACAATTTTTACTTCAAAAGTGCCCGATTGTGAAATTACGTATTATTTTCTTTAATTTCCTCGTGGGTTTTTTTAAAAATCAGTCTAGAACGTAAAACTTCAAAACTTGAATTTTTGTGTTCTACCGTGCGGCTTGCGGAAAATTGTTGAATATGCAAACTCTGATTAACCGTAAACCCGTATAACGACTATACTCTCAAAAATATACCAATTATAGTATTACAAAAAGCTTGGATACGCGGATTTTCATCGTAAACATGTTCGTAAACAACAATTTCACCACTCCTTCTGTTTACATTGTCGCCATTCCCGCATTCTGATTGGCCTAGCACCGAAAATGTCAACAAACGCGATGATTGGTTATTGTTTTTGGTCCCTGTTGTCGGGTTAGGGTATTATATCGCGTCTAGTGTGACCCACACAGACAGGACGCGATTTGGCAATGCCGAGCGATTTTTCCAAGTTTTTTATTTTCTATCATTATATTCTTGTAGATTACTAAACTATAATACACTTTGACTTCTCTGGCGGCCATAGATTCTAAATTTTGCTTCAAGAAATTAATTCATGTGCTTGTGAAAATTAAAAATTCGCATCGCGTCCCGTCTGTGCCGACCTTTAAGGCTGTTTTCCATTGCATTCGTTTATCGCGCGCGCTTTCAACATTATTATCGTTCGGCGCTAATCGAGATTTGACCCCGAATCCTGAGCATAATCTCTGATCCCAAAATTGAAATTGTAACAACGGTACCGCGACATTAAGCCCAACGCTGTGCATGCTTTTATCGGTTCACCGAATCGAGCTGTAATACACATCTCAATAGAAAAAAGGTTTAAAATTCAAAACGTTTTGCTGCTTTTACCCCTAGTCATGCAGGCATTCGTTTCAATATACACCTTAATTAGGCCTTTCCTGTCAAATATACAAAATTACAAAAGCCGGACCCAAGACGGTGGACACTCCAGGTATTTGTTCGATACGCATGCGCGACCTTTTCTTTAATATACGACAAGAAATACTTAATAATGGGGCGTACCGTGATAGTCTTCAGAAAGGTATTAATAGCTGTTCTCGGCTATCAAGGCTATTGTCCGAGTGCATTGTTAAATAATCTATTTAATCGAGAAATTGTTTTGAAATTTTCAAATTTATAAAAAACTCACCTCGACCAGGGTTAGAATTTCACTGTAACCTCGCTCATGCAATTAATCTTTGCATAGGTATACCTAAAAAGACAATTTATATGTTCTTAATGCTTTCATTCCACGATCACAAAAGTCACCTAGTTGAAATTCAAATCATTCATTATCAGTTAAGATAAAAGCATCACAATGAGGCTGATTTGGGTGTGGATGGTGATTCTGGTTGTCCCACAGGTATCAACCATTTTCTGGAGCCGGAGACGTAGACGAAGTCCATCCCCACGAAACTGTGAACCTGGGCCTTGGCGTAGATGGAGCTCGTGTACCCACAGGTGTGGCAATGCTGGCATGCAGACTCGTACAAGGGGCAAAGATGTGACTGAATGTTGCGGGGGAAGCTGTCATGAAACGTTCAGCGAAAGCCAACCATGCAACAGGAACGCGTGTCGTAATGGGGGAAAACCAGTTTACGGTCGGTGCGAGTGTAAGAGGGGGTGGAAAGGGACATGCTGTGAGACATGTAGGTTGCTTAAAGTTTTATAGCCACAAAATTAGCGCCAAAATTAGAGATCATAAAAACATTGCATGGGCAAAACCCCTAGCTGAAATTCCTGATGATCACATATCTATTATCAAGCATTAAAAAAAATATATCGCTGTTGTAATTACAACATTAGATTACACTACACAACAACCAGCAACACCCAAAGAAAGAATATCTTACTTAAATCCACACATCTCTATAGGAAACTTTTTAATAGTAGCTAACTGAAATGCAATTGTAACAAAAGTAACATATGAGCACTTCTTCGTGCTTTGGAAGAAAGCAAGTGTTTCGGAAGAAATTTCCTGATCCTCGCTTTTCAATCAGATTAATCATGTATCTTTTTCAATGTTTTAGATGACCACCTTTGCCAACCAAATCCATGTCAGCACGATTGTGACCAGTGCAGAGACGATAGTTGCGTAGGCGATTATACATGTAGCTGTTATTCATGTTACACAAAAGTTGGCACTAGATGTGAGCTACGACAGTGCCGTATTGGAAGTAGATGCTACAGCTACGGTAGGGTAAACCCCTCGAATCCGTGTCAGGTAATATTCAATTTTGAATTTTTGCATATTTTTAAGGACGGCCAAAAAATTCAAAAAGATTCAAATGTGTGTGGCGGTTAACACAAATAACTAAATGGGATTGGTAAAAAACCTAGCCGAGTACTATTGCATAGCGCGAAGGGAAAAATCGTCTCTTTTTCACGCATAAATTGATAAAACATTTAGAGATACCGTTTTCTTATATTTTTTACTAAATCATTAGAATACTTCCCCTTGACAACTCCCTAAGGCCAGTTGTTCAAACCTGGGTTAGCGCTTACCCCAAGTTGAATTCATTGTTTTAGTTTGAGTGTTCTGAAACATTGTTCGATTTCAAACCTGCATGAATTGAATTTTATTTAATTTATTTTTATAATAATAATAAATATTTCTGGCAAAGGATAGTCAACTTTGTAAAAATACGATTAAAAAAATGATGTAAAGATTTGCCTTAACCCAGGGTTAGGCTAACCGGCTTTTGAACAACCGGCCCCTGATGATATTTGATTCGGGCTCCGCTGTAAAAGCCCAGCAACAAAAAAGACAATAGCATGCAAGAGGTCGTTTTCAATTTAAAGGTTATAGAACCCTAAAAGTAGTGCTTTTTTGTCTATGTGCCAAAATTGAAGGTCTTATTCAGCAAATTTTCATAAATGCTATATCTTTAAGCTTTTTCACAAACTTTGGAATTTCAAATTTAAACAAACAACAGAATTTTATTTCTTAACACAACAAACTTGCATGACAAGGTGATTTTCCAAACTTATCTAATCGAGTTTGTCATGCATAACAGCCGCTAAACTGTCGATATGTTAGCGATTCTTCGCACCGGGTTGACCATAGGCGGCCCAGAACTGATCTCACTGACTTCGCGCTACGCTCATGTTGTCTGAACAGTCTTATATTATGACAAGGTAGGCAACTCTCACGCCAAGTAAGCTAAAAACGCACGACGGTTGACCCAAACACTTTCACAAAACCGCAAATATTTCATAAAAATATGGCGAATAAGAAAAAAAAAGTACAACACATTAAACTTGAATAATTTTACTACATTTATACTATATTTTTAGCATTCAAATGTATTCCTATGCATGTATAAAACGTGAATGTTTTTTGGGTTTCTGTCAAATATATTTTAAAACCTATGCTGGGGACACCTTGCCTATACCTTCGTCATATTTTTAAATTGAGAATAGAAAGCTGATTGGCTGTCGTTTAAAAAGAGCCAATCAGCTTTCTATTCTCAATTTAAAAATATGACGAAGGTATAGGCAAGGTGTCCCCAGCATAGGTTTTGAAATATATTTGCCAGAAACCATAAAAACATTCACGTTTTATACATGCATAGGAACACATTTGAATGCTAAAAATATAGTATAAATGTAGTAAAATTATTCAAGTTTAATGTGTTGTACTTTTTTTTTCTTATTCGCCATATTTTTATGAAATATTTGCGGTTTTGTGAAAGTGTTTGGGTCAACCGTCGTGCGTTTTTAGCTTATTTGGCGTGAGAGTTGCCTACCTTGTCATTATATAAAACTGTTCAGACAACATAAGCGTCGCGCGAGGTCAGTGAGATCAGTTCTGGGCCGCCTATGGGTTGACAGGTTCCAACGCCAACAGGTCACGTTTTATGGATCAAATAAAAAGATATTTATCATCGTTCGGTTTATTCGTAATTTTGTTCGCGATTGTATTATATGTTGAAGAAAAAATGGTTTGAACCTGACTCGTATACTCCGACGCTATATGTAAACAATTTGTCTCAAAATCCGTACAACAATTTTTGACCGAAAAAATTGTAGCTTATTTAGTAGCTACGTCCAATGAAATTTTACGAAGTTCATTTCCAAAGGAAACACATTTCTATTTTATCTTTCTACTGTGCGTATATCTCAATACATATATAATAAATTCTATATCAACACGGTCATAGCGTTGTTTCTTAAGCCTGGTGCTTACGGATGAACTTAGCACGCACACATGCATGTCACTCTTGACAATTGTCGCCTACACATTTTCCTAGTCTGAGTTGCAAGAATGTCATAAATATCCCAAATACTTCCCCCCAGACTAGGAGCATGTGTAGGCGACAATTGTCACGAGCGACATGTGTGCGTGCTAAGTTCGCCAGTAAGCACCAGGCTTTAAAAACACTGGCGCACACTGGAGATATACGCTCAGAAAATTTCATGCGTGCCCTTCGGCGTAAGGAGCTCAAAATGAAAAAGTCGAAATGTGAAGAGAGGATTGGGACCCTAACCCTAGTCCTCTCTCCACATTTCAACCTTTTGGGTATCCTTAAAAGATTTTGCCAAGCAGACAGCTTTCGTTCAAATTTCAAATTGCAACGATGATCTATTCCTGACAGATCCTTTTATCTTATGCGGCCCTAATAAAAGGCTCGAATTTGAGACAAAGGTATACCAGCTAATATTAGAATATAAAATCTTTGTGACAAGTTACTTAACATCAATATAGTTCAGCACAGTTTAATTTTCTGTTTCAAAGCAATGTTTATCCCAATGTTTCTCTAATTCATTAAACAAGGATTGCCAAAGCAGCCAGAAGACCCGTTGGACAAACAACAATGCACTATCGTGTAGTGATGGCAACTTGTGTACGAAAAATGATCGCTGCGTGAACGGCGTGTGTGTAGGAACTCCATTCACGTGCAGATCATGTGAAAGCTGTGATGGAACTGGATGTGTGATTAATCCGGGTTACTGTGTGATTGATGGAATATGTTACACAAATGGGAATCTTCGCCCTGGGAACCCATGTCAGGTTAGCAAGTAGTGTTTGTGTGGGTTTTGAAAAATCAAATCAGTGAAGTCGTTAGGAGATAGTTATGTAATAATGTAAAAAAAATGAAATGAGTATGATAAATCACTCCTGTAGTTTCCTGAAATTAATTCTAGTTACGTGTTGCAATCTGCAAACAATCATTAGTAGTAACAAACATGTTCACTCCTAGCAATGCAACGATAACTACCAAACGAAATGGTCAGAAGCAGACAGCACCTGCAGCGATAACAACGAGAAGACGAGGGATGATAGCTGTGTGAAGGGAGTATGCAAAGGCGAACCGTATTCGTGTCTTCCATGCGAAGATCACCACAACGACGTGTGCAGATTAAAGTCTGGGAACTGTTCCATTAAGTTGAACGATGATGTATACGCGTGCTATCGTGCCAATACGACGAAACCTGGAAACTTATGTCAGGTAAAGAATTTTTGCCAATTAAATTAAAGTAAGGCAAAGCAATGACAGGATGAATTCGTTCAGGTCATAGTGCTACTTTCACTAGTGTTGTGTTGACTAGTCCAAGAAATATAGGTCAACAAGGCCCCACTTTTATTGTCTTTTGAAGTGGTGTAACCCGGATATAACGACGTCGGCATGGACTAAAAGAAACGGTACGACCTGCGACGACGGAGAGATGTGCACAAGATCCGACAAATGTCGAAATGGTCAATGTGGAGGAATCAGTTTTCAATGCACCTCACCATGTCAATACTGCGACGGAAATGGTTGCAGTTTACACCCAGGATTTGGATATGTGGCAGGAAATTGTACTTGTAAAATAGCAGGTGGGTGAATACAGAATTTATCTATGCTATCAATTTGCTGCGTAGAACACCTCGAGTTTTCTCTGGATAATTTCCTTTTATGTTTCGGCGAAATGAGTATATCGATAAAGAGAAACATTTGTTGGACATCCGACGAAAATAGTGGTTAAATATCGCTAATTTAGTTTTTGGAAAAAACTGGATACTGGGTCGTAACTAGCGCGATAATTCAAAAGGGGAGGGGGGATTCAAATATTCAGTCACACCCAATGGATATCTTTTGAAGGCGTAATTGCAGAAAAGAATCAGATGGGAGGAATATAACCGACTAGAAAAATAGATTTTTTCTTAAGGCCCTGTTACACGGTGCAATTTTTCTTGCAATTTGCAATACAATTCTTCTTTGGTGAGGCTGAATTGGTGAGGCTGAGAGTGCTAGCTCGATAAGGATGACCTCTACAACGCAAAGTCCTGGCTAGCATAATTTCGAAAAGTTCAGTTTTGCGATAATTTTTTTTCAGTTGTACAGACACGTTTAGTTCAAAAATCGTAGACTGGTAATCTTTTTCTCCCAACTGAAGACTTCTTGTTTACGAAATAAAATCATATTCGAACTTACATTTAATTGCAACAGGTAAAGACTACAGTCATCAACAAATAAACCCAAACAATGAGTGCCAATGGTGTGATTTGTACCACAATGCTTCCAAAAGACGCTCTGTGTGGACTAACATACCTTCGATCTCTTGTAACGATAACAACGCGTGTACCAAAAACGATTTTTGTTACAACGGCAGGTGTGTAGGGGATTCATACAGTTGTAACTCATCATACCCACAATCCAGCTGTATACAGCGTTCTGAGTGTATGGGTAACGGCTCATGTAAGGATATAATGAGAAACAAAGGAACAATATGCGACTCAGCTGAGGATAAATGTGATCAACCTGAAAGGTAAAAGGTAAAATTCGCTTATTAAAAAAATGTAGGTGCAACTCCTAAGATTGTTTTTCCTGGTGTGTGATATTTTTCCAATGTGGAAAAAAGAAAATACCGTTGTCCAGGGTTGTTTTTTTAAATATGAACCAACAAGGAAATACAGTATCAATCTATGTTGCCCAAAGGTATACAAACTAAAAAATAGCTTCCATGTTTGTCAAGCTGGACGAACCAGAAAAAATGCCTCCTAGCTATGTTTTCAAAGGATGAATAAATGAAAAAAAATTATATCTTTTAATCCCTACAGATGCGATGGTGTGTTGGGAACTTGTCCGCTACGGATCATCGACAATATAACAATTTACTCCGGTCAGATTGCTTTAACACTTTCCAAATTTCTAACTTCTGTCTCCTACCAGTCAAAAACCGATGTGCTATATCTCAAACTGAATGGTTTCTCAGTCACCTGTGGCGCTCTTGATATAAAATGGTCTTTATTGAAAAGCAAAGATAGCTGCGCCCTCGGAAAAAACCAAAGTAGCCTATCTAACACAATCAACCACGTTTTAAAAGAGGTAACCTTGATAAACGGTGAGACGTACAAGGTTGTGGCACAAGCTTACGATATGCGTGGACAGGCTGGGTTACCTGTGTGCAGCAACGATGTTACGATAGATACTAGTAAACCGAGCGAAGGATGGATCCGCGATGGCCTAGGATCTAAAGACGTTCAATTCGAATCAAATAAAACAATCAGTGCAAACTGGGGAGGGTTCAAAGCAAGTCATGGTATTGGAAAATACCAAGTGGCAGTTTATAACAACACCAATCTCCTCCAGTCGTTTACTAACGTTAACCTAGCTGTATCTTTTAGTAAGACCTTTTCAGTGATCACAGACGGTGATAGAATTACTACGAAAGTAAGGGCATTCACAAAAGCTGGGCTATATTCTGAAGTTTCCAGCAATGGCATCACGATCGATACCTCCAGACCTATTCCCGGAAATGCTTTTGACGGATATTCGAATGATCTCAAATATTCTAACTGGACTAAGACCTACAATGCCAGCTGGACACCATTCACGGATGCTCACACACCTATCGTGGAGTACAAATTGGGTGTTAAGAAGAAAGATGGCGGGTTGATTGGATCAGGATTAGCAACGAAAGGACTACAACGTTCCGGTAGCATATCGGACTTACAACTCGCCTCTGGAAACGAATACTGCGCCATTGTTGAAGGGGTGAATGCTGCGGGACTCAGTTCCCAAGCCACTTCTGATTGCCTTCTCATAGACCACGATGCACCGCAACCTGGCACGGTCAACGACGGGACTTCGGGGGATATCGACCACCAATCGGGAGACGACGTATTTCACGCAAACTGGTATGGATTCAGCGACGGACAGAAGGGAAGCGGAATTGGGGAATATAAATACAGGCTGGTGGAGGAAAACGACAGAGGAGTTATTACTCAGTGGTCCTCTTCTGATCTTCAAACAAAAGCTACCATTACTGGATTAAGCCTTGTAAATGGCAAAACGTATTACATTGCAGTGCGTGCTGTTGATAAAGTTGGAAACTATGTTGAAATAAAATCAGACGGTGTTTCTATCGATACGAGTCACCCGGTTTATACAGGTAATATTAGTGTTCAGGGCGAGATAGCCCAAAAGAATGGAGAGACGATTGTTTATATTAGAAGCAACGAGTCAGTGACGTTATCCTGGCCCCAGTTTGTAGACCAACATAGCGGGATGCTTAAGTATCAGTGGTCAATGGTCGAAAGGGATGAGAAAGCTGCATCGTGGAAAGATGTTCCTGGAGTTAGATTGGATACAAGTGCAATCATAAGGTAAGGTCTACACTCAAACGTACGAAGCTAGGTCGGCCTGTCGCCCCTTCGCTGGGTCGATATATCATATCCAGCTTGAGTTTAGCCATTCAGACTAGTAGCAGTAGAGGAACTTCACTGTCAAGAAAGGTTCATATGAGTGGAACATGTACAATATACAATTAGTGGCGTAACTAGAACAATATTATGAACATTCATATATCCAGTTCTGCCCTACGGATTTCTTTTGTAAGCGCAATAGCTTACCATGGGAATCCGTCGGGCGGAACTGAATATATGAATATTCACCCCCCCCCCCCCAAATTATCGTTTTAGTTACGCCCCTTTTACGCCCCAATCCAAAATATCAAGGACTTCCCGGGATAACATTACAAGCAACTGAAAATCAGTATTTAGACTAGCATGACCAACAGGCAACGAGAGAGGTGGAAAACGACGAAAAGGAACGTTTCACACCAGACTTCCTTCGACTAGTTTTGACTATTTCATATTCAAGAAACTAACTACAAATGCGAATATTTCCCGTTGTTTTCAAAAGCCTAAAAAATCCAAAGCTATAACAAAATTAGAGACCGTTTTCCAATCCAACATGCTATATTTTTGCAATATCTCACTTTAGCTCGCTGTCACTAACAAACAACAAAGAATATCAACTTACAATACGCGGAATAAATAACGCCGGCCTTCACGCTGACATAAAATCACCCATTATTATGCCCATGAGCCAAGCCAGCGATCTTGGTACAGTCTCGGATGGCAAGGACCCGACGACTGACATCGACTACCAAACGAACACCTCTGAGGTTCATGCGACGTGGAAAGGCTTTGAGACATCCAGCGTGAAAATACGAGCGTACTTTTACGCAGTCGGCAGCTGCGTCAAAGGAAATTACCACGTGACCAATAACCAGTTTATACCAGTTAGTCCAGCTACTGCTACCTCACTTGAGATTCAAGGATTAAACCTGATCAATGGTCAACGATATTGCGTGAAAATCAAAGCGGAAAATTTGGCTGGGGTCTTAACAGAAGCTGTCTCTTCAGACGGATTTATTGTAGATGTGACCCCCCCTGATCTGACACGCGCGATGGTATTGGACGGTAGTGGACATGATGACATCGATTACCAATCAAGCACGGGGGAGTTGTCAGCAACGTGGAGGGAAATTCGAGACTACGACTCAGGCATACACCATTTCGAAGTAGCAATTAGCCGAAATCGGATTGGCGTACCGGATTTGACGTCATTCAAAGACGTAGACCGCAATATGTCGGCAAGTATAGCTGGATTGAGTCTGAACAATGACGTGTATTACATCATAGTCTGCGCTATAAATAATGCAGGGTTGAAGTCATGTCTGGCCTCCGACGGCGTCCTCATCGATCCAACCCCTTCAACTTCTGGCGTGGTGTATGATGGGATACTGGAACCGGATGTACGCTATCAGTCGTCGACAACAAAGATAAGCGCGAACTGGGAACGAGTCTGGGATTTAGAGAGCAGAGTGGAGCGATTCGAATGGGGAATTGAGGAAGAATACAAAAGGCCTCTATCAGACTTTGTTAATGTTGGACTCCAAACACATGTTACAAGTAGCAAGATGTTGTCTTTAAAACATGGACAAAACTACACGGTTGTATTGCGTGTATATAACAGAGCAGGTGGCATGCGAGAACTGATATCAAATGGAATCACTATTGATACCACTCCCCCCTTACCGAGTACCATTACTTTGGGATCTTATTGGCGTTTCAACAAGGAGACGAGAACTTACTATTCATCCACAACTGCTGGCATATACGTGACTTGGGAGGACTTCAAAGAACACGAAAGTGAAATTTGGTACTACAAGTGGGCAATAGGGACATCAAACTGTGGCAGCCAGCTTCAACCACTTATCAATATCGGCTTGTCCACGCGTGCAAACACGACCGGAAGTGAGTTAAACTTCCGGCCTGGGGTTCCTTATTACGTCACAGTCGTTGCGCGAAACCGTGCAGACCTTGCGTCGCGTGCTTGTTCGTCACCACTCCTGTTTGATTACACTCAACCTACTGCTGGTAGTATCCGGATAACTTCAAGTAATGGGGCTGAGAAAAGCGATTTCAGTTCTACTGAAGACCCTCCCCATGTTAGTTGGTCCGATTTTGAGGACTTGGAAAGTGGCATAGAAAAATATGAGATCTCTATTTTACAATCGGATACGGAAATTTACACTTTCAATTCTAGTGGCCCAATGGTCAATGTTTCCCTCGGTAATTTGGCACCAGGGTCAGGATATTCGATAGCCATTAAAGCCATTAATTATGCAGGACTTCAAACCACTGTTTCTTCAAAATCATTCATTATTGATGACACTCCGCCATATTACACTGGCCGCGCACCTAAACGACACTTTCAGTCCGATCTAACTTCAGTCAAAGCAACGTGGAAACATTTTTCAGACAACGAAAGCCTTATAGAATTCTACGAAGTCGGTCTTGGGACACGACCACATAGAGACGACATTCATGAATTTACCAGAACTGGTTTGTGTACTGATATAAAGTTTGCCGGTTTGAATCTAACAGATGATTCAACATATTTTATCACTGTGACGGCCCACAATACAGCAAAGCTCAGAAGTTCGCTGATTCTAGAAGAAATAGAAATCGATCAAACATCGCCAACTGGGAAAAACAGTAGCGTTAGAGACGGTCTTTCTGGGTACGATATCGATTTCATGTCTCTAAACGACTCGGTTTCGGCAACTTGGGAAAACATTGAAGAAAAACAAAGCATGATAAATATGTTCGAATATTGTGTTGGCACCACTCCATACAATTGTCTCGTAAAACCATTCACTCAAATCGGCCTTAACAAATCATTCGTATGCGAAGATTGTGAAATAAACGCAAGCAGGAAAGTTTTCGCAAGAGTTCGTGCAACGAATAGTGTAGGATTGTCTGCTGTCTTTGTTTCTGATGGCGTGACCGTAGACCTCAGCCCACCTGACATAGGCCGTGTTTTCGATGGAGAAAAGACTAGAAGCCCAGACATAGAGAAGGTTGATCGTGATTGGTTGCCGACCATTACGTGGTTTGGAGCACAGGACATTGAAAGTGGCGTTCGAGAGTGTGAATGGGTCATCCAAAAGCGCATTGGTAACGAGATCGCAACTGTTTATGTAAAAGCACTTGATCAAGCAAACATAACGTATGACGTACGGCATACAGATGCCGCTCCACTACGATTAGATACAAATGCCTCTTATATCAACGTAATCCAATGTTCGAATAATGCTGGTATGTTTAGCTACCAACATTCCAATGGATGGTCGCTTGTCAACCAATGGCCAATGACGTCAGATGTTTTCGATGGACTTGGACCACATGATTTAGAATTTGACGTCATCGGCGACACTCTTGGTGCATCATGGGGCACATTTTACGGGGATTCGAAAGACCCGGTCATTGGATACGAGTGGGCTGTGGGAACTTCTGACGCATCGGATAACATCATGGTTTTCACAGAGGTTGGATTAGTCACCAGGGCTTCAATATTACTGCCTAACAGCGACATCGATCTGGACACAGGGGTGAAGTATTACGTCACTGTCCGCGCTACGACATTGAGCGGAAGGACTAGTAACAAATCTTCAAACGGATTTATCGTGGATACGACCGCACCAACGGCCGGTGTGGTTAATGTGGCACACAAAATTTTAAAACAGGCCACGAATGAGGTAGATTATACGCTAACATGGAGTGGCTTCGGCGATTTAGAAACAGGTATCAAAAAGTTTGAATTCTGTCTTGGCTATATCGAGAATGCTTGCTCGACCGCCTTGACCAGCGCTGGTTCAGACCAACAAGGGACTGTGCAAGGGTTTACCCCGGCTGATCTAGCCACGCCATTCTACGGTATTGTGAAGGCAACCAACAATGCTGGCTTGATAACTATTGTCAGTTCGGATGCGATCAAAATTGACTTCACCCCTCCCATTGCTGGGACTGTCATTGACGGGTTGGACGAAGACCTGGACAGTATTGCGGTCAATTCTGCCCTGATTAGCACATGGTCCGCGTTTTCCGATCCAGAGACTGGTATCGAAAGATGTACGCTGACTGTCATTGGAAAGGACAACAAAGGTGAATTCTCTGTTTTGAGAATGGATGTAAACGCAAGTGGATCTATAACTCACAAATTTAACATAGTCCTAGGATTACAATATCTATCGAGTATAGAATGCAGAAATCCTGACGGCTTTAAGACTTCTGCAGAGTCTGATGGTATATTTTGTGACGGAACTGCTCCGATTGTGGGCTCAATATACCACATGACCGACCAAAACCAAACTTCGGACAGTCTTTACCAATCCTCGACAAACACCCTTGAAGTGTACTGGAACCCAGGCAACGATCCTGAAAGTGGCATTAAGGAGTATTTGGTGGCCGTGGGTTCTGGAGTCTACCGCAACGATGTGCGTGAGTTCTTTACGGTGGGCAAGGCTACTGAAGTTAAAATTGCGAATCTATCGATGAACTCTGGAACAACGTATTACGTCACACTGGAAGTAGTGAACAATGCAGGCTTGAAGTCACGTGCTTCGTCAAATGGTATTGGGGTGGACACAACAGCGCCAATTATAACTAAGGTACGTATTGACAAGTCCGAGTAGAAAACATTGATGATCCAATCGGTATAAAACAAAGAGGAATCTAATGCAACGTACATTACCCGACAACGACAACTAGGTTGAGAGGCCTTGAGAGGACAATGTTTACACATTATGAGAACGGCGGCAACTGGGCGTATGAATCGACTTGTCTTGTGATCTTGTTACATTTGTTTTACTAAAATATTTTTCAACATATATTCCTACAGGTTGAACTTCAATCATCTCATACAGCACTAAACCATATCGGACCAGGTGATTACCTAACCGGAAAATGGAACATTTACGATGATGAAAGTGATATAGACTTTACAGAATTCTGCATTGGTACAACCAAGGGTGGTTGTCAAGTAGCAGATCTGAAACGTGTCCCTAGCAACCGTATGAGTGTCACATGTTTCGAATGCAAGATAAAACACAAGCATACCTATTTCATGACGATACGAGTCTGGAACACGGCGGGACTATTCAATTTGGCCCACACAGAAGGGGTGACCGTAGATTTAACCCCACCAACATCCGGTATAATTTCAATAAAACCTAACTATATACCATGCTTAGGAAACTGCAGTCTGAGCGCAACATTTAAAGGGTTCCTTGATAACGAAAGTGGAATGGAAAATTGCAATTTAAGAATAAAAGCAGCCGGCGGGGAAAGTTTTATTCCAGCACATGTCACAGGCAGTACGAATCATATCTTGGCCTCTAATCTGACACTCAGACATGGGGAAAAATACAAGCTTGCATTCATTTGTACAAATAATCTTGGTGAAAGAAGCAGAGAAGTCGATTCTCAGGAAGTAAACATTGACAACAGCCCACCAGAAAAGGTACGTTTTTATATATAGCGTGTTATATAAGCACGTGTTTAAGGCAGCAAAACTGGTGTGTTGTTACGTAAGAAATCGCTGGTTGTATAGGGACTGTTTAGGATAGTTTGGCAGAGGATAGGAGGGGAGAGGCGGGGATTTACAACCTCTTTTTTTCAGCGTCGGCTGACCTTCATATATTAATTAAACATTTCAGATTTTTTTGTATGTTCTATTTCAGGGATTGGTTATCATCAGTCCTGATCCAAACCACGACAAACGACGTCAGCATACCGGATGCCACTTCCTTAACACGACACTGCGTGTTTTCTGGACGGGTTTCCATGACGAAGAATCCGATATTGCTGGATTTAGCGTCGCCATTGGGCGAGCCCCACTAAGATATGACGTCCTGCCTTTCCGAGACTTCAACATCAACTTTGAGGCTAATTTTGAGTTAACTGAAGATCATGGTCTGTCCAAAGGTGACACGATATTCGTTACAGTAGAGGCAACAAACAAAGCAGGACTTACAACCAAAGTTTCGTCACCAGCCACCCGACTTCTATCTGATAAGGATAGTACCTTACTTAACGAAGGAGATTTCCAATGTGTAAATGTTTGAATGGAATTATAGCAACTCGCATTTATGCCTTTTTTTCTGAAGTTTTTTCATAATCAAATACACTACAAGCATGTTGGTTAATCATTGATAAATATAAGTAAACTTTCTGTCCTAATGCATTTTATAGTTACGCTGGCTGAGATAGGTTGACATCGTCAGTATAAAGATAGTACCTCACTTAATGAAGGAGATTTTCAGTGTATTGAGCGTTTTAAAGAAATGATAGTTTTCTTTTTTGTTGTAGAGAAATGGTAATTTTTATAGACATTGTAAGTATTTCGAACATAAGAAAGACACTAGAGACATATCGGTGAGAGATGTTCCTAACTCTTTCTATAGAGTACAGATATAAATAATTTTCTTATCTGAATGCCTTCCATTTCATGGTAAATAATACTAAACTAGAAATAAAATTCATATATCCAGTACAATGTTATGCTGTCATATTTGCAGAGTATTTGCATGAACCCACATAGCAGCGTCTGTGATTACTTTTGTAAGCAATATTAATGTGTGTATAGATTAAGGAAATGACCAAATACATTATAAATTGAGAAGGAAAATAATAGCTATTCAATCTGCCATCCAGCAATTAATGCGGGCACAAATTACCGCAAAGGAGCCCCATTATTTGCCTGTTAAAAATTAAATGCTAGTCTTATTATTATTATCTATCGATATTCCTCGTAAAGAGGGAGCGCTTTCAATACGAAACTGGATATGAGGTGTGAAATGCAGGCGTTTCAACCATAAAGCGTGAGAGTTAGTAATTTGGAGCGTTGTCAACAGCAAAGAATATGCAACGTCTAAAGCCTGGTTTCCGTTATATTGGACCAATTGCATAACAGACCAACTTTTGATTCAGGCGACAAAAAGAGAATTTCCGAGAAGAACATACTATTAAACTGTGTAACAAAGGTATACAAAAATTGCCTACTTGGCATGGCTATATTTTCCGTACTACATGCGTTTTGCAGCCAAACTTGGCAATGATACTAATTTCAGTATGCTCTTTTTAGCTGTTGTGATTTTGTCCCTTTTTGTTACCAAGATCACAAGTTGGTCTATTATGAAAGTGGCTCATTGTCGTGAACTAGTCTTTTTCACAGATGAAAAATAGTCCGGTTGTAAATTTGTCATTGATGGCAGATGTTGTTCACATAAAAATTCCACTTCCATAAAAAAAATTGAATATTTGGCACCTGCCCTCACCCCACCCCCTCTTCCAATTTCATCTCACATTTAGGGTAACTAAATCGTCAATAGGATGATATGCCCTACCCTTTTTCAAATAGAGGTCACAATTTCTAACTGTATATGTTAACCTAAATATGTTGTTTCAGAAGTCATTTTAAAAACTGACTATATATATTATTTAACCTGGGGTTAGCAAATATTTAGGCTTGAATAACTCGCCTAAACTGTTAAATTGCAACTTCTAATTAATTAGTATGTATTATAGCATGTAATGTAATCATAGTATGCAAGTTGAAATTGAAAACTAGCTTCCTACCCCCTTGGCATCAACAATTAAAATGACTACCTCAGCTAGAAAGTAGACTTTTTGTGAGAAAGAATAGGATATAAATGGTCAGTAGGCTATATACATTATGCTTTGTACAAGTGATGTTAAATGTTTAGATCAATTGCAAATGATTCTGCACCTTTCTCTATCAAAGCTCTATCAACCGTCATGCCATTTTATTTATCAGCACTGACTTAATCTGAGATCTCAAACCTTTTTCAACAATAATGTTTGTTTTTCTTACTTGCAATACCATCGCAAGATAATTCACCAGTTCAGCATTTACCTCTATCTCGTTGTTAGGAGCACCAATTTGAGGTCCAATACTATTTTCTGTAATGTCTGAAATCAGAAAAAATTAAGAGCTTGCAATTTGCTGAATGAAAGTTTAAGGCATCATCACAGTAACAGTCTAGTTTTAAAATAAACACAACTTATTGGCATTCAGGTATTTTAGGAATCATACAATATATATAATGTTTTATAGTACTCCTGTACATAGTATTTAATGCAGCCTGTGATTATTTGACAACACAGAAAAATCTTCTCCATGTAAGCTATGCCTATGGTACTGCAAGGACCGAATATTGCCTTCCTTCATCCCCAGGGATGGGTTAGGAACACTGATAGTCTTGTCTATAAATTATTACAACAATATCATAGATGTTTGCAAACATAAAATTATACAATCATTGAAACCCAACTTTAAAATACTACATCACAAGAAAGAGTCTGGCCAAACACATTCACAGCATGCTCGAGATTATCAGACTAAATTCATTTTTACTAGTCATGCTAAATATTTGTAATTTTGTTTTCATTGACCACAATAATAAATATAATTGTCACAACTCTCCACTTTCGAGTAAAATTCTTAGCATATTGAACTGTCAGATTTGAAAGAGCCAAAGTAGACCTAATGCAATCCCTTTTAATAATGGGGTAAACGTCTAGATATTTTTCACACTCAGCACTCAGCAGGCCATAATTATGTATTGGGATATAGATAATAGTTTATGTGACATTTTACTGTGCGATATTGACCAATAACAACATACTTCCTCAATATGTCACAATTACAACAACAAAATACTAAAATGTACTGTAATACGATACTTGAAAGACATATAGGCTGACCTGTTATTCTGCTTTCCTTTTCGCCCGGTTTCGCCAATATTCTCAGGACAATTCCGTCATTTGAACTTTGTGAGATTGCCGGCGCTGAGCGGTCAATATTTGTGTTTTGTGTATAAAATCTCTTCAAATTGTGAATTGTCAGGGGAAAGCGAATGTGATCGCTTAAAGCGATCACAAAGGACATAGCCATATGCATACACCACTAACACCAGGGGCCAGTGCGTCATAGGCATTGAGGTCATAGGTCATGGCCAGCTGATCTGGGTGTAAAAATCAACCAATCAGAAGCCAGATCTTCGACAAAACTAAATGTTCATTTCCTTGATTGCATATGACTTCGACACATTTAGAATTTAAATTTTTCACCCTTTATACTATTACTTGGAAGAATAAGGACAAATAACACCAGGCAAATGATAACACCAGGCAAATGAGATGCTTTATGACGTCTTGATCTCAGATTAGCTGGAGGTCGTTCGTTCCAGGCCATGCATGCGACTTTAGGGTGTTAATAAAAACACTAAAAAAACCCTTCTCTTTGTCTGAGTTTGTCAGGCCGGAGTTTTATCAGGAGAGTCAGACCGGTTAGTATTATCGGAAGAGAGTATTATCATACTAATATATTATTGAATTATTTCAGTGTGGTTGATAAGGAAAAACTGAAGTTTGATAAACCTTCATAACATGTGAGAACCGAATTTTAATTTTAAACAATGCTTTTTTCGCTCGCAATTGGCCTGAGGTCATAACGTGATTATGACGTCATAGCATGAAAAAAAGTATATCCTATGTTTTGACGTCACTCGTAGGACATGACGAAAGCACACATGGCTGGCTGTAAGCCAATCAGAGGCAGTGAATCTTTCAAATAAATACTAATTACTAACTATGCTGGCGAGCCCTGAGGTCAAAACTTAGAGAATTCCTTTTTTAGGTAGTTTATTAGAACGTATTTTAGAATATTGATCAAATATTACATACAAGACTTGCAGTAGTCTGAGGTTATTACGTGTGTTTTAATGATTTTCAGAAAATATTTTTAACTTTAAATTCATCCCAGGTGTATTAATTTTTGTTAGATATACTAACTTGTTGTGCATACAATTTAATGCTATTCATACGCCTATGATATTCTTTTAAAGATTACTTGTTTATAATACAATCCAGCCGTCGGAAAATTTTACAATTCAAATACATGTACATCTATTTATTTCCCAATTCCATTATCTATCGCAATTAATTTTTTTATTAAAGTATTTAGTATATAGCTAATATAAGTGCATGTCGTTTTATGCATTAACAAAGGCTTGCTCTTCACCTGGGCTGTGTGAATGATGTCTCCTGGAGCGTTTCAGGAATGCTATCCGTTTGACCGTAACTATAATGAAAAAAAGGAGAAAATCATAGAATAATAATATAATATATAACAAATATCAAAGAAATAAAAACAATTCTACATATTTTGCTTTTTCTCGGGTATTAAACGCAACACTTACCCTATTCTATAAATAGGGTTTTCTCTCCCTCTGGATGATACCGCAGGCTGGCGGCTGTGGTAAAAAAAAGATGCAAAAGGTTCACAAGCATTGTCTCTAATATCAAAACCATCTTAATGGTCACTAATAATCACCGATAAATCATCATCCTCCATCTATTATTATTGTGTTGATTACCAATACATGAACATGATAACTAATACATAATCACTACAACTCATGCATCATCATCACCACCAAAACATCAATCAACATCAGCCGGAGCAATGGTACATGATTACCATCACCATTGGCGATTATCATCATTATCCTATTCCCAATAATCATATGCCATCACTAACACATTCCCATCATCACATTATTAACACCTTACCTGCGTCGTTTTCGGACAAAACAAACCGCTGCTATTATAATAATAATTGCCAAAACACCACCAACGCACGGTAGAACAATCTCCAGTGCAAAGCTACTATCTTCCGGCCCCTCTCTGTCCAGCTTTGCGGGAAAGACGATTTGCACCCTGCGCGAATTCCCCAGCATCGCACCACCAGACACATTCAACAATTCCACAGACAATACCATTTCACTCATCTTTGATGGAAAACCGCCGAATTTTAAATGAACGTAGGAATTCCATTGGCTCTCCAAAAAACTCAATTCACCACTCATTGGGGAAACGCTAAATGGAATGCTACCACCTGATTGGCTGATGACGATCCACGTGACATTAATCCTTCCGGTAGAACCCTTGCGCCTAATTATGTTAAGAATAATTTCACCGCCATATCGTTTAGGATCATAAATGATACTGTTACTGCTTCCGTCGAACATGGCTTGTTTGGGCTGGCCAGTCGAGGAACCTAAAATGTTACATGTGAGCTACGTTGTCTATGTGACTAGAATAACTATTGTCAGTATTATCACTATTGAAATATATAGGTTTATGACCAAGTTTGATCAACTTCGTTTTACCTGGTACCCCTGCTTCAAGTAGTACCACTAGACAAATGATGGATTATACTTACTGGACTTTCAGAAAGATTATAAAGCTAGAACTGATTGCTCTATTCAGTATAAGGTTACTTTATTCAGGTCCCCCCCCCGCCCGCAGTAAAACTAGATTGATAAAAGGAAATACGGCTACTAAACAGTTTAGAGGCACTTAAAGTGAGCGAAACAAACCATTGAGGAATTCAATTATTCCATTTTCTGCTGTAAACGTCCAGAATAGGGCGAATTGGGTCAGATGACAGACGTGGACTTTGAGAAGTTTCGCAGCATGATCAACAAACGTCCATGGCTCAGGACAGGTTTTGGCTGCATCGAACCTGGAAAAGATAAAAAATAAATTTGAAGCTTCTTTTACAAGATCCTCCCGAAATTGTATTCACTCACTACTACTCACCATGTTTGATTTTTGGTGTGCCATAATAGAAGCACAGGATCGATATCGTTATTATTTACTTCACTACTAACAGTTTTCTTGTTTTGTTTCAACATTTGATCGACGTCGTAGAACAGCGAGATGGTTATTGGTTTTTTGAAACGATATTTTTCTTGCAAAGTATTGTTTTCTGGTTCGTAAGCTTTGATTTGGAAACTGTAGTTGCCCAATTTGAAATGCTAAAAGGGAATAAATTTAATATTAAATAGGCCTACCGAGGCGAATTTTTATGGTAATCTATCCCAAGCTTTCAGCCTGTCTGTTATGAGCATCAGAAAAAATGTCTCGAACTTAATGAATCAGTGTGGGTAGCTATACTGCGATGTTGTGGCTCGTAGAGAGTAACTACATGCGCAAAAAATAAAGTTACACATCTATTTACTTTTGGCGGCTTCATGACAGCAGGATCAACGACAGTCGTATTATCATCTGTGCCGTTCTTCAACTCTTCCTTGCCAAGGCTGTAAACCTGAAATTTCACTTCATCTTCGACAGCCCCGGAGGGAACGTCTAAAGTTCCAAATGTATTTCCGACATCCGAATCCTTTTCTTGTGTCTCGTTGGCGTTCACATTCATAGTATCGAAGAAAAACGATCCAGAATCATTTTTCGAAAAGACAAACTCGGTTTTTCCAACCATGATGCCATTCGAAGACACTGCCTCAGATTCCAGGCCTGCACCGTTGATGGCTTTCACGGTTACGTAATATTTGCGCCCCTTCACCAGATCTCCGTGTTTGAACTTTGCATAGTAGGCTGTGGCATTTCCAATCTCTTGGAACTCCCAGAGGTCATCCAGTCCTGGAGACGAACCCCAACCAACCTCGTACGAGACTATGCCGCTATCGGGATCTTCCGCTGCCCAATTGCCGAATATGATGTTGGTAAACACCTAAAAAATACGGAATACTCAATGTTCAACCGATGGATATGAAAATGAGGTAAAAAAGGAAAAACAATGCTGTAAAGCAGTTAAAAATTTGAAAGCAGTTAAAAATGCTTTAAATATCGTAAAAGTGGACAAACTATCTATGTTTTCAAAGTATCTTAAAGGTGCAGCAAATCTAAAGACTTTGGAACCTAGCAACCTTAGGCAACTGACCTGAAAATTGATATCTGGACCCATCAATCCATCTCGGACATAATTTATAATAGGTGGTGTGGTGTCGATCACAACTCCATCGCTTGACTTGGCAGTACATAGTCCCGCATTATTACATACCAATACTGTCACATAGTACGAATCATTGTGCTGCATCGATAGCCCAGTCAGAGTTCTGTTCGCATGGTTAGTTGCATTTTTGCACCCCATGATATCATCTCGGAGAGGCTTGGAACCGATGCACCAAAACATTTGCCCGATGCCGCTTTCATTGTCCCGGAAATCGATCCAGCGAGCACTGATTGAGGCGGTGTTGTTCGTGAAATCCAAATCGGTGTTGGCGAAACTTCGACTTGAACACTGGTGCTCCGAACCGAATGTCGTATTTGCTGAACAGTTTCGGGTTTCGTCGCTACCCAAGCCGTCGTAGACAGATCCCGGCTCTGGCGAGGTGTTGTCGAGAGAGAACGGAATGCTGTCGGAGGTAGTCGTGAGTCCCGAAGCCGACCTTTGGGTGATCCTAACGAAATAACTCTGTTCTGTTCCGGGAAGGTAAAATCCGTCGTCACCAAAGCTGGGCCCATATTCGGTAACTGTAAGATTAGCTGGATAAATATTTTGGCTTATACTTCGATTATTAACTAAACCGCAAGGGTATTTATCACAGTGGGAAAGCTTGAACCTTAAACCTCCTGAGTTTTTCAAACAAATACTACGACTACAATTCACGCATTTCTCCTCAAAGCCAGGGTATGCCTCTTCCCCCAGGCCACACGCGACACACTTTACTGTCACCTGATGTCCAAGATCAGACACTTTCAAACGTACGAAATTGCGTTGACAGAATTTCATGAAATACACACGTCCAGTTCCTGCACCCACATAATCGCTCGGCCAAGTATTCAAACTTGGACTGCCAATCACAACATGACCGTCTGTGATTGCTACAGACGCCTTTGCCTTACCATCATCAAAACGAAGGTCATTTTTTGCCACCACTCTCCCAATCTTTGCACACTTATTCCCTGGTTCGAAAACACCCAAATCACTTCCATCGTGACCGTCAACCATGATACCAATAGCAAAAACACTTGACTCGCCTTCCAACACATCAAAACTCCCACTCAGCTGAACAAGCCCTGAATAAACCATTCGACATCTCCTGATCGCATTTCCTGGTGGCTGCAATTCAAAAACTGTCAATGTTTTGTCTGAAATTGATAGAAGAAATAGTTCATTTTGTTTTGTCAGATAGATATTGTCTGGAAATTGATTGTTAAACTTTTTGGAAAGTGCATTGTTCTTCTGCCAGGAACCGTTAGACATTCTTGAAAAGATATAAACGCCAGATCCGATTATAACCAAAAAATCTTTATTCATTGAGATTGCCTTCCCAAAGGATTGGTCTTTCTCTTGCGATCCTAATACATGATCCAATCCCAACAGACGGGAGTCATTTCTAAATATTGCAACAACACCGTAACCATGTTGTGGATGCTTTCCGCTGACCGCAATCATTTTTGCACCGTCAGAAGCAAACTCTCTCCCGACATCTTCCGAGGAAGACCATCCGTCGTCAATCGTACAAGGTTCGATCGTGTCTGTACTTGTTTGATTACAATTGGTTATTCCTAAAATCGGCACGCTTCGAGCTAGATTTTCCGGTATCAATTCTGTATAACAGCAATTTCCCGTTACCCGATATCAAAACAGTGTCAGTAAACCCTTTAACTTTAACAAAACTATCATTCATAGTAGAATTGAACGTCACTAAAGTAAGTGGAGGACCTTCATAGGACCCTTTTGAAAAAACGTATGCAGAATTTTGAGACGATACTATAGTTACATTTGGATTGTTTTTCAGATAGCTCACAGACGCGCCGAACGCCTTTGTTTCTTGAACGGGTTTAATTTGTTGATCAGGGTGAACAGTGCGCGGCTCTTTATTCGTCCTTTTACAGCAAACGTCAGCGTCATCGTGTATATGTGAATGCTCAAAAATATGTCGAATATCAATTGTTTCATTTTGTGTTTCGTTGGCGCCTGATGTGATCCTGTAAACGCTAGCTTGGAGAGTCTCTCGCATACGTTTCTTTGCCAAATAGTATGTACTTGGGTTTTCTAAGTTTGCTGTTATAACCACGCTGAATGGATCAGATAGGATGTCTCTGACCGGTCTTCGGGGTAAACGAGGGATTTTGACGAATTTTTGCCATCGTTCCTGTTCAGTACCCTCAAATGTATCCGTGGCGTTCACCTGATGGGAAGAAAATATGTGCAATGTTGTATTGGGTTATAATTAATTTAGATAAATTGAACTGATCCACAAATGAAATACTAATGGTACCCCGGGCTTGCCTACACATACGACGCGACGCTCGCTAGAGATCATGAATATCTACGTTAAAGCTTCGTCTTGCATTGGTTGTGCTTTTGGGGTGCACTAATCGCTTTGTTAAGTCATTAATACTAACACAATTTTTTAAAATAGCAAGAATTCCAAAGTTAAATTGGAACTCACGACCTTTTGTAAACGAATGGTTTCTTTACAATTTGAACCTAATCTTTCCTGTTTCTTATTTACCTATTCTTTCTAAAATATGATGTTCTGTCTTAATTAACTAGCTTATCCAACAATTGACAAGAGTGGCACGGTCGGTCAAATGTTTAATGCAAAAAAAATTGGGGGTCACCGAACTCGTTTGTGATATAAACACGATTAAACCCTGTTTGGCGGCCATTTTGTAACGTCTCTGTTGCCATGGTAACGGTTGCCAGGCAAAAGTTCTGAGAACATTTCCGCTCTAGATATGTTTCCTGCAAAGTATATTAACTTTTAGCCTTATGGTGAAATATTTAGGTGTTAATATCCCTGTTTAAAATGAGCCCAAAAAAAATTCGAGAAACTGTATCGAGCCACCTTAACAGCGTCGAATAGGCAAGTGAGACAAAGTAAAGCTAGATTCTACTTGATCTTAATTTTCCTACTGGTATACAGTGGCCAAGGAATTGTCAAAAGTGCTAAGTGTCAGCAATAGCAATGTTATAATTACCTGTATTTTTGGGGGTGCATCAGGCACTATTTCAACTCCATCTCCAAAAGAATCTGTGCATAGGCCTTCTTCGTTACATCGTTTAATCACCGGGCGATATTTCTTGTATGGTTTAATCATATCACCGCTGAACCTGATATACGCTCTTTCACGCGGAATGTCCACGAAACCGTAAGCTAACGGCTCGCCGCTCCATCTTTTTCGCAACGAACCATTTATGTTCAATCTCTTATTTGGCTCGGTTAAAGCAGCCTGGACATTGGAATATGACGTCACGTTGTTTGATGACCACGTGACCACAATCGCTTCAAGATCGTTTTGGTAATCTATATTGCCCAGTGAGTTATTCTGGGCATTTATTTCGACAACACTGAGTTCAGATGGGAACGTCTTCACCGGGTTACATGCACGCGACTCAAGCACTGCTTTGTTTCCTACACCATTGGTGATTTGAACGACAACTCGGACACTAGTTTGTTTGGAAAGTGAATGAATAACGGCAGATGTGTACAGTAGGTTGGTCGGTAACGCTTGCCAAGGTTTTACGTCGCACGTATTGTTTATGCTTTCGACACACCATTCGATTAAAGCTATGCCGGACTCTTCGTCCTCATGCTCCAGCCACGAGGCTTTGATCAAATCACGCACGCACGTAATTTTTAAAAGAACACGCTCTGTCATTTCTGAAATAATAAAGTTTCAAAAGGCAATTATTGCCACATCAACAGGTGTTTTAACATACATTTTATGCCTGAAATATGCAGCTTTCCACATGCAAAAAAAGTTGACTTTTGCTGGCTTATCAAGAGGTTATGGTTCTTACTGTCAAAGACAAAGTCAATTTGGTTTTGGTTTTTCTCAAATAAGGACACTCGATAAAAACGAAATGTCCGTACTCGACCTCCAAAAAAATGCACTTTAAAACTTTCAGAGATAACAGTATGACTAACGCTTTCTTAGTTATTGCCACCGCCAATAGTAAAACCAGATAAGTTAAAGACAATCTTACTTGACCGCTAGACGGAACAGTTAAGAAGGAATATAGGTATCTACTAATCTAGTATAATTATATAAAGCTGTACCTGGCCCAGTTTTATTACAAGATCCCTCTAAGATGCCTTTTCTACAGATCTTCTCCAAATCAAAAGAGACTCTACTTAGTTGCCTTACTGGGTGTGGTGGAGTCAGGTCAATCTTTATTTGATTGGATGAAACAAGAGTGGACATCCCTGCATTGTTTGTTGCTTTTACTGTGACGTAATACGTTTCCTGATGTCGCAATTTGTGTCCAATGAAGGTGTGATTCATGTTCAAACCAACAAACTGGAAATCGATCTCATCACATTCTTCCTTCGTTGTGCCAAGACAAACTTCGTATTTGGAGATATCTGACTCGGCATCTATGAAGTTCTCCCATCTGAAAAAAAACATATTCCATAAAAAGACGTTTGCTGTATTTCAGTATATGAATGGGATTTTAAATTTAGCAATTTAGGATCGAATTAAACTGACAGAGTTATTCAGCATAAATAGAGTTTGTTTTCTTTTTAGAACAGATAAAAGAACTATTATCTATTGGGTTCAAAGACATTTTAGTTTGCATTTACCTCGCTGTGATCTGATGAATATCAAAGTTACTCGGTGATGGGAACACAATCACGACTCGTCCGGAAACAGGTGCCGTTATGTCAACAGTGAATCCATCTGATGTGGCATCCTTCTTTAAGTCTACCATATTGATAGCACGAACTATAATCACATATTCTTTACCATTCTGTAACTCCATCCCTAAGGAAAGCATGGAAAAATTCAGTTCATGTGTGTAGTGTTTTGCCTCATTAACTAATAAATGAATAAGCGATTGCCGACGAAATCGCAAATGGACTAGATGAGTTATTGGTAAAGACTGGTAATCAACAACCTTCTGAATGGCTAAAACTTGTATTTCAACGAGAACTTCAGCAATGTCTCTTAAAGGTTTTAGAGTTGACGGCATTATTATTCTTACGAGGGAAATAATAATGGCATCGTAATAATAGAGAGTGCTCGAATGAACTTTATGATACATTTTTTGACTTATGTATGTTTTCACTTGTGTCAACGCCAAGAAGCGAAATAAACTCACCGGATAAGCTAATATTAGTCTGAAGTCCCGTGTCTGAAAACGCCCTTGGACAAACGGTTACGTTTTCTTTTTCACATAAAGCAAACAGGTACGATTTAATCCCACTTTCTAGATCTTCAAAATTTGTCCATCGAGCGTACACCGTGTCGCCACCCTTGAGATAATCAACATCATCACTCTCACCATCAATAACAATTCCAACACGTGGTGGTGTGTAATCAACAGTAACACCGTTTGATGCCACGACGCTGGTCAAGCCCGCGCCATTGGTTGCGTTGACTGTGACGTAATACATTTCCCCATTTTTGATTGGCTGATTCAGGAAAACCGATATTTTGGTCGTGGTAACATCCGACGAAGTACTGGGATACAGTTCACACGAACCAGGCCTGGATCCTACACACCACATAAGGGCAATGATGTCACTCTCAGGATCTTCAACCTTAAACCATGAAGCGGACACCTTCCTGCGACTTTGTTGGTAGTCGATGTCTTCTGCCTCGAGACCATCGATAACATTGCTTAGTGAAGGTTCTGTAAGAAAAGGATAAGAGCTTTTAATGATATGTGTTTAATAAGACACAAAAGTCTAAATTAGCTTTTTTCAACCTTTAGTGAAGATATCGTTTATACTTGTGAAGTAAAAATAGAGTACGCTCACCTGTTGTGTCTGCAGAAATGGGTTGTGAGACAGTAAAATTGGTAGAAACCCCAGCATTGTTGATGCTTTTTATAGACACAAAATATTCTTCATTGTGAATCAAGCTCAAATTATACCAAGTATAACTCGACGTGTTCCCGACGGTAACCAGGTTGGTTACATCACACAAGGAAGGTGCCGTACCTATGCACACAGAAAAACCACGAACCCCGGTCTCGAGGTCAATGAAACCATGCCATTGCGCAAGAATGGCTGATGAGACGAAATCATATTTTTCTCCCAAGGGATTTAATGCTTTGACATTTCCAACATCAGGTTCGGTTGTATCGATGATAAATGCGGCAGAATTTGCAGATGTGCTAAGACCAACTTTGTTCGTTGCTGTAATGTTTATAACATAGCTCTGGCCTTCTGCGACGTCTGGTTCCTCGATACACATTGACGTTCTGTTGTTGAGGTCTCGTGTTGGAATTGGACAGTTCTGTTTATTGTTTTCCAAACATAAAGAAAAATGATAATCAACAATATCTGTCTCGTCGTCGGTGAAGGTGTCCCATGAGGCACAAACCGCGCTTTTCGATATCAAGTATAGTATGTCGCCAACCACTGAGCTTGGTGATGTGATCTTGACCTGAAAATAAATAGTAAGTTTAGGTAGATATGGATGACAAGAAAATCAAAATATATATGCGTTTCAAGTTGATTTTTCTTCCTATAGGCTTGATTACCAAATTTTCAGAGAGATTTTGTAAGATGCCTCTTTTAGTTAAAGTTTTAGTTTTCATTCGCAAACATAGCTAGTTTAGTTCCAGTTTCCAATGTACTATTATTGGACTAACAGGGTAAAATCTTTGAAACTAATCAAGTGATCTATTTCGTATAAAATATTAAGATAGAAAACCTACGTTGCCTGGATAAGGCGGTGTGCTGTCCACCAAAAATCCATTCGAATGGACCTCCGTTAAGCCACCAGCCTTGTTATAAACTCTCAGCGTAGAATACACAACAACCCCAGGACTTAAAGTTAGCCTAAACTGCAACTTTAACGCGAAGCCACGGTCAACTGTGGTAAGTGGTAATATATCACATAACCCTTTCACGGTACCGGCACAAATGACGTATTTCAAAATTCCCGATTCGGTATCGTGGAATTCATCCCAATTGCAACTGACATAGGAATCATACAATGTCACATCAATATCTGAACTATCTCCATCCCGAAGTCCTCCACCCACAGGGGGCGTCAGGTCTATGAATATCCCATTTGAGCTCGCAAAACTGGTTTGACCGGCTCCGTTAATGGCACGAACAGTTGTATAATATGTCTCATTGTGTGTAAGATTAAGGTTATTAATCAATGCTTTCGTCGTAAAGCCGACATCTTGAAACCCAAGAACATCACAAAGACCCGACTTTGACCCAATGCAGATCTCGTAGTGGACGATCCCGCTTTCTCTGTCTCGAAAACCTTTCCAACTTACAGAAAGTTGTTCAAACGAACTCTGATATACTTCATCCTTTAAGTACGTATCCCCATCAAATACCGTGCCGGATTCGGGCGGGGTTTTATCGAGAATAAAGGGATTTGAAACGGCTGTTGTTTCCAGTTTAGCATGGTTCCATGCTTTTATCACTAAGTTAAACTCAGTACCGGGATCAATGCCAACGTCGCTTAGTAATAGGCTTGTATTCAAGCCTGCATTCAAGAGCTCAGATACACATTTTGAACTCTGACTCGCTGAGCAAACCTTCCACTGGTACATGGTAATTTCGCTCTCAGGATCTGCGAAGCCCTGCCATGAAGCACGAAGAAACTGTCCTTCTTGTAGGAACACCAAAGCATTCTTGTTGCCAACGGTGACCGTTCCTTTCAATGGCGGAGTGCTGTCTACTAATATGCTACCTGAATATGCAATAGCCACTAAACCTGCTCCATTTTGTACTTCAAGCTTTAGCATAAATACCGTCCCAGATTGAAGCGAGGTACCGAAGTCTAGACTCGGATTCTCAGAGGAAGGGTCAACAGATTTTTCCGAGAACAAATTACAATCAACCTTAGTCGTGGTTGCACAAAGACTAACGCTTTTGAGTCCACTTTCCTGGTCAAACACCTTATCCCATGTGGCAAAAATCTGGTACGGATCAGTCAAAACACTAGTAACTCTGGTGGTGTTATTTGCGAAATTCAGCTCAACGGCTATAACAGCAGTTGCTGTGAACCCTTTGATTTCGGGAGGTGTAATGTCAACGGTGAAACCGTTTGAAGACGACGATGTTGATAATCCAGCTCCATTAATGGCAGTTACTGTGACAAAGTAAGTATCCCCTTTCTTAAGGCTTACGAGCGCCGTTGCGTGAAGGTTCAAGTTGACAGAGGTTTGGTTGGTAACGTCGCAAGAATCTGTGAAATAATAAAAACAATTTTTAACAATCATTTAGTTCTAACCTACTAAGTTGTTTCTGACCTACAAAGTTGTGGATTATAAATGAATTACTAAAACAATTAGTCTGATTTCATCGATCATAATTTATGTTCTTTTATGAATTTGACAATACAGAAGATTAAAGCAAAGAAGTCTCTGGTTTAAGTTTATCGTAAGTGAATTGATTCAATTACCTGGTGCCGTGCCAACACAGTACATGTATTCCACCACATCGCTTTCCGGGTCCAGGAACTCACTCCATGTCGCTGAGACGTGATTAGTATTCGCTTGAAAATCTACATCAATTGTGCCATTTCCATCTCGAACTACGCCAGGCGTTGGCGGTAACCAATCGACGATAACTTGCGGTGAAATCATGCTTGTCTCCAGACCCAAAACATTCACTCCGATAACTGTGATGTAGAATGAAATACCGTGAATAAATTTAAAGTTAATTTCTGCGAGGTTCATCGAATGTTGACTTCCATCCAGTTTAGTGAAGGAGTGCAAGTCATCGGATTTGGGTGAGCCGCCGATGCCAAAGTGATATTCCTTTATTGCGCTTTCCCGTTCATTCATTGTCCATGAGATTATCGGTGGAGTAACATCAAATACATAAATTACTTTTGTACCACGCGACCCGCCGACTTGAATACCTTCTGCCAAAGGCCCTGTTCGATCGACAGTGAAGCCATCAGATAAAGCCGATACAGTTTTGCCCCTTTCGTTTGACGCTTGCACTTCGAAGCCGTACCGCTGACCAGGAAGTAACGAGATATTATGGAACTGATGTGTCGATGTTTTGAGAGGAGGATCCACCTGAGCTAGTGATGTCGTGCAATTTAACTCTTCAGCGGTTGTGAGCGGTCCGTAACACCATGCATAATGCCCTAAGCTGAATACAGGATCCTTAAATCCTGTCCAATGAAGCCAAACTGCCTTATCGTCTAGTTGAAAGTCGATATCCTGAGGCAACGGTCCGTCGTATACCACACCAGCAGTTAGTTTGCCCAGTTTCACCAATACTTTATTGGAGCAACTTGTAGTGGACAGGCCAGCGCTGTTTGTGACTCGTATACATACATAGTAACTTGTGTTGGTGTAAACAGTTTGGTCGGTTATAATATAACCATTTAAAGTACCTGTTTTAAAAGGCAAATTTTGGTTAGCATAATTATAAGGTTATCAACGGTGCCGAACACGACCAACATAGGCAATAAAGTAATAGTTGGAAAGCTCTCGACAAACTCCAATAAACGTTGCCAATACAGCTATGATTATGAGAGTATTTGAAAATAATGAAATGATATTGAAAATAATAACCTGTAAACGTGATTCCTGTGTAAAACACATTCCCCAGCAGTTTGGTCTTTCTATCAGATGAACCTATTGCCCAGCTATACGCCCTGACCCCACTCTCTTGGTCTACGAAGCCACTCCACTTCACTGTGAACGAAGCACCGTCGGTTGTGTTCGGATTACCATCGTAGTTCGAGGGCACTACGAAATCAGCCGACACTCGACCAGCAGAGGGAGGAGTGCGATCAACTATGACACCGTCAGACACGAACGACGCAGATCGACCGGCTCTGTTCGAAGCTTTCAGGTGAACATAGTAGGTCTGACCGAGTTGGTACGAGAATCCAGAAATGAGAAGTTTTGAAAAGTTATGCGAAATTTCAGTGAAGTTTCTAGGAATATCCACGTCGGGTGATCTTTCTAGAGACCACGACAGTGACTCTACGCCACTTTCATGGTCACTCAGTTGCCAAGTAATTTCAATGCTTTCATTTTGAACTTTGAACGTGGCTACGACTTTACTAAATACGGGGGGAGTAGTATCGATTATAACGTCTGGTGTCCAGTACTCTCTCACTAGGTTTACATTGTTCGTGGCGCGCAGGCCTATTTGGTAGTGTCCGCCATTTTGAAGTTGGAGATTTCGTTTACCAGCGCCGTCCACGACCGCAAGGGTCGAGAGCGCCGAGATTCCTTGTATTTGATGAAATGGAAGAATATACTTAGAAGTATTGAGGTCTTTAATAGCAAAGTGATACCCATTAATCCCCGTCTCATTGTCACCGCACTCGAAGTGGATCGCAATCTTCCTTGTCTGGCCGATAAAAGCAGTCTGAGATCTATCAATGGTTGCGCTATATACGTTAATACACACTGGTGGCGTACCATCGACCACGAAACCATCACTTACTCCAGTTGTATTGAGTCCAACGCCGTTTTGAGCCGTAACCGTAAAAGCATACCTTTCACCTTGTTTTAACTTGATTCCCGCCAAAGCCATTTTTGTGCTTCGCTTATTTCCGGGTATTACCGACGGTCCAAAAACTCTCTCGCCATCTGTAAGATGATGGATGGAAATTGCATACCTCACCACATGACTCTCCGGGTCAACAAATTTCCAGTTTACAGTCACATTAGAGGCAATCCAAATATAATCGACATCTTTATAGGCACTAATCCCGTCATGCACGTAACTTAGCAACGGTGGCGTATAATCTATTGTGATGCCATCGCTAGACAGTGAATTTTGTAGCCCAACTCGGTTGATGCATTTCACGGTAGCGAAATATCTATAGCCATGGGAGAGAGAAAGCTTTTTCACAGTATACGAAGTTTGGTATGGCAGCACACGCTGGTAGTCCACGATATCCACAACACCAGGCTGAGACCCAAACCCGACAAACGTGCGAAGCAACCCGCTGTCCGTGTCATTGCACGCCCAACTTACAGACAACGAGGTCACTTGATTGGTATAATCAAGTTCAATGTATGGGTTGTCCCCGTCAGAAACTGGTAACGAAAAGGTGGGCGGCGTAGAATCGATTACCACTCCATTGGAAGTTTCGATTTTGCTAGGAATCCCTAACGTATTGAATGCCACAACTCTGGCGTAATACTTTACTCCATTTTTAAGTTCTAAGACAAGCAGGTTTGAACTGGCGGATGATGTGACCAGACCAACATCAGTGAAAGGTTGAATATCTGAAGTATTTTCCGAAGTACCAAAGGCCAACTCATAATGATGAATTGAGGATTCGTTCTCATAAAAGCCGCTCCAGCTTGCGTGCAGTATGTTGGTTTCACGTTGGTAGACTATGTCGCTTCCGCTTTGCCCGTCCGTGACTCGTCCGCTCACCGGAGGGCTGGTATCAACTAACACGCCATCCGTCCAATAGCTGCCAAGGTTACCTGCGTTGTCTTTGAGTTGCAGCAATGCGTAGCAGTTTGTTCCTGTTAAAAGACTAATATTCGTAAACGAGTAGGAGAGTAATGAGTTAGATAATTTCACCAGAGGATGAATATCACAATTGTAGGCTTCTTTGGTGGAACTTAAGCATACTTTTGTTTCACTGATGCCAGAAATGTCTGTGACACCTTGCCAATGCATTCGGAATATGGTCGCGAGCGAATGATACTGAGCGTCCAGCGTGCCCCAACCATCCAAAACATGCGCAACTAAAGGTGAATCGATATCGAAAATCAACGGCTGTGACGTGGCAACAATTGTTAGCCCGGCGGAATTGACGGCCTTTACTGAGATGTAGTATTTTCCTCCATTTTTTAAAGTTGTTGCAGTTCTGGCTGTCCAATTTGCACGAATCACATTTAAGGTAGCATAAGGCTGGTAGGTTACAAACGGTATCACATCTTCACCTCCCGGATACGAGGACACTCCAACGCTGTACTGAGCAACATTTGATACATCTTCGACTACCTCGAAGTACGCAGAGAACACATGATTTTGGACACGCGTGTATCTGATTGGTTGATCTTCGTTACCATGGTGAAGCTTTGCTAGCCGGGGAGAGGTTGCATCAACAATAAATGATTCTGATATTGCATTCGAACGCACTCCGGCACGATCTTCGGCTTCAACAACGGCAGAAAATACTCCATTTGGCATGTTCACATGTAGACCGCTGGTCACAACACGGCCCACAGTCTTAACGGGAATCAGTAGTTCCGCAGTATCATACGAGAGCACAGACAAACCAAATTGCTTAATTCCAGAATGTTTGTCGTAGAAGCTTAACGAGTCGCACGTATCGGCTGCGAATGGTTGTTTCGCTTTATCTGCTGGACACCACTGCCAGCGGGCCCAGGCTGCTTTGTTGATCCACGTGACTTTGAGAGGAGGACCAATATGACCGGCTATGACAGCGCCCAGGTGAGGTGGTACAAAATCGACCATAGCGCCATTGCTGCTACCATTCACGCACATACCCACTCGATTACAGGCTATTACCGTTACATAGTAGGTTACACCATTTTTTAAATCACCGCTGCTTATCACGACTTGTGTGCTTACACCATTGCTTCTGAAAGTTGATTGATCGTCCGATCCTGGGCTCGTTCCCAGCCCTACAAAGTATTCTCCAATTCCGCTTTCGGCGTCAGCAAATGCGTTTTCCCAGTGAGCTGGAAAGATATCAAAACCTGAACTAAACTTCTTGTCTATCCCTCGATATCCATCTCTGATGTAGCTAGGTAATACCGTTGGCTCTGTCGTATCAGTAAGTATCCCATCTGAAGACATTGTCTTTACGAAACCAGCGTTATTTCGAACTTTTACCGTAATGTGATAACGAACCAGCGACGTGACATTCAAATAATCAAAAGTTATCCATGTGGTCTTGAAGTCATCAGATGTTCTACTCCTCAAATCCCCAATGTCAACAAACGCGTGGATGTTTTCCCCGCCCGGGTAAGCTCCCACAGCTGCACGAACAGACTGGATACCACTTTCATCGTCGTAACACGAAAACCTGGCGGTGAGGTTTGTAAGATGTCGGACAAAATCTTTGTCTACATCGTCAGTGAAACTTAAGACGTCACTCGGTGGATCGCCGCATGTCGGGGCAGTATCATCAGGAATAACACCTGAAATGTTTACTGTTGAATATAAGCCTGCAGCATTTGTGCCTTTGAGAACAGAAGTGTACTTTTTCCCGGAAACTAAACTTAGGCCGTCAAGCAACGGTGACTTTTGGTACAGCGGTATAATTCTAAAGGGTACGGTGTCATTTCCAGTTTCTTCGTCAACAAGTTTCCACTCGTAGCGCACCACGGGACTCTCGTTGTCCAAGAAATGTTGGAATTTGCCAAAGATTCGTCTCAACGAAGGTACATATCCCGTACCGTCTTTCCCCACAACGAAGTTACCCGGTACTGGTGGCGTAGTATCTATGGTAACGCCATCACTACAAGCTACGCTGGCTAATCCCAGGTGGTTTATAACTTGTACACGAGTGTAATATTTCCCTCCATTTGTAAGCTGCAGTCCAGTCTTTTTAATTGCATAGCTCTCTCCAATATCTTGCATACCAAGAACATCAGCCTCGCTTTCAGACAGAGTACATTTTGGTGATGAGGATACCCCCCACTTGACGCTTGCCAAGTCTGCAAAAGTTCCAACAAAACCATACTGAACAGCGATGCTTGTCATGTCTGACTGGTAGTCTATATCTTCCGACGCTTCACCATCGTGAACGAAAGTTATAGTTGGGGGTGTTCGCCAGGAAGAGAAAGTAGGACAATTCGCTGCTGGACTTTTTAGTCCATGACCATTATACGCGTACACAGCGACGTAGACGGAACGACCGTGCATTATATCCAGATCTGGAATTACCAGACTCTGTCGTTCTCCGTGGATGGAATAATGGTCATCACCAGAACCCTTTAACGAACCGATCTTGACGACGTAACTCTGAATACTTGTGTCTTCGGTGAAGCCGTGCCATTGAACGACATATTTCTTATTTCCGACCTGCTTTGCGGTACATTCTCCAACTTTTGGGGGTGTCTCGTCGGTATCGCGTTCGCAATTACTGAACAGAGTATTGTGTATGGCTTTAGATGACCAACTCCATTCCGCTAAAGTTATTTTACTGCACCAACGTATTGAGATGCGAATTCTAAACCAACTTTTCACACGGATGCTTAAGCACAGTCTAAACCGGAGCCAAAGGTGGACACGAATAGACAACGGGGTCATTTGCATTTTGAGTTCCAAACACGCACGCAGCGGCCATTTATCTACACGCACAGCAAGTTCGGGGATAAGATAGGTCTCTAGTAGTCTCGCCTCAACCGTCACACCCACTTGTATGATCAGTAACGAAACCCTTGCCCCGGCGAATACCGTAACCCACGCCCCAGGGATGATCGCAAGGCGGACTTCTTTTTCGGGTAGGCAAAGTGTAACTCTATAGTTTGCATAGTAAGAAGTATCTGCGCCGAAGAAAAAGGAGACACCAATACCGAAAACCGGAATAGAGAGTGCGATGTCAGGAAATATTGGAAACGATCCTAAAATAGACATTGAAGGTTCTGATTATCTGTTGTATTTGTTGATCATTACGTTGATCAAACTATGCTGTTAGAGTGAAAATAAAAAATGAGCAGAAAATTTCTCGGATAAAAACACTTCAAAAACTACAATACTCTTTAAGACTTGAAAACAATCTGTGCTACATAAGTTCGCAGTAACTAAACAAAAATTAACAACACCACAGACCTCTCTTGGGATCTCCTTCCAGATTCCAAGCACAAGAAGTGCTTTCGGTCGCTTGTCGCCGTACCCTCCTATGTCCCTCTAGTTCCTTGGTGTACACATCAGTATCCAGTGCTTTCTCCAGAGCGCTACGTTTTCGCCGTTCACCACATATCTTCTCACCAACAGGAAATAGACGCTTGGCGGGTATAATCCAGTCCCAGCCAACTTTAAGGAAGATACAGTTCTCTGTGATGTTAAAACCTGTTGAAAGAATCGGCATCTTGAACTTGAAAAATCGATCTTCGAAATCGCCTGCTATTCGCTCGATCTTGTCTTTCTCCGAAATTGTTCCGCTTGAGAATGCGGTCACGAGATGTTCTGAGTCCACGGTTTGGATGCCTTCTAGACCAGTGGGTGTTCGCACAACCCTATGAATAGTCGAGTCCTCTAAAACGCTCGAGTCGACGCTATGGAATTCCAGCTTGCATTGGAAACCAGCAACCGGCGCGCACTTAGCTACGGCAGCGTATTTCACGCCGAATTGTCTTACGATCGCGAACCCACGCGTATGCTGTCCTGCCTCGAATGTTTTCGTTTGTAGTAATACGCCGCCAGAGGGACTTACGTCATAGGAATGGGCTTTTGAACCACCACCGTCGACAACCCAAATTTGACTGTCTCGACTGTCGTAAGAGAGCGAGGTTGCTTGATGGGAGAGTGACTTTGTTTCAGCAATATTAACGATAGAAGGGCCGCTGGTTGACATGCTATTACGGACATCGGATAACTTGATAGCATACAAACTATTTCCACTGGTTGTCCAAATAAAAGTATCTTTGACCACAGCAACGCCGCCCATGTCGCCTGTGAAAGGCTGACCGTTTTGTTGAAGTTGAATAATTTTCGTAATTTGACTGCTCGAAGACCCTATGTCGACCACAACTAGCAGAGAAGCTTTGTTGATGTTTGCAGCGACGCCTCGCATACCAAGGACCATTTTAGTTTCAGACCATGGTGCAATGCTTCGCACTTTGTAGTCATCAAAGAGCCCGGGTACAAGCCATTTTCCTGTGTTGGGAACGGAGGACAGGTCCTCCAAATGTGGATATTTCCATAAGAAAACAACTGTGAGGTAAAGTTTTGAAGACCTGCGGATTAATCTTAGGCATACTTCCTCCGAGCAATACGGGTATTGGTCCCAGGGTTTATAATCCCGGATATCCAACCCTTTCTGGCGTAGTTGAATCATATTCAAAAATGAGATGATCTTATCCAGAAAGTCGTTCACCGTTTCCGAAACCTTTTTCACCGTTTCACCGTAGTTCTCAAGTTTGCTGAAAAAAATGTTGCTAAAGTCAACGGTCTTTGAAAGAACTTCCAATACAGTTCCCTCTAAAGGGCCGACAACTTTTTGAACAACTTCAGTAAATAGAGTCATAGCAGCAACCACAGAGTCTACAGACTGCAAACTCGAGTTGAAGGAATTTGAACTTTTACCAAGCTGGTATGACAAGCCTAGGTTTTGTTGAATATCCTTTAAGCTTTCTTGAAAAGGTTCGATGTTGTCCGAATAGAGGCTTTTCAGTTTACCAAATACCTCCTCAACCAGTTTTTCTAGTTTTTCTTTAGTCTCTTTTGCTTTCGTAACATAGTGAGCAAGGCCTTTGACTTTCTTAAAGAGGTTTCCAACAGATCGTTTCTTGTCCTGCATAGAGTATAAAAATATATAAAGAAAGAATTATTGCCTTTTTGACAGATGGAATGTGCGTCGCACAATGGTATGGTCTAAATGTGTATACGTTATAGTGGTGTCCTCTTATCTCATTTATGTATAGTCTATGAACGAAAGAATGTGTCTTATTAGGCCTAAAACCAAGAGCGCGAGTGGTGTTAGACTCGATAAAACACATCTCGCATTTATAAAGTTTGGATTGCCTAGACTGCTGAGGGTTTTACGATAACAAATCGTCTATCAAACCTGATAATCCTCCTTCCCAGAAAACTTCCCTGTAATTCTGCGAGCCAAGTCCTTCATCTTCATCACATCATCCTTCAGAGTAAACTCATTCACTAATATTGAAATGTTTTTCACTTTCCTGACGACATGAGATACTTCCTGCACAAAACCTTTACACGGTTCCAAAGTTTCAAACAATTCTTTCCTATCAAATTTCCTTTTTAAGATTTTAATTTTTCTCGAAACATCTTGAGCTTGCTTCGTGAACGCCTCAGACCAACACGTACCTCGCTTCACACATTTTCGAAGACTCAATATCTTCCATTCGTCAGGCAAAATTTCTGAAAATGCTTTCACCTCCGATCTTAAATCCCTATACTCCGCATAAGCTTGTTTACCGAAGGCCTTCGCACTTTTTCCGCATTTCGTGAGAAAATTATTGAAAACAAGCTCAATTTCAGAACAGTTCGGTAGTTGACTGACTTCTTTAAGAATCGGGGAAAAGTTTTTCGAGAATGGTCTCATTTCTACCAAGACAGCCTCGACGTCGCTGACAGACTCTGAAACCTTTTCCAATTCACCTCGAACTAACTTCAACGGTTCTTTCAACAAATTCAATTTTCCAACTCCGGTAGAAATTAAAGCGTCTGTTCTTCTGGTTACAAAGTCCCGAAAGGTTCTGAAAAGGTTGTCGCCTTGAATTTTTTTCACAGAATCCTGAGCGAGTGTGTGAAACTTATTGCAGAGTTCTCGCAACCTATCGTCAAAGTCTAATTTGAATTTCCTTCTTAAGTCGAGTTTCTTGACTTCGGCTTCCCATCGGGTGGCATTCGTGGCAAAGTCGTTTACCTTATCGGCAGCCTGACGGGCCATCTCGGCGTGCTCGGGAAAGTTTATCAAAAACTTAATAACACTGTTGATGCTGGTAGAAATCTTGTAAACTTTTCCTAAGAAATCGTTCTCGTTTTTAAGCAAGGACAAGAATTCTTCGAGCGTCTCCGCAACCAGAGCAAATTTTCCCAACCGTTTTTGCAAATTCTCCCTTTGCCATTTTTCTACGTTAGTAACGACGGTTTTGAACCGTTTTACAAGATCGGTAATGCCATGGGAATTGCTGGTAATAAATTCTGCTAGTTCCTTGACAGCTTCCGCGGCTTTCGACTGAATATTGTCCAGAATTTCTCCAGATAAATCTGCAGTTTTGTAGCAAAACCCAGCGAGCTTCACGTCTGTGGTGTTGCTCGTGAATTCCGCAACGTTGTCCGCAAATTCTTTTACGTTTTCAAGTGAAGATTCTAACTTGGTCAAAAACTGGTTCACAAATTTTTTAGCCGTGTCCGATAGCTTTTTCTGAAGGTCATCGATAAGCCGATCAACGAACAAAGTGACGTTGATAACCTCCGATATAACCATTTGAGCTTTGTTCTCAATTTGTCGGATCACAACTATTGCCTCTTTTTCTAAATTTTCGCCAAAGTCTTGTAATTTTCCAGAGGATTTCAACATAAATCCTTGAAACTTGCAAACATTGTTAAGCGCTTTCTTAGAAAATTTTCCAGCTTCGACTCGTAATTCCTTTATGAATTTTACAGTTTTACTAAAGTTTAAGAGTTTGTCATCTTGCTGCTCTAAGATATTCCCGAACTCCTCAATAACTTGTCTGAACCACTGTTCTATATTCAATCGTCTCGTATTTTTGAAAAGATCTGTGTCGATAAATTCTAACTCGTTTCTCATATTGGGTAGGAAATTTTGGAAAAACTTTTCGAAGTCAACATTTGGACCATCTAGTTGCCGGAAAATTTTAACTAGATAAAGGAAATAATTCTGAAGTTTCTGAAAATCTTGTCCGGAAATTTTGATCTTAAAATTGAACTTCAACCTCCAATCGAATGACAATCCGAAGTCAAAAAACCGATTTTCACCAGATGTTAGACCAGGGTCTAAACGACTAAGCCTAGGTAACTCAATTCTCGTTAAATCTTGGAAAACAGAGTGCATTTCTAGAAAATTGTTTCCGAAAGTTATTAAGCGAACCAATACGTTCTTGAAATTTTCCAAAGAATCTGGAAATCCCAGCGTGATCTTGAAATGGAACATGCGAAAGAAATTTTCAGGAACATTAAGGCCCAATTTCTTAAAATAGTCTTCCACGGCAACGTCGATCGATTCAAATCTACCAGATATGTGTTTTAGAAAGTCTTTGATGCTAAAAGTTTTTGTGAAACCCTTCGGAAGCTCTGAGGCGGTGCTCGAAACGAGACTCAGTAAATTTGTCAGAAATTGAAATCCCCCGTTAAACGGGCCTTCGGAGAGACTTAAGTTATTTAGATTTTGCAACAGCTTTTTGACAAAGGAAGCAATTTTTTGCCAAAGCCCGTTAGTACGTAATGCGGTCGTAAGAAACTTTACAATTTCACTGAAAAATCGCCCGAAGCGTGTAGCCTGGAGAGAGCGCTTTATAAACTCGCCAGCCTTTGTGATGAACTGTAGAAAAGCATTTGAATCCAATGGAAGATAGTTTTTTAACTTGTCAATGAAGTTTTGGATGTGTTTTGTAAAAATGCTGGTCATGGAATCAACACTGGCAAGAATATCGTCGCCCGTATCCGCTATCGCATGAATAAGGTCTTTGGGAATATCGTTCTTGAATCTTGCCGACATTTTAAACGCTGCTTTACCGTTTAGGACGTCAAATCTCCACCAGAATATGTTTGCGCGGAAGAGTGCTGCATTATCCATGTTTACCTCGAACTTTCCTCCAAATATCCCGATCTGTAATTTCACTTGGTTCACAAAACTAAAATAGATATTATCGCCATACTGAAATCTCTTTGAGACAAAATTTAGGCACTGGATCGATGAAGATTATATAGTAATAAATAGAACAACCTCGCAAGACTTTCAGGGGGCGTGGCGACTGGGGAGGGGAGGGGAGGGGAGAGTTTGTTTGGTTCAAATGGGCGAGGGGTTACTGCATGCATGTATTTCTAGTAATTATTATTATTAAAACATTTTGATAAATAACGCAACAATTATTTTTGTTTCTGACAGCAAGTCTCCTTCGTCAAAGGCCATACTGAAAGCCTGAAGTGGGAAAAAAGTTGGCCAAGGCCAAAGGATTCTAACGCTCAATAATCCGTATTATGGTTTTATAAAATCATAAAATTTTAGTCCAAAAAACATTTAATCAAATAATCGTTTTTGCCAACTGATTTTCTATCGCCCGGATACAAATTAAACAAACCTCATTAAAGCTTCTGCTCCAGCCATGTTTCCGCCAAATGCCTTTGACCATTTTCGCTTACTTCCCAGTGAGAACTCTCTTGGTCTCAATTCTGGGTGAAGCGCTCTTTTCTTCCTTTTTATGGCTTCCCTCCGCTTTCGTAGATGTTTGATTGTGTGATGCGAGTCATCGCCATGCCTGTTTAAAAACTCCGTAATTTTCGAATCGAGCTCGTCACCCTCCTCAGCGGACCAAAGTGCATCTTCGATACCCTCACGCATGTCGTCTGAAATGTTCTGTCGGCTCTCTAGGAATACTTCGACCACACCAGCCCTCACTGCAACGTGCTCATCATGTTTCAAAACCCACAGTAGGTGATGATCAGTGTCTTGAGCTGCAAGTTTGCGCAGCGCGGACACAGCGGAGTAGCGGATTCCAGAGCTGCCGTGGTCCAAATAACGGACGATTGTATCTAGTAGTGATGCATGGCCTAAGTTGCCAAAAGCCCATATATGGTTACGAAGGTATGTCTCGCGTGACTCGCTTTCGTCGTCATGGAAACGTGCGGGATGGGTTTTAAAGCTTCGATGTAAATATTGCGCAACCCTATCTGACAGTGACCTGTTGTAGCCAGCCTCGTGCACTCGGCGAACCAAGCCAGACATGACCAGCATCGCACGAACTGTAACCTCCTCACTTTTGCTGGTATTTTTATGCAGTGACTGTAGAGCTTTTAAAAGTTCCGGGTGCAGAGGTCCTGCTGGAATGAAAAATATAACTTCGAGAAGTGAAGAATGTTCTTTCTCAGTCAAAGGCCGGGGATCCTCCGACAAAAGTGCCTGGGATAAAACCTTTTGAGTCTCATAATCTCCCTTAACAACCAAAGCTCCAACTAACGCAGACCATGATGAAAAATTCTGATGAGATCTAGATAACGTAAGGTCGATTATGGTTCGATGAATTTCATTGTCTGTTCGGGCAAGATAATGAAGTTCTTTAACGCATTGCGATAGTTCGTTTTTCTTTACGGAGCTATCCCAAAAACACCGGATTAGCTCATAAAATGTTCGGGAGGGTTTCTTGGGAGTTCCAATTTTTGACCAGTGCAAACGATGCACGTCTGTGTGAGTTAGGGTATCTTGTTTGAGATTCGCCAACAAGGTCACTAAATTCTTGTCAGTCAAAGATCTTTTACCCCGTCTATATTTTCGTGAACAGCTAAGCATGACAAGTTGACTCTCTCCTGAGGCTTTGATGTGAAAATTAGGTTGATTTTGAAAATCTGGGTGAGTCAATGGTCGTTTGAAGTGCTTCTCGTTATGCAACTGGGAGAAATGAGTCCTTTTCACAGATTGGATGACATTGTCCTCGATCTTTACAGCGGAGTCGTAGCGGCTTTTCACGTGTTGTTTGCCTTCCACGGGTCGTCCGTCTGCGTGTTTCAAATAATCATTACCGCTCCATTGTTTTGTGAAGTCAACGTGAGTGGTGTTGCGATAGTTGACGATGTAGTTGGTGACGTGGATACCTGAGTCGTCTTCTTCCGTTGTGTTGAATGACATAATCTGAAACTTCGGATGAAGTTTGAGGTGAAAAGCACTAACTACCCCTAAAGAGATTAAAAGAAAATTTTACGACAGGGAATAATTTTCGGGTCAAAGAAAATTAAACTCCTTTGTGAACAAAAACTATAACTAATTATAAACTATTAAATAATTTTACCTTTCTTCAATCCGATAATATCTGGAGAATCATCATGTGGATAAAACACGCGAGTGACTTCTCCTGTTGAATCTTGAAAGAAGAAAAACGGCTGGGATAGTTTTTCTCCCAAATTGCGGTTAACAACATGCTTGATTGTTCGTCCGCCTTTTGAACGAATGACGCGGAGATTGCGTAATTCAAGCTTCGTGACGTAACCGTCGTTCTCTGTAGTGTAACGGTCAACCACTTCTAAGTTTACCTGAAGATGTTTTAAAAAGGTAGTTAGGCATAATTTTTTCCTATGGACAAAGTAGATTTTGACTATCATTTACAATAGTTCTTATAGTACTGATTGAGCAAAGGAAATTTCCGAAGAATTGTTCCCTAGAGGACATCAATAAACATTTTTATTTAGTATTACTTCGTATGTAAATAACTGTCGTGCACCTGGTCAGGGAGAACATGCCGTATCATGCCTCCCTTTCATTAGGCGGGATTTTTTTGTTATAGCTACACACAGGTGACACACTTAAATGTTTTCTCATGATAATAGCGGTATTGTAAATGCACATTTTAACAACCAAGTGATCACCGTCGCCTCTCTTCTTACTTTATATTGTTTGCTGCCTAGTTGGACCTCCTGTCATATTGATTTGCATACAATAACTAAGGTCGATAACGACGGCAAAGCCTACATACTGAATGAGATGTCGTATACAAGTTATGCAGGTTAAACATTCATCGTCTCAAAAAATATTGAAGCCCTCCCGTATGCCGACAAAGCACTATAATTTCAGCAATGAAAACTGAAAGTGCCGCCTCGCGCGTATTTGTTGATAAATAACCCAAGACTCCAACGGCGAGTGTAATTAAGTTTAAGAAATAATTTATTTTAACGGCGATAAAATAACACGATTGCACTTCGCGAATATAAAGGCAAAGAGAAACCATTTATTTGAACACTAGAACATAATCTTAATATATGTCAATTTTCAACAAACATTGTAAATAATACCAATTATTATTCAAGAAATTATACGTTATAGAAACAGGCGTGGGAAAATACTTAGATTTATCTCCATGCGTTTAAATATTCAAATATTTTTAAATTTAAAAGTTGCAGCATTTGCATGTGATAAGCGCCGCCTCACTGAAACGCTACAAGACAATAGTTGTTTTTGATATTGGCGCGGTTCGTCAATTTAATGACATTTATTTTAATATTTGATAATCATTGTTAGCGTTACCAGCGATTTTTCCTGGTATTTCCCGACACACTAATGAACGTAATCGCACCTACTGAGCTATTTGTTTGTCTTCAGAAAGCCCAGAATATTCTAAAGCCAAGTTGGATTTATATCCTGCGGTGTCCCTTTGAGTTTTTGTTTTGATTATTATGTAATTTATAGATTCTCCCATAAAACGCTTCACCTTTTGCATTTCATTACATGCTAATGCATGTCTTACTTGTTTTTTTACAATGTAGTCCTATATAGTTTTTTAACATTCAGAAATGGAGCTATGGGAAGCTTTACAGGCCATCGAAAGAATCATGAGCATGATTTTGTCGATAATCTTAGAAACAACATGATACTATACATGAAATAACATGATTCATCGCAGATACTATAGCCTGCGCTATTGAAAAATAGATATAAGATTTACGATTATTATTAAGACAATTGTATTCATGATTGAAACCCTACAAAGGAGCAGGAGAAGCTGCGTTTGGGAAGTGAAACTGGGAAATTAATTAGGGCCCTGCATGTAAAATGTAATCTGTAAAATGTTTACTTCCTGACAAAGGCGGAAATTTCAGAAATTTTCAACTAATACAATACTTTTACCTTAAAGCGTGCACTTTACAATAGGCATTTCAACACTTTTTGCTTAATGCGTCGATTTTGCTTTGTGTGACGAAATTTCAAGCTAGATGAAAATATTCTAAGTGGCTGTTTACATGAGCCCGGTTACCCGAGATTCAACGAAGCGTGAGAGGACTTTGAGGTATTGAACTGAGCAGATAACATGATCCTGGCAGTCGTATAATCACCACAACAATATAGTATGTGCTTGTTTGGTGTCATAAAGACTTTTTTCAATACCTCAAAGTCCTCTCACGCTTCATTGAATCTCCGGTAACCTGGCTCATTTAAACAGCCTCCAAGTATGACCACTGTTAATTATATTGTTTGAAATTATGGTAATATTTAGTGATTATTCAGATACATAAAAAGATACAGCACTATTTACAAAAGATTACTATCGGTTTTATAGGGATTACTGCTCTTTTCCTCAATTGCGGAGTAAATTAAAAAAGATCCAGTTTGGAGCCATGGTGATCATTGATAATGCTTAATCTTAATCCCTTGCCGGGATTAGTGTTTCCTAAAAATCTAGTTCTAAGAATTAGAACAATATCTTCAAATTTATACCATTGTCGGTTGAGACTTTCAAACCCTATACTGTATGAATTTCAATATATTTCATATAGGTATGTAGTCTCGCATTCAAGCGATATATTCAAAGATAGGCTATATTCTATTAAAATACAATACAATGTTTTTATAGTGCGCTATATGATTACTAAAATGTGCCGGGCTAGTGCAACCGACTCCTTTCAACTCACTACGCTCATTCAATAATAAAAATGGTACGTTGTATAGCTCGAGCGGTTAATATATAGGAATACATGCAGTAGCTACCATTGAAAATGTTATATGTACATGAACTTTATAATAATTATTTTATCAAATGGTTATGCAAACGTGACAACTGAAGAACAAAAATTAAAGCATAATGTATTGGGTTCAAACGGTTTCCATATCAAATTTTACCAAACTAAGTGTTTGATATCAGATAAATATAATTGAAACCAAGCATATAACTTATATGTTACATGTAGCCTATGTCTATTTTTCCTGAAGTCACATACCTTAGCATTGATTTTAGAGTCCTGCTCTTTAGTAGACCTTTCTCCGCGATGAGTATGGACTTCAAGGTTATAATCATAGCTGCATTTTAATCCAGGGTATATTTCTAAATGATTAACAGCACCTGCTGAATGAAACAGAGAAACAAACTGTAAAAAAAATGCCCAAAAGCGCATTTCGATTTGCGACAAATATTTTTGATCGTCGCTACTTCATCTTTAATTGTTCTCTAAAGTCTAAACGAAGATGTTTTCCTTTGAAACAATACCAAATTTCAACAAGAAAAGGGGGGATGGGATGTTTGTGGGCGGGTAAAAGAATTCGGCAATATAATTGGCTATTGAGAATGGATTTTTGCAACGTTTCTCTTTGTTAACCAATCACATTGTCGAGATTTGTTTGTCTCGTTAACTTATTGGAAAACAGCCTTTAGTCAATTACAAGAGACGTCGAGTTTGAGATATTAAAATATAATTTCGGATATTGTGTATTGGTGTTCAGGTTATTGCTTGCAATGAAGTTTCAAAAATGACAACAGAATTCAGGTGCTAGCAAGATCGGCTATTCAACAGACCAATTCTGAATCGAGCTAATTCAAAGGCATTTAAAAATAAAGGTAGGAATGGAAAAATGCGGTTGTGTGTACTGTAATTTTCTGTAGTAGTGACCGACAATGAATCAAGTGAAGGCATAAGCACTTTTTGGTGCTTTAGCGAAAAATGTTTAGATTTGCTATCTATAAATCGATAAGGCAATCTAAATTGGTAGAAACGCATTTAATCAGCCAAACCAGTAAACTGCAAAACCTATACATAGAAATTGACGAGAGTCGTCGCATCGAGCGAAACTTGATCAACCTTCACACTTTAATCCAATGAGAACTTGCTTATACGAGCAGACCATTTTGAGAGAACGCACGTCAACGCTCGTCAAAATATAATAATTTTAAATTTGTTGACACATAGGAATAATCACTTGAACCGACGATCGACACCCGTCTCAACTATATCTTCGGTTCAGACAACATCGCTTTATCGGTGCTGCAGTTGAATTTGACAATATAAAACTTATCATATAAGACTGTAAACAGTTTTTTATTTATTGTACTTTCACGTCTTTTTAGCCATAACGTACCCTGAGCGGAAACTGAGTAATTATAGCATCGACCACCTAGTGTTAACCTATACATTTCTTAGTTACAGGGAACCTAAAATCGAAAGTAAACTTGCTTAAACTTGCAGAATATATTAGCATACGGTAGCAAAGAGAAAGTAACAGATTTTTACGTAGACATCTACACGTTAAAATGTCAAACCAATTTTTACCAAGTTTACCATGTTGATTAAGTTTTACCAGCATGCACAGATGCACAGATAACTTTTACTCCAATTTTGTAGTGAATAAACGTTTCATACGTATAAATTGTAATATTTAAGAGCAGTTTATATACCCACGTCTGTAGCAAAGCAGTGATTCAGTTTCGAAGTTTCACTTTCACTCACCTAGCTTACATCGTACTTCATCATACTTCAATTACTACTACTACTGATGCAATCATCTTATATTTTCTTCATACATTTATTTTACGAAACAAACGAAGCCATCGAATCATTTATTGCTTCGCTAAATCCCCCAGTATAAATTGTCACTTTTATCATGTATAGTGCTGTTATGCCCTAAAGTCTGAACTACGTTAAAACTGAAACGCACTCACAAGAAGTATATATATTATGTCAGTTCAACTATACATGCCAGACCGGGTTATATACAAAAACATTCACATACGAAACATTAGCACTATTTACATATTTACAGCAATAACATCACAGTACATTTAGTTCTAAGTCTATATATAAATTTGGTTCGATAGCGCAACATCAAATTATTCGCGACTGATTTCTAGCGTCTTTACGGCATTATCAAAGATTTTGGTCATGTAACTGACCTTTCCCATTGGCGTCAAATGCAAGCTAGAAGACATCAGCTACATGAAGTTTTACTGGCTCGTTAGTTTGTTTAAAGTAACCCGAAAGTTTAAATGACCACAAAACCTGCAAACTCGCGCATATAAAGCCTTTAAGACGCAAATATTTCGGTGTTTATAATTTATAATTATACACTGACAAACAACCAATTCCTAAAGAAATGAACAACAACAATAAATTTTAAATTAAAGTTTTTCCACAGCAGAACTGAATCGACAAGTTGAGGACAAATATTGATTCAAAATTCAAATTCATGTTGATTAAATGCATTACAGCATAAATTCGTGGCGCCAGGGAAGTTACAGTCCATAAAATGACTAACTTGCGTGTAACACTTTAGGACTGATATTATTACATTATTCATTATAACCATAGATTCTAAACATAGCGGTAGATCTTTTAAATCATTTGTGCATTATATATGGTATAAAAATTTATTTAGTTCATTCTATATTTCTGTAACTTTTATTGGTTTACGGTTACAATTCGCAGGAGATCATTACATTATTGTTTGAATTTGAAAAAAAATTTTTAAATATGGCGATTTGAAATTGTGAAAAAATGACACTTCACTGCACGGCTGGGGTAATAATTAAATAAAACTAGGGAGCCAAGGATAGTGCAAAGTTGCATAGATAGTGCTAAGCAACCAGACATTTGTCCCAACAAACGTTTTGACTTATGTCGGTAAAAATATAAATAACTATAGGTTAAACATTACCCTTAATCAAACAGGAGATTACTCAAAGTACTCAAATTACGTTAGCCGCGATATTGTAATGTTAAATTTTGATTTTAGTTGCTCATGCAAAGCGGACGCTATTTTCTATGTTTAGTATTACAGAGTTCGGCAAAAAAGACCATGTCTCTTCTCTTCGTCAAACAACTGTGACTACATGAACTACATGTATATGATGGCAACAATTTATCCGTCATTTCAAAAGAATAGCCAAAATACTTGCGTTGTAAATAATGCATGTAAATAAACCTCTGTGAATATTATGTCTATGATGTGGATACTTCGACGCGTAAATTGATACAAAGCAATATACTTATAATCAATACTGTATACCACTAAAATGATTTGATTACTGCACAAAATGTCCGTTTTGTATAGTAAGAGATCTATCAATACATAAACAATACAGCGTCGTTTCTTCATAAGCTCTAAGCTCTATGTATGGAATATCCGTCCAAATTATATTTGTGCTTAATTGAATGCTCGTAATTTCTAACATAAGTTTATGAAGCGCATAAACTGTCAAAAAGTTTCTTTGAAACTTTGCGCTAACAACCAAGCTGGGACACACTTTTCAAAACAAGACTTGTCGGATCCAGTATAGCCTGCGTCACAGTCCACTCCCCGTAGTGAGTGCGGGTACCACTTGTCCGATGAAAATAATTTGACTCGATGAGAAATCCTACGCCTATATGCCCAATCAGGCCTGTGCGATATAAGCCTTTAAGTGTTTAATTGGCACCACTTATCAAATACAAACACTACAAAGGTCAGTTCCAGAACGTAGCACACCGTAAACTTTATATATCATACACCATCCAATTTTTGAATCACGAGAGTGTATTTTATGAACACAGATCCGAACTACTTGGGAGTTCACATCGACGCCAAACTCATTGCTTATAAGAGAGAATAAACCAATGGAGCTGATTTTTCTGTTGATCTTGATTTTGAATTACCAACTGGTGAATGGGTGCGGCGGCGGTAGTCGACGGTCACCTCCACCTCCACCTCCACCACGACAATGTAGTGTGGGACCATGGTCATCGTGGAGCAGTTGTTCACATCAGTGTGGCAATGCCGGCACGCAGTCGCGTTCAAGGAGCAAGACAGTGGCTGAATGTTGCGGTGGGAGATGCCCATATCAATTTAGCGAGACGAAAGCATGCAACAGAGACGCGTGTCGTAATGGGGGGACACCAACTTATGGCCGGTGCAATTGTAGGCCGGGTTGGACTGGAACATGCTGCGACAAAGGTAGTTAGCATAATGATTCTAAATGGATGGGTGCATGGGTACACGGACGGACAAAAACACAAATTTTGAAAAAAAATATTTTACGTAGTTATTTTTACGTAGCCTCTTACTCAGTGTCATGGGGAGCATTACAATCTTTTCATCAAAAAAATTAACGACGACCGGTAATCTTAGTCGAAGTGGGCAAATTAAAAAAATTGCATCGTTAGGTTTTGTGAGTGCATGTTGCTAGCTACTCTATCTTTCGTTTAGCCAAAAGTTTACGTTTACTAGTTTACGTTTAAAGCCACAAAAGCAATTTCAAACCACTAACATAAACCTAAATACAACAATTTCATACCACTAACACAATGAATACAATCCCACAATCCCCATCACTACAATCAGCATCTTTACATCCAAGCATCTATTTATGCTTCGCAGATACAAACGAATGCCTGTCGACAAAACCATGTGAGCACAATTGTTACAATGTTCAGGGAAGTTACACATGTAGCTGTTATTCATGTTACACAAAAGTTGGCACTAGATGTGAGCTACGACAGTGCCGTATTGGAAGTAGATGCTACAACTACGGTAGGGTAAACCCCTCGAATCCGTGTCAGGTAATGTATCGTAGCGGTTTATACGTAGTGGATATGTAATAGGGGCTGGCTATCATCTATTTTCGAATTAATAGGGGCTGGTGATCATCCATTTTCGATCATCACACGCATGAAAAAGCATTTTTCATCTTGAAAGGCCTCCTTTTAATTTGTATTTCATTTATAGGATTGTCAAAGCAGCCGGAAGACCCGTTGGACAAACAACAATGCACTATCGTGTAGTGATGGCAACTTGTGCACAAGAAATGATCGCTGCCTGAACGGCGTGTGCAAAGGAACTGCATTCACGTGCAGATCATGCGAAAGCTGTAATGGTTATGGGTGCAGCATTAAGCCTGGTTACTGTGTGATTGGTGGGAATTGTTACAGAAACGGGGATTTTCGACCTGGAAAACCATGTCAGGTAAGAGTGTGCTGTATTGCAGTGGCGGTATAGCTATATATGTAAAAAGGTTTGGGGAAAAGAAATACAAAAGAAGAATAACAAATTTTATTTCTTGACACTGAACCGTTTGGTGGTTGCCTAAGTTTTTTGAAATCGTTAATCAATTTTTAATATGAATATTTTAGAAAACATACTAAAAGGCAGAAATTATGTTTAGCAAGTCTTCCTAACCAACAGGAACGTTTTAAAACCGCTGCAATTTCCACCCTATTTATATCAGTATCAACGAATCCGTTAATCCTATAATTTCTCGGTCAGTTCGAAGTTTGCTCTAAAGATGCTTCACCAATTAACAATACAATCTTTACTGAATACTGCATTGAGCGATATTTCTCCTAGGACCAGTTGTTCAAAGCTAGGTTCAAAGCTAATTTAAAAAATGAATATAAAGATTCGCTTTAACCAAGGGTTAAGCTAACGGTTTTTGAGTAGCTCCAGGGCTACCAAGATGTATTTTGAGGGTGGTGAGGGGGTAACAAAAGTTTCACTCCTAGAAATGCAACGACAACAACCCAACAAGATGGACATCAGCACACAACAACCTCAAGTGCAATGACAAGAACGTGAAAACGAGAAACGATTTGTGTTGGGAGGGAGAATGTCGCGGCCAGCCGTACACGTGTCTGACATGTCAAGATCATTACGACGACACGTGTAAATTGAAGCTTGGGAATTGCATCATCAAGTACAACAATACCGAGACGTGTTATGGCGCAAACATGAAAAAACCTGGAAACCCCTGTCAGGTAGGATTCTTTCGGTTTTTTCGGCAAAAGTTGAAGTGTACTTATTTTAAGCAAGGGCTTTTTACAAGAGACCAGTCCTTGAAATTTGTATACAAGCTAGGTAGAAAAATAAGATCGATTGGTCTGTAAACCGTAGCTTCCGAAGACCTTGTTTACATTGTTTTTTCAAGTGGTGTAGTCCAAATGTAACAACGTCAACATGGACAAACAGAAATGGTACGTCCTGCGACGACGGACAGAAGTGCACACGATCGGACAAGTGTCAAGACGGCCAGTGTGGAGGAATCAGTTTCCAATGCACCTCACCGTGTCAATACTGCGACGGAACTGCTTGCAGTTTACACACTGGATTCGGATATGTGGCAGGGAAGTGTACTTGCAAAATTGTAGGTAAGTAAACGGACTGTGGACAAGAGGTAACAGAGTTACACTGTTAACCCTAGGTTTTCTAATTTTTCCTATGAAAGGCAGGGTTTTCAAAACTTATTTGCATATGACTGTCCTCATAGGGAGGTAGTAATGACAAAAGAGAGAACCAAAGAGCTTTTGAAAAGAATGAATAATATATTCTATTAAGACTAATCCCTCCCTCATTCATAGTTGTAGTAGTTGTTGAAGAAGTTTCCTTCAAATTTTGGGATCCCTGATGGAAACAGTGCTACGGGTTTTACGTCTTTATTATGTAATATAGTTATGGTTATAATTACGATTAAACTTGCATTAAATTTTAATGGCAATAGGCAAAGAGTACAGTCATCAACAACTAAATCCGAGCAACGAATGTCAATGGTGTGATTTGTACCATAATGCTTCCAAAGCAAGTTCGTTGTGGACTAACAAACCTGCCGTCCTTTGTAACGATAGCAACGCTTGTACCAAAAATGATTTATGTAACAACGGTCGATGTATCGGCGAGGCATTCAGTTGTAACTCATCGTACCCACAGTCCAGTTGTATACAGCGTTCTGAGTGTGTGGGTGATGGTTCATGTAGGGATATCGTGAGAAAAAGAGGAACGATATGCCAGTCAGCTGTGGATAAATGTGATCAACCTGAAAGGTACGATTAAATATTTTAGGTGCCCCTACTAAAGTCAGGCGTTGTTTCGTAAGGAATTTTTTCTAAGCGTAGAAAGACAGAAAATTATCGTTTTAAGACTATCTATGCTGCCTAATGGTAGATTAACCAAGAAAGCTGTTTCCACTCATGTTTGGCTGAGCTAGAGTCATAGCTATGTCCAGGCAAGATCTGGAAATGTAATATACAAAGATTAGAATAAATTAGTGTGTCTAGAATATACCCCAAATATTTGTTTAGTCAATGTGTATTAATGTTATTAGTTTTATGGGGCACACGAAGAAAAATACAAAAAGCAGTGAAGGAATACCTCAATACCACATGGTTTTCCGTGCAGGTTTGCATGATCAACGCAGAAGGATGTTGAGATTTCGGAAAGCAAATACACGAGCAATAAGTCGAAGTCGACCAACATTAAAAGTGCATGGAGATCATGCAATCTTGCACGGCAGAACGGTTTGCATGGTAATTGTATAAAAAAATTAATAAAGGAAAACAACAGTACCTTTATAAATTCCCACGCGTCGAGGAAAATAAGAATTCCTCGTGCAAGAATCCGATTGCGTTTTGCAATTATGGTAATTTTTTTCCTCCACAGATGCGATGGCTTGTTGGGAACATGTCCGCTACAGACAATCGACAACATTAAAATTAACTCCGGCCAGATCGCTTTAACTCTTTCGAACTTTGTAACTAAAATTTCGTACCAGTCCAACACAGATAAACTGTACCTCAAACTGAGTAATTTTTCAGTCACATGTGGCGTTCTAGATATAAAATGGTCGTTACTGAAAAGCCAAGATAGCTGCGCCCTCGGCAAAAACCACAGTAGCCTATCTAACACAATCAACCACGTTTTAAACGTGTTAACCTTGATAGACGGCGAGACTTATAAGGTTGTGGCACAAGCTTACGATATGCGCGGACAGTCTGGATTACCAGTGTGTAGCAATGTGGTTACCATAGATACCAGTAGACCGAGCGGGGGATGGATCAGGGACGGCCTGGGCTCTAGGGATCTTCAGTTCCAATCAACTAAAATAATCAGCGCAAATTGGGGAGGATTCAGAACAACTCTTGGCATCGGGAAATATGAAGTGGCAGTTCACAACATGAACTATACCCTGCAGCCTTTAACTAACGTCAACCTTGCAGCATCTTTTAGTAAAACCTTTACTGCGATCACAGACGGTAGTAAAATCACTTTAAAAGTAAGGGCATTCACAAAAGCCGGGCTGTATTCAGAAGTTTCCAGCAATGGTGTCACGATCGATACCTCCAGACCTACTTTAGGAAATGTCTCAGACGGATACTCGAATGATCTCAAATATGCTAACTGGACTACGACCTACAATGCAAGCTGGACACCATTCACTGATGCTCACACACCCATCGTTCAATACAGGTTAGGTGTGAAGGAAAAAGATGGTGGGTTTGTTGGATCAGGATTAATCGCGGTAGGGCAAAAACATACTGGTAGCATATCTGGCTTAACACTAACCTCTGAAAAAGAATACTGCGCCGTTGTTGAAGGGGTGAATGCTGCGGGACTAAGTTCCCAGGCCATTTCAGATTGCCTTCTTATAGACCACGATGCCCCGCAACCAGGCACAGTTAACGATGGAGTCTCGGGGGATATCGACTACCAATCGGGAGAAAACGTATTCCACGCAAATTGGAATGGATTCAGGGACGGTGAAAAGGGAAGTGGAATTGCAGAATATAAATACAAGTTTACTAATAAAAATGACGGGCGAATTGTTACACAGTGGTCGTCTTCTGGTCTTCAAACGGAGACTACCATTACTGGATTGAACCTTGTAAATGGCAACACGTATTATATCACAGTACGGGCTGTTGATGAAGTTGGAAACTATGTGGAGATAAATTCAGACGGTGTCTTTATCGACACGAGTCACCCAGTTTATACAGGAAATCTGACTGTTCAGGGTCAGACAGCGATAAAGAATGGAGAAATGGTTGTTTATATCAGAAGCAACGAGTCAGTGACAGTCTCCTGGCCTCAGTTTCTAGACGAACATAGCGGAATGCTGAAGTATCAGTGGTCAATTGTCGAGAGAAATAAGAAGACAGCTGTATTGTGGAAGGATGTCCCTGGAGTTAAATTGGATACAACAACTACTTTAAGGTAAAGTCTGTGAAGTTAGTCGTCGACAACAACTCCAAGCAAATTTTAACGCTGAAACGATTAAGTTGATTTTATTTAGGTATTTTTTGCCTAGGAGCTGAAATAGAACTATAATATTTCAAAAGCTTAGCACGCCATGAATGTAAAACATCCACAATCCATCACACAAAACTGTCCCTATTTTATTTAGGCTGAACTAGTTAATCTACAAGAAAATGTGTTTAAAGTCAGCCCTGAAAACTCTAGCTTTATTACTTTTTGAGAACAAGAAATGGAAGGGAAATAAGGGGAATCACTTGCTAAGAAAAACGATAAAAAGGTTTTGCATATATAGAACAATGAATTCCTTTGAATTATTCGTATTCGTACTCGTATTGTTGTAGTGTATAACCTTAAGAACACCTTCCAAATCCGACATCGTAATGTGCATAATATTTTATTATAGTTCGCTGTCCTTAAAAAACAACAAAGAATATCAACTTACAATACGTGGAATAAACAACGCCGGCCTTCATGCTGACATAAAATCGCCCATTATCATCCCCTTAAGTCAAACCGACCTCGGTACGGTCTCGGATGGCAAAGACCCGACGATTGACATCGATTACCAAACGAACACCTCCGAAGTCCACGCGACGTGGAAAGGCTTTGAAACGCCCAGCGTCAAGGTTCGCGCATACTTTTACGCAATCGGCAGCTGCATACAAGGAAATTATCACGTGACCAATAACCAGTTTATACCGGTTAGTCCAGCTACTGCTACCTCACTGAAGATTCAAGGATTGAACCTGATCAACGGTCAAAGGTATTGTGTGAAAATTAAAGCGGAAAATCTGGCTGGCGTTCAAACCGAGGCTGTTTCTTCAGACGGATTTATCGTGGATGTAACCCCCCCTGATGTAACACGGGCGATGGTATTGGACGGTAGCGGAGATGATGACATCGATTACCAATTCAGCAGGGGGGAATTGTCTGCGACGTGGAAAGGAATCCGAGACTATGACTCAGGCATACACCATTTCGAAGTAGCGGTTAGCCGGAATCGAGCTGGGGTACCAGATGTGACGTCATTCAAAGACGTAGATCGCAATATGTCGGCAAAATTAACTGGACTAAGTCTGAATAATGACGTGTATTACATAATAGTTTGCACAATAAATAATGCAGGATTGAAGTCATGTCTCGCCTCCGACGGTGTCCTCATTGATCCAACTCCATCAACGTCTGGTGTAGTGTATGATGGCATAATTGAACCGGATGTTCGCTATCAGTCTTCGACCACGAAAATAAGCGCGAACTGGGAACGAATTTGGGATTTGGAGAGCAGAGTAGCGGGATTCAAATGGAGGGTTGAAAAAAAAGATAGAAAACCTGTTACCGATTTTGTTGATGTTGGACTTCAAACTCACGTTACCAAAAAGTTGTCTCTAAAACATGGACAAAACTACACGGTGGTGTTGCGTGTATATAACAGAGCCGGGATTATGCGGGAATTGAAATCAAATGGTGTAACTATTGACACGACTCCCCCCGTACCGAGTGCCATTACTATGGGATCTGATTGGCGTTTCAACGAAGAGACTGGGACTTACTATTCATCCTCATCTTCTGAGGTATCCGTGAATTGGGAGGATTTCAAAGAACGCGAAAGTGAAATATGGTACTATAAGTGGTCAATAGGAACATCAAAATGTGGCTCCCAGATTCAACCGCTTGTCAATATCGGTTCGTCCACGCGTGCAAACACGACTAAAAGTGAGGCCAACTTCCGGCCAGGAGTTCCTTATTATGTGACAGTCGTTGCGCGAAACCGTGGAGACCTCGTATCACGTGCTTGCTCGTCACCACTTCTCTTCGACTACACGCCACCTAGTCCCGGTAGTATCCGGATAACCTCGCGTACTGGGGTCGAGAAAAGCTATTTCAGTTCTACCGAAGAACCACACGTTAGCTGGATATATTTTGAAGACTTAGAAAGTGGTATAGATAAATATGAAATATCTGTTTTACAATTGAATACGTCTATGGGAAATTACGCTCTGAATTCTAGCACAGCAATGGCCAACATTTCACTCGGTATTTTGGCACCAGGAGCAGGATATTCAGTAGTCTTCAAAGTCATTAATTATGCAGGACTCGAAACTTCAGTTCATTCAAAAGCGTTCATTATCGATGACACTCCGCCATATTACACTGGCCGCGCACTGAGACGACGTTTTCAGTCTAATCTCGCCTCAGTTAAGGTAGCATGGGAACGCTTTTTGGACGATGAAAGCCCCATAGAATTTTACGAAATCGGTCTGGGAACACAGGCACTTAAAGACGACGTTTATGAATTTACAAGAATTGGTTTGCGCACTGATATTAAGATTACCGGGTTGGATCTTAAACATGATTCAACATATTTTATCACTGTAAGGGCTCACAATGCAGCCGGACTCGTCAGATCACTCCTTTTAGAGGAAATAAAGATTGATAGAACCCCGCCGACTGAGAAAGACGGTAGTGTAAAAGATGGTCTTTTTGGATATGATATCGATTTTATATCTCTGAATGACTCGGTTTCGGCAACTTGGGAAAACATCGAAGAACAGCAAAGCATGGTGAGTATGTTTGAATACTGTGTTGGCACCACACCGTACAATTGCCTTGTCAAATCATTCACCGCAGTCGGCCTAAACAGATCATTCGAATGCAATGACTGCAAGATAGAGGCGGATGGGAAGGTTTTTGTCAGAGTTCGTGCAACAAACACTGCAGGATTGTCTGCTGTCTTTGTTTCTGATGGCGTCATTGTTGACCCAAGTTGTCCCGAAATAGGCCACGTCTTTGATGGAGAAAAGGCTGGAAGTCCAGACTTGGAAAAGGTCGATCTTGATTGGTTGCCTACCGTCACGTGGTATGGTGCACGGGACATTGAAAGTGGTGTTCAAAAGTGTGAATGGATCATCGAAAAGCAGGATGGTAATAGAATCGAAATGGCTTATGTACGGGCGCTTGGCCTAGCTAACATAACGTATGATGTTCGGCATACAGAGAGAATAACTGTCCCAATACAGTTGGTTAAAAATGCCCGGTATGTCAACGTAATCCGCTGTTTGAATAACGCTGGGATAGTTAGCCACCAATACTCCAATGGTTGGTCGGTTGTTGGTGAATGGCCCGCTACGTCAAATGTTTACGATGGACTAGGATCACGTGATTTGGCATACGACGTCATTGGTGAGATTCTTGGTGCATCATGGGACGCGTTTTATGGGGATGCAAATGACCCGATCGTTGCATACGAGTGGGCTGTAGGAACTTTGGGATTACCTGATGATATCGTGCAGTTCACTGAGGTTGGTTTGGATACAAAGGCTTCTAGATCACTGTCTACAAACGAGATCATTCTAGATATTGGGGTAAAGTATTACGTCACTGTCCGCGCTACGACATTGAGTGGGAGGACTAGTAATAAATCTTCAAACGGATTTCTCGTTGATACGACCCCACCGACTGCAGGTGTTGTTAAAGCGACGCACAGAATTTTAAAACAGGCAACAAATGAAGTAGATTACACCCTAACTTGGAGTGGCTTTAGCGATTTTGAAACAGGAATGAAAAAGTTTGAATTCTGTCTTGGCTATTTTGAAAATGTTTGCTCGACAGCTTTGACGAGCGCTGGCTTAAATTTACAAGGAACAGTGCAAGGGTTCACCCCGGCTGATCTAGCTACGCCATTCTACGGAATTGTCATAGCAACCAACAATGCTGGCCTGACAACAATCGTCAGTTCGGATGTGATCAAAATTGACTTCACCCCTCCCATCGCCGGGACTGTCATTGACGGATCGGTCGAGGACCTGGACAACATCGCGGTCGACACTGCACTGATTAGCACATGGTCTGCGTTTACTGATCCAGAGACTGATATCGAGAGATGTACGTTGACCGTCATTGGTAAGAACGTCAAGAGTGAATTCTCTCTTCTAAGAATAGACGTCAACGCGAGTGGATCTCTAACTCACAGATTTACGACAGTCCCTGGACTAAAATATATAACGACTATAGAATGCAGGAATCCTGACGGCTTTAAAACCTCCGCAGAGTCAGATGGCATACTTTGCGATGGGACTCCTCCGACAGTGGGCGGAATATACCACATGACCAACCAAAACCACACTTCGGAAAGTCGTTACCAATCCTCGACAAATACCCTTGACTTGTACTGGGACCCAAGTCGCGATCCAGAAAGTGGCGTCAAGGAGTATTTGGTAGCTGTGGGTTCTGGGGCGTACCGCGACGACGTACGTGGGTTTGTTACGGTCGGCATGGCAACTGAGGTAAAAATCGCAAATCTCACTATGAGCTCTGGGTTCATATATTACGTCACGTTGGAAGTAGTAAACAATGCAGGCTTGAAGTCACGTGCTTCATCCAGGGGTATTGAAGTGGATGCAACCTCACCAATTATAACTAAGGTATGTATTGTCAAAGTAGGATTACCAAGTTGGTGATCTGATCAACCCAAAAACTTAAAAGACATTGGCAACAAAAATTAACTTCGTCTTATTTTAAAGAGACATACAGTATATTGCAAAATCCGTTTACAGATTTTCTTTACTGTTCTTCGTTGATAGAATATTCCGCTCATTTTAAACAATAATAATCTTAAGTTTCCTTTGTTGTTAGGTCATTTAATTAGATCTAATTATAAGATAATTAATTCCAGCGTAGATATTTCAAGAACTAAGAAAGATATGAAAATTTGAATATAAAACTTAATACAAAGTTTTCAGAGTTCTTTTATATAAGACCAACTTATTTTTTACTGCCAATACCTTTAAAGAAATATTTAAAAAGTGAATTAATTATATTTAACTTTGTGAGATTGTTAAATGTATACATTATCAGAACAGTGCTAACTCGGATGTGAGGTACCCTAAGACGTGGTTTCTTTTGTTTCTTCCGTCTTTACATTATCGGCGATAGCCAGGCGTCTGAAAGTGTTAATTTTTATCTTTGTTTCATATCATTTATCCTCAGCATATATTACTACAGGTTGAACTTCAACCGTCTTACACTGCGCGAGAGATAATGGGACCAGGCAACCACCTTAGCGGAAAATGGAACACTTACGATGGCGAAAGTGGTATTGATTTTACTGAGTATTGCATTGGTACAACGGACGCTGGTTGTCAAGTAGCAGACATGAGACGTGTCCCCAGCAACATTACAAGTGTCACATGTTTTGAATGCAAGATAAAACACAACCATACCTACTTCATGACCGTACGAGTTTGGAACAGGGCGGGACTGTTCAGTTTGGCACACACAAAAGGGGTGACCGTAGATTTAACCCCACCAACATCTGGTGTGATTTTCTTGACACCATACTACATGCCATGTACTGAAACATGTAACTTAAGTGCAACATTTAGAGGGTTTGTTGATGACGAAAGTGGAATGCGAGATTGCGAATATAGTGTAAAAACATCCGAAGGAACAAGTGTGACACCAGCACAAGTTACAAACAGTAAAAATAATTTATTGACTCCTAATCTGAGACTCAATCATGGGGGAAAATACAAGATTGCAGTCATTTGTACTAATATTCTTGGTGAAAAGAGCAATGAAGTTGAATCGCATGAAGTAATAGTTGATAACAGCCCACCAGAGAAGGTACGTTTAACAAGTTTTTTCAGCGAGAATTCCAGGAATCAAGGACAACAAAACTGAGGCGTTGTTACGTGTGAAATCGAAGGTTGTTAGATTACACCTTATAAGATTACACCTTATCATTACTTACATCGTCATTAAATAAAAGATGCAAGAAATCAGATAGAGCAAAGAAATAAGATTTCAGCTGACTTTCATATCACTTTTCTTCTGTTTGCATGGAGTTCTGACTGAAGTTCTAGGCCCAACATTCAGCATTTTTTTGAATGTTCCATTTCAGGGATTGGTTATCATCAGTCCGGATCCAAACCACGACATATTACGTCATCACACGGGATGTCACTTCCTCAACACAACACTGCGCGTTTACTGGACGGGTTTCCATGACGACGATTCCGATATTGGTGCATTCAGGGTTGCCATTGGCCGAAAGCCACTGGGAGACGATGTCCTGCCTTTTCGAAACTTCAACATCGACTTTGAGGCCAAGTTTGAGTTAACTGAAGATCATGGTTTGTCCAAAGGTGACACGATATTCGCAACAGTAGAGGCAACAAACAAAGCAGGACATACAACCAAAGTTTCGTCACCAGCCACCCGACTTCTATCTGATAAGGATAGTACCTTACTTAACGAAGGAGATTTTCAGTGTTTAAACGTTTGAATGGAATTATAGCAAGTCGCATTTATGCCTTTTTTCTGTAGTTTTCATAATCAAATACACCACAAGCATGTTGGTTAATCGTTGATAAATATAAGTAAACTTTCTGTCCTAATGCATTTCATAGTTAGGCTAGCTAAGATAGGTTGACATCTTATAAAGATAGTACCTCACTTAATGCTGGAGATTTTCAGTGTTTAAATGTTTGAACGTTTTAAAGAAATGATAGTTTTCTTTTTGTTGTAGAGAAAGGGTAGTTTTCATAGTAAGTATTTCGAACATAACAAAGACCAGACATATCGATGAAAGATGTTCCTAACTCTTCATATAGGGTACAGATATAAATAATTTTCTTGTCTCAATGCCTTCCATTGCATGGTAAATAATACTAAACTAGAAATAAAATTCATACATCCAGTAAAATTTTATGCTGTCATATTTCCAGAATGAATAATATGAATGCATTAACCCGGATAGAACCGTCTGAGATTACTTTTGTAAGCAATATTAACGTGTGCATAATAAATTTTTCAATGACAAATTGTAAGTCAATCCGCGTCAAGTAATGCGAAAGCCTTCGCATTCCTCAAAAAACGTCACCACCTTCTGTGGCCAGACAGGTCTACCATAAAGGAGGAAAGGCATGTCAAGTTGGAAGCCAGGGCCTATCGATTGATGGGATCCTGCCGAGTGATAATATACGAATGTGACTCTTGCCACTGACAGCATTGTACCGCCATCGCAAAACCTGGGGACCGATAGTTGACTTATTTTTCCATCAACTGTTTCCGGCTTGAATTTGAAGTGTGTATAATTCCACTCGAAATTAAGACCCTTTAAACCTCTAGAGTTTACCTGCGTCGAGTGAAGTGCCAAAAATCATAATTGATTATGCCGGATTTTATTAGCAAACGGAAAACATTGCATATTCCGTTGCGGCAATAAAGTTTCATTTAAAGATTAGCAGCACGTGGCGACCAGTTTCTCGTGCAGAAACACATTTGTCACTATAAATATTCATACTGATAAAAGCTTTCAATTCTATACAATCACAATCGAAATAATTAAGTGCATGGCTGGGGTTGTTTATACACCCTGTACTGACATATGTCAATAAATTGTTACTGAAAGATTTGGATATTGTTGAACTTTGCTGACTTTTCATTTGGTAAGTGAAATCTTATTGACATATACATGATGTTCTCCATTGTGGTCACGAATCCCTATGTACAGCAACACCAAAGGCTGGTCGTAATCCAACATGATATAACGCTCATATCTGCCAGTACTTAAATGCGGTGCTAAACAAGCTTCTTTCAACGTGATTTCATCCAGCGCTTTACTATTATAGTATTGATACTCGGGACATGCATGCGTTTGATATAAACGGCTTTTAATTAAAGCAGAGTTTGAAAATGCATCATATTTGATCATAAGCATCTTCTTTGTGTGGCACATGCACGTTAATTGTTCATTGACTATTAATTTAATAGGCATATCTAGAAAACATGGGCATTACTCTATCGTAGATAAGTTCCAATATAACCAGGGAGCAGCGTGGTAGCGTCTTCAAACAACTTAGCATCAAATGTGGTATAACAACTGCCTAAAATAGACAAAGCACTCGACGTTTCGACCCGAGGTTAGTATTTAACTCTCCTGACGAAGGCCCTCAGGTCGAGACGTCGAGAAGTGTTTTGTCTATTCCAGGCAGTTGTTGTACCACATTTGATGCTAGATTACTCTGTCGTAATTTAAAGATAGGTAATGTAAACCTTATATGCGTCGGTTGGGGTTTTGAGACAATTCTCTTTATCATTCTGATAACTAAGTCTGTTGTAGAACCAAGCTTCACTTCCGTCGCTTTGTTGCATGTGAATCGTATATATTATTCTAGTCTGTATACATAAAATGAGATGTAAATTTGTCCTAAGCATTTGTTAGTAAAAATTGCCGCGTTTTTGTTTAAACAAGGGGGCTGGCTGTAACTATATCCCCTAGTTTTAGTATAAATATCAGTAGAATTGTAAACTTTAAGAGATTGGTTATTAGTTGAATTGTGTGGTGTGCGAGTTTGTCCTTCGTAAGCGTGTTGTCTTAAGAGTATTGCGTTATCGACGTGCACTATGTCTCATATTTTGTGCCAAAATATACCTGTGCATAAAGTGTTATTAAACATTAAAAAATACAGTTCTAAGTTGTGATTTTCGTTGAATCTGGTGCAAGTAGCAGCCTAACTTGCATTGAAGCGAAGTTGCGCCACAGATCTGGCCTCCTTACTGAGTTAAAAGTAAATTAAATAAACAATCATATTAGACGTCAGATTGTGGGGTAAGTTAGTATCTTGTAACAATGCATGCCAGACAGATATTTATCCAAGTTTTCGCTATTTCCCCCCAAGCAATACTGTCTAGTTTGTACGCAAATATCTTTCCGCAATTTCGTTTATTTTGGCAAAATCATTCGTTATACTGCGGTTTATCCAATGAAATATTCCCTACTCTCATCAGACCGATAGCATCCAGTGACTTTATCAGGCTATATAATAATAAATAAAGTAATTTGTAACACTCATTGGGAAGCAATTTTTTCACCTACAAACGTTCCAACGTAGCTGGAGATAATGATCTACATACATTTTGATATGCAGTGGAGCTTGGACGTGCTTCAAATTTTTAAGAGTGTAATTTGTGTGCCGCTGTTAGTACTGAATAAAATGAAATATAAATAATAATAAAATACCAATAGAATGAGCGATGTTTGAAAATGTTGCTAAAATTACTCGAGCCGATATCAAACATCAGGAGAACTATTAATCCCAAATTATACCAGCAACATCGCATGCCTATTTGTTTATTGTTGGCATAATAAAATCGTACAACTTTCGCAGCGTTTTGTCGCGAACCTTTCGGTCGTAATTTTCAATGCAAGCACGATAGTTTCTTAGAGAAATACAATCCTGCCAGACTTTTATTCACTATTTTGTTCTTTTTGCATTACTTTTGTCTACCTTTCTGGCCTTCTTTTAGTTTCAGCCATTTTGTTTATTTTGACAAAATCCAAGCAAAATCATAATTGTGCTAAAGTACAATTAATGACATTAATTGTACTTCTCTCGAACAATATGCATGCAGTAATTTTAGTACGCTAATAATAAATTAGTTCAACTAATTTATTATTATATAGTGTATGTACATATATAGTGTCATTCGTGACAATGGAAATGGGGGGAGTATAAGTGCAATTTTCAGACGAATATACTTATATTTGCTTATCCAGAATAGTAAAATTCTCTCGGAAACTCTATACATACGAGCGGGCAAGATAAATTTTCAAGACCGGTGATTAACCAATCTGTGTGCGCTATTTCACCCCTCATCACGCCCAAGGGTAACCTTTTAAAACATTGTGTTCATTTCTACAATTTTAGAAATTTAGCAAGATGAGTCGAAAAGTATTTCTCTGGTCGGCTTCGAGGTCTTTGTCGACAGCGTTTACAAGGGCTATGATGAATGTTAACGACTGCGAAGTTTTTATGGAACCCTACTGGTATGGCCACTATTCGTTATGGGGAGATATCTGTGCACCATCAAAGGGTTTGACCACCATACCTCCTGACCAAATACAGCTTTCAATGAACAGAACTACCGACTCAGTGCTTGCGAAGTCAGCTAATAAACAATTTGTGTTTTGTAAGGAAATTGCAAAAAATGTAGCCCATCCTCCATATTTTTTAAAAGACGAGAAGCTAAACGGTTTTTGGCATACGTTTTTAATAAGACACCCTGAAAAAACAATCCCATCCTTGTATCGTGTATTTTCTGAAAGCGATTCATACCCAGACGTCGATACCATCGATTTTAGTTATGAAGGTGGTTTTAAACAGCTGTATAATATCTTCGAGTTTGTCAGCAACCATTTCGATACTTCGCCAATGGTTATATTCGCTGACGATTTACTTCAAGATCCTGAGAAAGTACTTAATTACTACTGTAGCCAGACTGGTCTGCCTTATAACAAAGGCATGTCATGTTGGAAGCCTGGGCATATTGATGGGTGGTTACTTCCTGAATTCTATGTAAATGTGACCGAAAGTTGTGGCATTGGGAAACAGGAGGAATCAAGAACCAATTATGCACCAATAGGAGAAAAAGGAATTGCTAAGATTAGAAAAGCTATTGAAGATAACATTTGGTACTATGAGCAGCTGTATAAGTATCGAGTTCAATTTTGAAACTCTGCCATGATATGTATACATAAACATTTTTTTAACTAAACGATTCATGTTGGTTGCTGGTAGACTAAACGTGTAATGTCGATAGCTTCTTTTGCATGCCGAATTTTATCACCAAACGGAAAAAATTGCAATCTGTTGCAACAAGCACTTGCTAACAACTGTTCTGAGCCCTTAATTATATTTAAAAACTTATCAATGCTCTGAGCACTTAATTATGATTAAGTCCACATCAAGCGCCACCGAACACTTGCTCATCTGCAGTGATCTGCCCAGAAATGCCCCTGGGCAGCTTAATAATTATACTCTTAACTGCTCAGTGCAAGTACTAATTTGCTCACAACTGCTCTAAAGATATTTTTTCTTGCCCCGTGTATATATTTTCTGAGCCCTGAATTGTTCATGTGCTCATGGCTTTATTAATTACAAGCTTTGGCTCATTTTCTCACAATTCATCTGAGCATATTCTCATACGCTCATTGCTCTCAGCACTCAAATGCTCTTATTTGCTCATCACCTTTAGCACTGGCTCATCTCTTTTAAGCACCGTCTATGATTAGACTCGATTCAGGACCATAAATGAAATAATTATCCGTTTGTTTTGTGATTTTCCATAGTGAGCCGAATAAAATTAATATGCCAATGCAAAAACATGCAAATAGCAAAATGTATTAATTTGTGTGTTCATTAACTCACCAATTTTTCTCCATGGGCTTCTTAAAGAAATGGTTATGAATGTTATGACATCTCACAAAATCTTCGCGAATTCCCCCACAGAATTTCCCCGATTACTAAAGACATCTGGTAAAAAATTGTTGTCATTTATGATGGGATTAATTCACGGTACTTAAACATGTATAAAGCCAGCACATGTGACTTCTTAGGGCTGATTTCATAGGTTAGCTAAAGTGCATATTATGAATTACTAATGATTTTTGAAGAATATACACACCCTGTATATTTGCCAACGAATAAATCAATTTGCTGTAAGAAGGTCATATTGAAAAATTGGGATATTGTCAAACTTTGCTAACTTTGCATTTGGTAGGTGAAATCTTATTGACATGCATATACATTATGTTTATCAGTATAGCCACGAGCTATAATATATAAAGCTCATATCACCCGGTAGATAAACGCGGTGCTAAACTAGCCTCATTCAACATAATTTCATCCGACGCTTTACCGTACAATCGATAGGACACAGCAGTTAAACGTATGTAGCTATAGCTTATAATTAGACTCGTTTGATATAACCAGCTTCTAATTTAAGTGGAGTTTGGAAATGCCTCTCAGATTTGTCAACAAGAATAATGAGTATCTTCTTTGTGTAGCACACGGCTGTTAATTTAATAGGCAGGCATATTTCGAAGATATCGGCATTTAAAGGGTTAGGGTCAATCGTAATTGTAATAATTAGGCAATCGTAATTCAAAGTTAGGTAATGTAAACTTAATATAGTCTGTTGAGATTTCGATTTGTCAGTTTCTCTCCCTTATATACGTACGATTGTTCAAAAACCTAGCTTCACTTCACTTTACTATACGCTATATTGTGACTGGTATTATTTTCGTCTATATGAATAAAGACGAGTTTATTCTGCCAAAATCTTTAATGTTTATACTGCAGGCTGTTTATTGAAATAACTGTTCTCCTCCAGACCGATTTCCATGCAGTAATTTTATCATGGTATTGATGAATTAAGTAATCTGTAACACTGATTGAGAAACAATTTTCCGTCAGCTACAAACGTTCCAACGTGGCTGGAGATAATGATCTTTATTTATTAACTGTGTAAATGAAGCAATCTGATTAGCCGAGAAGCGTTTCACAAAGGGCCGTATGCAAAATGTAAACAAAACGACAAAACCAAAGCAACGTACGGCTAAAATGTGTGAAAACCTATCTGGAAAAGGCTAAAAGACTGTAACCTCATTGCCAGGATCTTTTGGGACTTTATATGGGGGGTTGGGGCTGAGAGCGAGAGGAGGGAAAAGGCCCGGGGATCGGCCGTTCAAAATACCCACATTTCGCGGGTATTTTGAAAAAGCATAATTTATCATAAAATTTTGCCTAATATTTTCAAAATGGTGGCGTCACGTAGAACATAGAGCTTCTAAATAACACTAGAGGGGGCATTGGTATCGGAAACATAAGTCGAAAAAGAGAGCGCGATAATGGAGAGCAATTTCAAGTCCCGGATGCTAAGCCAAGCGGTGATTGGCTAGATCGATGCCTCTCCTTGGCAACCACGTTAGCAACAACTAAATTTGTTTAAAAAATTATATTCGTTTTTTAGGTTGCTTTGCAGGTGTTGTACTGCAGTAGAATTAATGAGATCATTGTACCCCACTCGACCAGCATGCAGCAATTTTAGCACGCTAATAATAAATTAGTATGGTAAATGTCATCTCATTTATGGAGATGAACCAGCTATATCCGAGTTTTTATTTTGTTCTACGCAAAATTCGCTTTATATTAAATTCATTTCATGATATTTCAGAAATTTGGCAAGATGAGTGGCAAAGTATTTCTCTGGGCACCTCCGAGATCTTTGTCTACCGCATTTACAAGAGCTATGCTCAATCTTGAGGACTGCGAAGTATTTTTGGAACCATACTGGCATGGTCACTATTCTTTATGGGGAGATACGTATGGTTTAACGTCCAACCTTCCTCCTGAGGAAATTAAATCTTCTTTTGACAAAACAAATGATTTAATTCTTGAGAAGTCTGCAGGAAAACAATTTGTGTTTTGTAAGGAAAGCGCAAAAGACGTCAGCCTGCCTCCGAATTTTGTGTTGGACGAGAAACTGAGTGGCTTTCAACATACTTTTTTGATACGGCATCCAAAAAAAACAATCCCCTCTCTATATCGTATGTATGACAACAGCAATTTGTACCCCGACGCTGAAACCATCGATCTTAGTCACGAGGGTGGTTTTTCTCAGGTGTATAATATTTTTGACTTTGTCCGTAAGAATCTCGACCGTTCACCAGTTGTAATATTCGCTGACGATTTACTTGAATATCCTGAGAAAGTCCTCGAGTACTACTGTGGCCAGACAGGTCTGCCATATAGGAAAGGTATGTCAAGTTGGAAGCCAGGGCATATCGATGGATGGGATCCTGCCGAGTGGTATACGAATGCGATGGAAAGTAGCGGCATTGGAAAGCTGGCAAAATCAAGAAACCGTGTACCAATGGTAGAAAATACTCAGATTAAGAGAGCAATTGAAGATAACATTTTGTACTTTGAGAAGATGTACGAACATCGAGCTCAATTTTAAATTAAAGGAAGCACGTGTTATGCACTGAACGATTTGCAATTGAAACAATAAGTTCACGTTGAATTTTAGCAGTTCGTAGCAGTAGCCAGTATATATGATCCCGAAAACGAATGGCATTCATGTGAAAAGTTGTATCATCCCGATGCTCGTTCCTAAAAAGCCCAACGATTTACAAGTATGACAACACCGCGGTGAAGAAAAGCGTGGGAAAACCATACAACTTTTCACAAAATGTGTGATAGAGTTTTTTCCGCGTTACACTCTTGTAATTCCATGCATTTTACTCCATGTTTTCAAAGATTCATGAATAGGCCATCGCTATAGACCCATTGCACTGACGTCAAAATCATTAAAAGTTGTCCTCAAGATTTCCCTTGCATGCTTCACTAAAAATAATCGGTGAAAGTTTATATAGCGCTCAAAAGCAGTTAACGAAGCAAAGTTTTTCACACTAGTAAATATTTCTGTATTTTGCCCAAAAATTTACGCCTTCGCAAAATTTATGCTACGTTAATTTGTCCTCCACATGCCTAATGTGACGTCATATGCAAATGGTCAAAAGCTCTCCCATTTTCCTGCTTCTTTCGTTGGTACGGAATCAGTGTACGGAATACGGAATAAGTGACGCCTGCGCGGTCATTTGACCATAGTTTACCCAAAAATGTGTTTTTTTCATGGCATTAATCCACAATTAGCATTTTGATCCGTTATAATTTGCATTACATGAAGTAGCTTACGCACTCATAATTTTAAAAAATGTCAATGATCTCTTATCACGCGTAAAAATCATCATGTTGATGTAAGATCTTAAAAACAGGAGTGAACAATGTTGTGCTGCACCCTAGGAACAGTATTGATTATTCAACAAGCTTCAACAACATTGTTAACAATACTGTTCACATGGTGCAGCACAACATTGTTCACTCCTGCATGTTTTTAAGAACTTGCATCAACATGATGATTTTACGCAAAGTAAATCTAAAAGTAAACATTGAAAGTTTTGCGACTATTTTTAGGTAAAAGCAAGTAAATTTTTCTTTACTCATTTCCTTCAGTACCGGCTTTCAGACGACTGAAGAGCGTCGAAATAAACGTGCAAGATTGCAGCATTGATGGCAGATTAGTTTATCATGCATCAGCGGCCAATACGTCCGTTAAGTCTGACCATGGTGTCTGGCTAACATTACAGCTATATGAGTGACTACATGGCATTAGGAGGTAGCTTTCATGTTTGGACGCCGGATTGTCGTAAAAGAAAACGCTCAAATACCACAGCAGATAGCTTTCATCTGTCGTTCCAGGAAAGATTTTGGTATATGTAAGGCAAAATTTATCAAAACGTTTAATTTTCGGTTTACGTTGAACGATTGACAAAAATCGTTGGCCAGGCACCCGCACTAGAGAGCTTTCCATTTATATGTTTTTGTTTCATCCAATGAATTTAAATTTAGCATCCATCTGTTGTTTAAATGCATTTGCAATAACAAATTGCCAAAGAAAATTTGCTTTTGCTAAATGAGGGTGGCAGGTGCCCTGAAGGCATGTGTCATGTTAAAAGTTCCGAAAGAAATTTTACACACAACCAACGAGTCCTATACTTTACGAAATTGTTGCAGATTTTGTAATCTTTAGAAAAATATTGTTCATGCTGAGGTGGACAAACTAAGATCTAAATAAACAAGACGCCGTTCTGGCGTTAACTCCGGCGCACGTGCCAGTCTTCAATATAGAGCTTCTGAACATAAACAATACAGTTCGCGTATTGTTTCGCATACATATTTGCATTTAGATGCCTTGCGAACCTAAATGTTCGATCGCGAAATTCAGAAGCACATCGCAGTTTAGAAGTTCAATTGTTCAAAAATGTAAATAAACCGCATGACACATTCGCTTCGTCTTACAGATTGCCTTTGGAATTTGCGGTTATATAGTTATATTAAATCTTCGATCCTGTGCAAACAACGCGACGTGTCAACGCGCCCTACACGACCACATCATCTTGTTAAACGGCGAAATAGCAGCGATATTATTAAAATAGGACCGGAATCTACAGGTATTAAATATATTCTTACCCCAATTCAATCTAAACTTAATCGAACAGCATGAAAAGAACGGTTTATTTGTTCTTCTTGGAGAAATTGCCGTATCATGCGAGCGAAATCGAATCGCGCATTGGAAAATTAGCGAAAGCTGTGCACCACAACTCTTGGGAGATACGACTGGGACGTAGATAAATTCGGTTACATACACATGTCAAACACAGGTATATTTCGCGCCATTACTCACTTGCGACGACGAATAATAAAAAGAAACAAAAAAAACCAAAAACAAAACAAAACCGGGGCGAATTTTCAACTCCGTCGCTGACGCCGGAGTAATTATGAGTTTGTTAAATTATAGACAGCTGAGTGAATGCTTTATTATAAGCCACACGCATATTAATACCCTTTCTTTTTTCGTTGGCAAAACCTATGTTACCATTGTGTTGTTTTGTACTGTCTCATATTGATTTTTTTGCATTGTCTCTATAGTTTAAAATGGTAGGGAACTGGTTTGTGATCATGCTTATATAGCTCTTACGCGATTCTGTCTTAATTATACAAATTTAAAAGCTTCAAGCTTGTAGAGTTCTTGAAGCAAAATGTTACAATTAGATTAATTAAAACAACTTCCCTTTCAGTATTTTCCATTTCCGTTCAATACAGTTAAACGATTTGGCCTATTTTTCGGCAAATGACATATATTCAGCCATATAATTACGACAAAATTATTTTCCTTCTACATCCAAATGCTTAAAATAAATTCTTCCAAATAAATAAATTATTGGGAATTGTGAATCTAAGAATAAAAAAGGATGGCATTTTGCGATTATTTAGCTAAAAATATTACAAGAGGCGCACAGTGAATATATTATGTGTACAAGCATGAGATACAAGGATTTCTTGAAATAGACCATGGAATTTTTGCATCACACCAACGGCCGCAATATGACGCGGTTTTTTAAAATTGTTTCCCTTTCGCCATTTCAAACTTTGAAATGTGAGTGCTATAGATCAAGCGACGTAAATTAATTCACTGTCACATTTACATCACAACGAAGGTTGTCCAGAAAACAAGTAAAAGGTGTTTTACAATATAACATATATGTATGTTATTTACCAGATTGGAGGTCCGTATAGGAAAATATTTCCCTATACGGACCGACTAAACTGGTAAATAATAATTACTTTTTCTTGGGGTCCGAATTCATATTTTAGCGTTGGCTCCGTGCTTTTAAATCTCGCGCGGCCCGTACGGCCTCATACGGACCGCTCGCGTAGCCAATCAGATTCCAGGAAACGCTAAAATATGGGTTCGGACCGCGAGGAAAAAAAAATAGAAATATTCCCACTCCCACGCGTACGTGTTTCTATGGAAATACGGTTGTCAACATTGTTATTCATATAACCAGCCAATCAAAATTGATGTAAAACAAGTTAACGCTATTTAACAACAACTCGGCATTATTCCATTTATTATAAAACCACGATAGAGGCGAGAGCTTCAAAAGCGGGCGTTTCGTAGGATTATATCTAGCTGAGTGTTTTTAAGTCAAAAGAAGTTGAATCATTCGGATAGAGAGAATGCTGCATTACCATTCACACCGGTCATGGCATTACTACAGAATTGTGTTGATATCTCGAAAACGAAATTTATCAGGTAGTAAGTAATTGCAACATTGCATGAAGAGGTGAAAGCATTTAAACGTTTTAAACTCATTGAACTTTTCATTTCCAAGTTGTTATTTTTACCGACATATACTGGGATTTTGCCATAATATAAGCAAGAATTGCAAGAAATATTGCATTTTAAGATTTAAGAATTGTCGCTATAGCAACAGTGGCTACAGCAATGTTTTCGTTTCACTATAAGACATAGCTGCGCCGTAAATTCCTATTGCCATAAACTGTCTTTCTAAGGGCGCTTTCTATTAAGCGGCCAAAATGGTCAGACCAGTAGCTACTTCTTTGAAAATATAGCGGTGAAACTGCATTCTTCGTGCCAGGCGAATGTAAATATTGATAAGAATGAATGCAGGTTTCTTATTTAATAAAACACTCAAACATACCAGTAATCTGTCTGTACTGAAATACAACGGGATCGGTCTGCCCATTTTTACCGTAAAGGAAAGCGCCCTAATTGAAGGTTATAAGGGATACTGTAGTGTTACATTTGTGTAAAACCATACTGTATATAATCTCAACATCCATATATTTATTCAACGGAATTGTTTTGACATTGTTAACCTGTTCCCGGCACGCACGAAACGTCTTAGTTATTTTTAGTCACAACAATTTCTTAATCGTCCTTCACTTGCTATGAAATTGGCGGTACATATAAAACGACAATGAAACGTAGCTTTTGACCTGATTTTATAACAGTGATTTAACAGTTATACCATGAGCTCGATGTGTTTAAACGTTTTTAAATTCTCGACACAAATTCCCACTGTATATACTGGCTGTTTTCACTGCTCGTGCACCATTTATCTGCTGATATACCGCGAGTATATCTCAGCCAACCAGATTGTGTAAGCTCATACAGTGAGTAGCTATATATTGTTGTAATTGTACTCGTTTTCAAAAATTTCTTTGGATTTATAGAATACTTCTACTTTGAAAGCGGTTTAAAACAGGTGAATGTTATAAAGTGAAAAGTTATTACGCCACGGCACACATACATGAAGGTAATTATATACGTTTTTTTAAGCAATATGTAAGTTATGCAATCTCGCCCCAAGCTCGCAAAGCATCATAGAATTTCATACCAGAGATCAGTGCGCGCGTTTTCTTATTGACATAGTTTTCAGGGCAAATACAGGAAGAATTGACTTTCATCAGGAATTTCATCATTTTTTGTTACGGTGAAAGATTGATGGAATAAAGTTGTCTTTTTATATAGAACTTCACCGAGGAAAAAAAAATACGAGCAATTGTTTAACTGGGTTTGACGGGTTAACGTTTTACGGGAATCTGATTTTGTATAGTTTTGTATTTTGGTCTCCTATTCCGTAGCATTTACCGCTAAAACAGGCAAGAAAAAGACTAAAATTATCCGCATAAAGAAGGTAGTCTTACTTTATCTTTATTTAATACTGGCCATATTTTTTTATTCCAGTAAATATTTCCCATTCTAGTTGTGTTGATGTTCACGTTTCAAAAGCCGTACGTTATATTATAATGCATTTATGTTGTACGTCTTGTACATGTCTTGCCTAGCTTTCATACAAAACTCTGTTCATGTCTCAAAGTTAAAACAACTTTCTGCGGCAGGCCTAGTCAGTATTTATTATGAAACCGATGACTTGTCCTTTTTGACGGTTTCGCTACAATACTTAAGAAAATACAAAATTAAGCTTTCGTCGCACAAAACAATGTCAAAACGTTTCCCGACTGGCCAGTCAGTAACGCGATTTCGTCTACAGACAGGAATATAGAAATCAGGTTCATTCTATTCACTACTTAAATGCACTTTTTAGATTTGCCGTTATTCCACGTACGCTTGGGTTAAATTGGCACGTCGTCGCGACAGAAAAGAATTATGTGATAAAGAGTATTTGTCCACCATTACAAGATTTTGAAATTCGACTCAGCGATTCATTACCAAAGTAATCCAATTGATGTAAGTTAATTTTATTACAATTTAGGATGGGATAGATTTCTGTAGATGCTACAAGCATGTTTGAGTATAAAATAGAGCTTGACTAAATTCGATTTTAAATCACTATCTATGTAAGCGTTGTGTTTCGATTTACCATTTATACTCTAATAATGTCGTTTTGCTTTGCACAAAACGTTTTCAAAAACTTTATCCACCGATATCTAAGATAATGCCGCAATCTGTTGTCCAAGATATAACGTTTCACGGATAGATATAACACAAGAAAAAGTGTTATGGCTTTATTATCATTTGTCGTAGTTTAAGGCAAACAACAGATAAAGAAAGATATCACAGACTGAGTGTGAACATTGCAAACAAATATAGAGCAAGAAGAGCGTATGTGTAACGTTTTCAGTTATGTATCAATATTCCCTTAAAACCAAGCAATCATATACCACATGCATGATTGGTGACATGATAGGGAAAGGCTTAGTTATTTCATCTGGGTGTTAATTTAAATTTTTGGATAAAATAAATTTCTGGATTTACAACACATATTTCACACATATAAGTAAATTTGCTTGTATAAGTACACCAGGTTTTATATCTATAACGCTCTCGGTCCGTCAACCCGGGCCTTCAACAGTGCAACATGTGTTCAGAGTCGAAAACTTTGCAGTATAAATACTTACGTGGTATCCCTACAAGCTAATTCACTTTAATTTGACGTCACAATGCAAAATTAGAAGAATATTTTTATGAATATTATATTTTAGACAAAAATGAATAGAGTTCTGGGAAACAACAGGCAACACAGAATCCCAGTGCAAGAGCAACAGCATATACTTATACACTTATCTAACATCCAAAGAAAACCTATCATGCAAGAAACAAGTTTACCGGGAAGAGTTGAGGGACCAATACCTCTCCAGGCTGCACTTAGTGAAATAATGAAAGAGTTGTGACACGTAAGTTACAAATTGTACTGATATTTGCTAGTATACTTACTGATTTTAAAGGGACAAAACAATCATGCTTGTGGTATGATACGATACCAGACGAAAAAATTACTAGTGGCATTTAAACATTAGCCGCATTTATTCATTTAGTGGCGCCTTCTATAATTACAAAGACTAAATTAACTTATTCTAAATATGGTGAATGATTTCGTGAAGATGACTTTGCAGTTTCAACTTGTATCTTGTTTGAATAACATATTGACTCTCAGGATGTCATATATTTTCGGAATTTGTTTTTTTTAACATTGTGGGTGGGTCGTTTTTCTTAACATTATTACATCCAATGTTTTTATTATTTTAGGACTGTCAAGCACCATAAATAACTTAATTTAAAAAAATAGTATTGGAATAAAGATAGAATTAATAATCTTGTAAGTATGCATGGTGACTTGTAGGTACAGCACGTAAGTATTTAATACTGCAAAGCTTTCGGTTCGTTAACCCGGGCCTTCATGAAATGCACTGAAGAAATCTTAGGGGCTTTATTGCCCGGGTTAATGGACCGAAAGCTGTGCATTATTAAATACTTACGTGGTGTACCTACAAGCTAATTTACTTAAAGATAGAATTGTTCATGTGAAAGATATTTTAACAAATTTCAGTTTAATATTTAAAAATTAAAAAAAAACACTAACTGATGTTGAGTTTCTATTATCGCCAACAAAAGAGTAATCATTTATCATTTAATCACATGTGGCCCTTGCGGCGCTTCATAATTGTTACACCGATGTGTGAAAACTAGAAAATTCTGGAGACGAGTGTTAAAAACCGACTTGATAACCCCAAAAAAGAAAAGACCCTTGGTAATGACATATTGAAATGCAGACCTCAAGACGCAGCATTATGAGCATTTATCTGATATTGTTTCTACTAGTATTCTAACTATAGAGTAAATTAATTTCTACTTTACTCATTAATTGATGCTATCTATAACTCACAAACGTAACGTCGCAAAATTGGTAAACAACATACGTGTAATTGATTTTCAAACGAAGCAAGAGTTTTCAAATGTTTGTGAAAATTGAAGATCTATCTCGTGCAATACAACTGTTAACAGTTTTTTATTTTCTACGCGAGGTAGTAGGATCTTTTCAATCGATTAACTTATGCTCATTAATATTCGTTTCTTGCTTCGTTTTTCTCTTCTTTTCCTTTAGATCTTCGTCGATACTGTTCTTGTCTTTATCGTTGGTTCTGTATTGTTGAGCTTCTTAAACGTTCCACATGACTTTGACTCCGTTAGTCCACTGAAGGTTCTGGTGTTGTGCACGCCTTTTTATAGTAGCGGTTGAGGGACATCCCCACACGTCATTAACAAGAGTGGGCTGATCCTTATCCAACCAATCAGCGTTGTGAATGTGAACTGTGGGTTAGCATTAAAAGATCTTTCCAGCTCTCATATCTTGTTTATTTAAGGCGTTGTCGCACTAATCCAGTTGGTCTTCTGCTCAAACGATTAATACTTAAAAATGTTAACAACTTAAAATATTTATCATCAACAGCTATTAAAATTTTCAAACATTGCTTCTGTGAACCTTATTTTACAACTTAACTACATATACCACTATTTTAATCGAATTAAGCTTTCTCTGGGGTAATGCTTAAAATGTTCCACTGCGCGGAATACAAAACACAATTGATTGACATAAGAGCTTTGCAACTGCCTAAAGCATGCATATTTTAAATGCAACAGTTAAACTTGGCAACGTCATACGACTGTTGATCCAGATGCGAATGTTAAGCGTGTTAATAATTCCAACAACATGAGAAGCTAATAACATTTAATAACCATTGCCTAAACTAATAAAACTGTATCCTTCAAGTCCTATCCCCCAGGAGGCCATCGACTATGACGCATGACATCTTCCCTCCTTTACACGAGATACAACTTATAAAATTAATAGTTCTATAGAGAAAAATTATCAGATTTTTTCAGTCTCTGTACTGACAAATAATATTGTAAACCACAATAACTCCCTAATAAAGTTCATAGTCTTTAAAACTGCTGGGTGGTCGCACAGTCGCACGGGTAGTATAAGACGGAATTTGAACAGTAGGTTGTATATGGTTGCTAGTATATGGTTGCAGTGGGTGTGTTTCACGAAGATGGGTTGGTGCTGCTGCTGGTCGAATCTGGGTACGATTTCGGCGAATAGTACAGCCGCCCATATCTATGCTGTAAGACGTGGAGAAGGTGAATTGACAATTTTGCCATACATCCATGGCTGCCCACCACGCCGAGTTGGTCTTGGTTTTGCATATGCATACGATCCCATGGGGAATGAAGGCAGGGAAGGCTGTACAGTTTTGTCATAAGAGGCCTTAGATGCTATTCGGCGGTTGACAATCTCTTGGGTCACAGTTTGGGGATCGGGTGTAACTGGTAAAATATGTTCTCCACATAGTGGTAGACTAGAACGTGTGCGTCTTCCCATTAGACGTTGCGCTGGAGAAAACGAATAGCCCCGTGGAGGAGTTAACCCCGTTGCGTATGTTGAGGAGGGCGAGGTGGTAATCCCTGATTTCTTTAGAACAGAATTAGCATCCTTGACCGCAACCTCCGCTTTTCCATTGCTTCGTGACCAATAAGGTGAAGAGGTTATATGCTCAAACCCATACGATTGCGCGAAAACCGTATTCATTGGACACAAACTGTGGACCGTTGTCTGTAAGACAACGTAGAGGAATGCCATTTCGAGCAAAATGGGCTTTCGTGTGCTGAATCACTGTCATAGATAGAGTATCCTTGAGTTGGTTCAACTCATAAAAGTCACTATAGTGATCAACTGTGACAAGGTAATAGTTCTGGTTGAGCTCAAATTGATCTTGGGACACACATTGCCATGGACACGTTGGCACTGGATGAGATAACATGGGCTCTGCTGTGGCTTGCTTCCCATATTTAGCACAAGTGATGCATTTGGAGCAAATATATTCTATGTCTTTTGCCATTCCGGGCCAAAAAACAGACTCCCGCGCGCGAAACGAAGGCAATATTCTGGACCTCTATGGGATTGGTGAATCTTAACTAATGTCTCATTTCTCAATGATACTGGAACGACGATGCGAGTGGACTTGAGTATGAGGCCATCAGCGACGGTGAGTTCATCTCTAAAATTCCAAAAAGATTGGAGTTGTTTAGGTAACTGCTGTTTTGTTGGAGGCCAACCATGAACAATATGGTGCTCTAGGGTCTGCATATCTGAACACGCCGCCGTCGCTCTGCGCACTTTCTCGCGAGTCGTGTCCCTTATTGAAGTGGAAACTGGATCAACCTGACTGACATGCGCACGAAAAACTTGGAACATGTCTGATTCCTTTGAAACTCCTGGTTTCTCTCCACACGGTGCTCTAGAGAGAGTGTCTGCCAAGTAGAGAGAGGTGCCCTTTCGGTAACTGACGGTGAAGTTGTAACGCTGTAAGAAAAGCATCATTTTCTGAAGACGTTTTGGAGCTGAGGCAAGATCCTTCTGAAAGATGGACTGTAAAGGCTGGTGGTCAGTATGCACTGTGACATTAGCTTTTCCCAAAAGCCACTGGTCAAACTTGTTAAAGGCTTCAACGATAGCGAGGCATTCCTTTTCTATTTGAGCATAGCGCTGCTCAGTTGGGGTCAGGCTTTTGGAATTATAAGCCACCGGCTGAAGAGACTTCTCATCAAAAGTGCCATCCCCCTCTTCCTGGGAAGGCTGTAGAAGGGCTGCCCCAAGGCCGTAGTCCGACGCATCCACCTGAAGTACCACAGGTGCGATAACATCATAGTATTTGAGGCAAGGTGCTGACGTGGTTAGTGACTTGGCTCCATCAAACGCTTGCTGGTGCTGGTTTGACCACACAAATGGCACATCGTCCTTATTAAGGGCTCGTAATGGTTGTGTGATACTGCTCAGTCGGGGACAGAATTTGCTCAGGTAGTTGATGGATCCCAACAACCGGCGGACTCCCTGCTTGTCATTGGACGTCGGTAAATTTGTTACTGAATCGACTGTTGTTGGATCTGGTTGAAGGCCATCTGGAGTAATTAGATGACCCATAAAGGTGGCAACCGTCGTCATGAATTTCATCTTGGCCGCATTGATCTTGACATGATTTGCCCAAGGCGTTCAAGTACTGCGATTAGATTACGATCATGATCAACCCTGGCCTCTGTATCTGTGTCACCACATCCTGAGACTAGTATATTGTCTGCAATGCTTATGACTGTGAGGCCTTCGAGTAACATATGGATCAGACGCTGCCATTCTTCAGACGCTGAAGATATCCCGAAAGGGAGTCGAGTCGATCTATAGCGTCCCCAAGGGGTAAACATGGTGGTCATCAGAGAGGAGCGGGAAGTCAACGGGATGTTCTGAAATGCCTCCTTCACATCCATAACTGTCACGCACTTAATGTTGTGTAACTTGTGCAAGTTCTCCTCTAACGTGGGGATGATGTACTTTGGTCGACGTATTGCCTTAGTTAAGGATCTGCGAAGGATCTAGACAGATGCGGATCTTGCCTGGGTAAACAGCGCCGGTAGAGATAGAGTTCACTGATTCTGCTATTGCTGGAAACACCCATTCGGTGGAAGAATCTGATGAAGAATCATCTTTCACAACATATGTTGGTTTCAGGGAAGGACAGCACCTGGCGAAGTGGTTTGAACCTTTGCATTTATTGCACTGCTTTCCCCATGCTTTACAAGCTTCTTTCTTGATTATGTGTTTAGCACCACAAAACTTGCATTTGTTGACTTTCCCTTTGTGAGTTGACTTGCTACTCGCCTCATTATTCTTTTTCGCGGCTTGATATCCTTTAGCATTTCTCGCCGCAGATGAATACTTTCGGTTGTATTTACTGATGTTTACTCGAAGCACTTCATCTTCTTTCCCAGCAACGACTTTCAACTGGCTC